TTTACATAAATTGGTATTATGAATAAAGATTAAATGTTTTAAATCTAAAAAAAAACAAGGATTACTTCAAAAGTATTTATATTTAAAATGATAATTATCAAGTTGAGATTAATTTTAAATAATAAAGACAAATCTAGTGTTTTTAGTCATAGTTAATCAAATTACTCTGAATTAGTTCTTACTAATCCAATTTAAAAATCAGATAAATCATCATATCTTTTCTTCTAATCATTTATCAATTCTTAAGATGTTCCTGCCTAATTAATATAAACATTATCAAGATTAATCATTCTGATTACATCCTAAGGAACATAATGAACATGATTTTCCCAACAATTCCAACTATTTTTTAAAGAACTTTGTTCTCTTTCTTCTTAGATTGGTACAATTAATTGATTCTAATATCTCTAATACTATCTTGAAATTGTAATCTAAGAAGTTTATAAAATATTTTCATTATTTCTTGTTTCTATGATATCACAATCATCAAAACTTTTATTAGATTTTTTTTGTTATGGTGTATGAAGCCAAGGATGTAAAACAAATCCTACATATAAAATTAAAATTTATACCTTCAGCAGATAGTCTTTTATTAGGATCTTTTTCTAATAATCTTTTGATCAAATCTTAAATCAATGGATTTAATTAACAAAGAGTCTAATAATTTAATTTAGAATCAGTAATCATTTCAATAGTATCTAATATAGTTTCTGATTAAAAAGGTAACTATCCAAATAATAGTTGATATAAAATAATTCCAGCTGACCAAATATCAACTAAAAATTTAGTTATAATTTAATACTTTTTTCATCATATCCACCTCCCATAAATATTTCAGGGGCTTAATAAAATAATGAACCGGTCCTAGTCCACATATCTATGTTTTTAGTTACTTTTCCTTTTACTAAAAATCTTTTAGATACTCCAAAATCTATCAATTTAATAGTGAAAGATTCTCCTATCAAAATATTATCAGGTTTCAAATCTCTATGACAAACTCCTCTTTAATGTAAAGATAATAAAGATTATGCCAAATTTAATGTAATCTATTAGATATCTTCTTCACATAAAGAACCTATTTTTTATTCTAAACTAGGAAAGTGACAATATTCCATAACAAGATGATGCTCCTCTTTTTTTGAATTTATGAATAAGTCAAGAGCTTTTACAACAAAATTAAGATCATTAAGTCCTCTATTTAAATCAAATGTTTCTCTTATTGTATTGATTACTTCTGTATCACCAGTTCTGAATACCTTTACAGCATATGCCATTCTATCCTAAGCTCCATTATTTCTATTTGGATCTCTTCTATAATATTTTTTTACAATTCCATGTGCTCCCTCACCTTTAGTTAAATATTCAATTTACCTATTTATTCATCTCCATATTCATAAACATCACTAAAATGTCTAAATTATTAATTTATAGCTTTTGGCTAATTGTTTGGAATAGAAGGAGATTAATTTTGCCTACCTTACTTCCACCCTACATTTCTTCTTTTCCCATTAAACAAAGCTTTTTATAAAGAAGCTCTTATAGTCATTTAATTCTACCGATTCATCAAGTATATATAATAATTATTTTTCTTAATTTGAATACTACTACTAAAAAGCATTATTTAATTTCCATTCAATGGTATCAATTAAATGTATAATATAATCACTTTTTTATTTCAATTACAAAAAAACATATTTCTTTTAAATTTTTTAAATTCTAAAAACCATTACATAAATATACACTTCCTTGTTATTTGCTGAAAAAATACAATTTATTTTAGATGATTAAACAAATATTAAAATAATTAAAGTTATATTGCGATTGAAAATTAATTAGAATAAGTGATTCATAATTATATAAAAACAAATTGAAATATAATAGATGAAAAAGCAAGCAAGATATTTATAAGAATTCATAAAATATTTAAAATTTTATGTTTAAGAAACATTATATTGAAAAAATTATTAGCATAAGTTATATCAATTAATATCTATTGGAATTCTTTTTAAATATTTATTTAAACAAAATTATTATGAGTTAGTAAAAGCAACCATTGGACCCAAAAGACTCTGTTTTGAATATTTCATTAAAGAAATCCTCAGGCTAATTTATTTTCTTATCAAAAATCTTCTTGAATAAATTTGGATAGGTTGATTTGCATGGTTTAGGTGAGGCAACCAAGACTGTAGCTGCAGTTGCAGAAACACTTTAAAGAAAGGTAAAATAGATATTAAATTTAAGTAATATGCTACAATAAAGAAAATTGAGACCTAAACATATACACCAGAACAAGGTGGAAAAAAAATAAAATTGATTGCCAAATTAGAAATAACAGAAGAAGGAAAAACATTAATTGAACAAGAATTGTAAAGAAAACAACCAGAAAAAAAATAAGAATAATAAGATTGGTGAATATAATAAAATATATTTTAATAGAAAGAGGAAAGTGTATAATTATTATTAGATAAATGGTTTTCTTATATTAATTTTTAAATATCAAAAGTCTTTTTCCCATCCTTAGTCTCCTTAGTTATTACCATCCATTTATCTAACAGATTATTCTTACTAAAGGATAACATTATCATAATTACTTTGATTTCATCTTCAATCATTCTTCCATTTTATTCAAATTATTTTATTTCATTTTCTGGGAGTAATTTATCAGCTGGAGGTAAATATGGAGTTTTAATTTCTTTTTCTAATAATTTTTCCTAATTAATATTAAATAAAAAAATACCCAATCAAAATTTTCAAACCAAGGATTTCCTTTAAGACTTGCATAAGAACCTCCTAATCTAACTTCAGGAACTCGAGATAACAATCTAAAATAATATAAATAAATAATTTACTAGTCCATAAGTTTTTTTGCTTTCTTATCTTTTAAATAATTAGGATAAGTTATATCTTTCTTGATAATTTCTTCATAAATTTCATATGGATCTTCTGCTTCTTCTCCAAAAGGTACCATACCACACATGAATTCATATAAGCATATACCAATAGACCATAAATCAACCAAACAATTGTAACCTTTACCACAAATGATTTCTGGTGCCATATCTATTAATTAAATCATTTATAAATAATTTTACAATGAGGAGTTCCTATAATTGTATATGTTCGAATAATTCCTTATTTTCCTTTAATTATTTTAGCAGTTCCTAAATCAATTAGTTTTAAGAATCCTTTATCATCAACCATGAAATTTTCAGGTTTAATATCTCTATAAATAATGTTTTAATGATGAAGATATTCGGTTATCAAAATCATAGAGGCTACATAAAATTGAGAATCATATGTTGATAAGAGACCTAAAGATTATAATAATAAAATACCGATATCTCTTATGACATCAAATAATTCCATTCCCCGAACATATTCAAGAAGAAAATAAACATCTAAAGCATCTTTAAATGTTTTCATAAATGAGATGATAAACGGAAAATTAACAATTTCTAATACTTGCTTCTCTTATTGAAGGTACATAAAAATATGAAATAAAAATACTTTTCAAGAGTTTGTTCATTAATCTAATTTTTGTTAAATGCTTTTAAAACATATAATTATTAATTAAATTTAGCTTTAACTAAATAAACAGGACCAAATTAACCATATGCAATAGTTTTAATATGAATGAGCTCTGTTTTTTTAATATTCTAAGCTTCTTTTTTTTTTGTTTAATCTGATTTTTATAATTTTTTTTCTAAGATTTTTTCATTTTTTTTAATAACTTCTTCTAATTCTCCTCCTATACAATCTATAAAATTATCAGCTGTAATTTCTGCAATAACGCCATCAGTTTCCATAACTATATCATCATCTAAACTAAATTATTATAAATTATAATATTACATTTTAGCTTTATTAGTTTATAAGAAATATTCCTCTCCCCATGCTTAAGCTTTAGTAGCAACAGTAATTCCAGATTTACTCTTTTTTAAACTACCTTCTATTATAACAATAATTTTTTAATTTGCTTATGTTCCTTTCTTTAAAATTACATCACCAGCTTTACATGATGATATTTTCATAACATCTAATACTTTATCAATTTAAGCCTTTGTTAATTTGCTTAATAAAGCATTCTTTTCAAATGCCCATTTTTATAAATTTCTAAATGTAACTACATGAACTTAATCTCCTAAAATTTTAGTTAATGAATCTCTTCCTAATGCTAAACATTTAACATCATCTTCTGCTCTAACTGTCATTTATCTTACTGTGTTATAATATAGAGCTTATTCACCAAATGAATCACCTTTATATAATTTTCTAACTTCTTTATTTCCCTTCAAAACAGAAACAGTTCCCTAATAATTATTACTAATATTTATACTTCTTTTATTATATAAAATGAGGATCCAGGATCACCTTCATTTACAATTATTTAATTTTTATAAAATTTTTATACTATTAAAACTGCTGCAATTGCATCCTTCTATTCATTTGTTAAATTATCTATTTTTATTATTAAAAGAACTTACGAAAAAATCTAACTACTTCCATAAATTTTCTATTTTCTTCATATTCTTTAGTAATCATTTCCTCAACAGCTCTTCTAAAAGTATTTCTATCAATTCCCCATAGATTGCAATGTTCAAAACATTTCACTGATGCAGAACGAGGAGCATTATATAATAGAGCTAATTCTCCAAATCCATCTCCAGTCTTTAATTCTCTTTTTGCCTTAAAAATTTGAATGGTATTATTATACTTTCTCATTTACTATAACTTCTAAACTTCCTCTCTATAAAATAAAAAAACAGGTTGCATGATCTTATTATTTGAAGATATATGTTTAAGCAGCTGCTTCACAATAAAACATTTTGTTTACAATATTCTCACTATTGAAATATATTATTAATATTATATATTACAGTTCTGCTTCACTTAGATTGTAAAATACAAAATGATTTTTTAAACAAGTCAATATGAATGTTGTATCATTTAATGTTTTTTTCATATCTATTTTTTTGACGTTTTCATGAATAACTTCACCACCTTCATTAATATTGTGCTTGAAATTATTTAACTTATCCTTAAATTTTATTTTATTAATACTGCTTCATCACCTGAACGTTAATCTTCATTGTCATCACCGTGAATTTAATTCTCAGAATTGTTTTATGACCTTGGATCCATATTTAATTATTTTATATATTTATAAACACTCTTTCTACTCTTAAATACTCACTTTTAGTTTCAAAACTTAATCCCAAAACTATTCTAAAACTATCTCTATATTAAACTAAATCAGGTTTAACTTATTTCTTTAAGACACATATTTTAATTAAGAAAAATCCTAAATTTAAAAACAATATTTCAAATTATTTTTCTCAGTTCTTTTTTATGATCTCTTTCTTATCTTAACTATAATATTTCAATTTTTATATTTAAAATTGGTTTAATCTTCAATAATTATTTATTTTTTAATTTAATTTGTATTTTGCATAATTTAATTGTTATATTTATAAAAAAATATACTCTTTCATTTATTATTCATTGCATTTTTAATCTTTTTATTACTATTATTAAACCCTCACTTTTATTTCGTGATTTTTATTCATCTCTTTAATACCAAATCTTTTTACCCTTATTTCTAAATTTAATTCTTAACTTTTCCTTTTCCTATATAAGTTCAAAATTTATATCTTTAAACTCATTTTCTATTTAATTACCGCTCATGTAGAATTTTATTATATTTTAAATTCTTTTTTTTCTTAAAGAATGTAATAATAATCCAATATTTTAAAATCTTCTTTTTTTTCAAAGATTTTAGAAGTAATAATATCTAATAGATATATTAAACAGTTTGTGAATACTAAACAAAGATTATTTGAAAAGTAATTGAATTTAATTTATCAAATCCTGAAAATTTGAAATAAGGACTTTTGGTTTTTTAATATTTGTTCTATTAAAATAATTTCATTTATATTGTTTTGAAAAATAAATTTTGATACTTCAAAGTTAATTAGAGATTTGAAAATGAGAATACTTAAAATAATTTAAAGAAAATAAACAGATATAAAGATTAATTCATCATGAAAAAGATTATAGTAATTTTGAAATAACAAATTTCATTAATAATTGAATTATAAAATAATATAAAAATACAATGGCAACATTATTTTAATGTGATGGTGCAAATTGCATAGAAGCTTTTCTTGAAGTAGCAATTTCTACTACAGCTTCAATAATGGCAATAGATGGATTCCGAATAATATTTAGAGATCGTAATAAATTGTTATCAAAATTGAATAAAATTATTTATGGGATATCAATGAGTTAATTAATATTGCTTAGTACTTATTTTATCTTTTGGGGTAAGATATCAATAAAAGTCTAGGATCTGATTTTGTTATATCGACTATTAGATGTCTTAGAATTTTGAATGAAATTTTATTATGTTCTTTGCTTGCAGAAATTGGATTTGAAAAAAGCTTTTTAGATAAATTAGAAATATTCTTAAAGGTCTTAAGTGGTTTTGTATTTATAGAATGGTTTTGGACTGCAATTATATCTAATGAAGCATACGAGTAAAATATTAGATAAATATATAAGCTATTATTGTTNAATTTGTATTTTGCATAATTTAATTGTTATATTTATAAAAAAATATACTCTTTCATTTATTATTCATTGCATTTTTAATCTTTTTATTACTATTATTAAACCCTCACTTTTATTTCGTGATTTTTATTCATCTCTTTAATACCAAATCTTTTTACCCTTATTTCTAAATTTAATTCTTAACTTTTCCTTTTCCTATATAAGTTCAAAATTTATATCTTTAAACTCATTTTCTATTTAATTACCGCTCATGTAGAATTTTATTATATTTTAAATTCTTTTTTTTCTTAAAGAATGTAATAATAATCCAATATTTTAAAATCTTCTTTTTTTTCAAAGATTTTAGAAGTAATAATATCTAATAGATATATTAAACAGTTTGTGAATACTAAACAAAGATTATTTGAAAAGTAATTGAATTTAATTTATCAAATCCTGAAAATTTGAAATAAGGACTTTTGGTTTTTTAATATTTGTTCTATTAAAATAATTTCATTTATATTGTTTTGAAAAATAAATTTTGATACTTCAAAGTTAATTAGAGATTTGAAAATGAGAATACTTAAAATAATTTAAAGAAAATAAACAGATATAAAGATTAATTCATCATGAAAAAGATTATAGTAATTTTGAAATAACAAATTTCATTAATAATTGAATTATAAAATAATATAAAAATACAATGGCAACATTATTTTAATGTGATGGTGCAAATTGCATAGAAGCTTTTCTTGAAGTAGCAATTTCTACTACAGCTTCAATAATGGCAATAGATGGATTCCGAATAATATTTAGAGATCGTAATAAATTGTTATCAAAATTGAATAAAATTATTTATGGGATATCAATGAGTTAATTAATATTGCTTAGTACTTATTTTATCTTTTGGGGTAAGATATCAATAAAAGTCTAGGATCTGATTTTGTTATATCGACTATTAGATGTCTTAGAATTTTGAATGAAATTTTATTATGTTCTTTGCTTGCAGAAATTGGATTTGAAAAAAGCTTTTTAGATAAATTAGAAATATTCTTAAAGGTCTTAAGTGGTTTTGTATTTATAGAATGGTTTTGGACTGCAATTATATCTAATGAAGCATACGAGTAAAATATTAGATAAATATATAAGCTATTATTGTTTAAAAATGGATTTAGTTTATTTATCAGGAACAACAGTGATTCTAACACTTTTAGCTTGTGGTTTTGGATTTTATGCATTAGATTAATTATACATATCTAAACAAGAATTAAAGCCAACAGATTAAAATAAGATGGATGAATAATCATAAGAAATTAAATTATTTTTGGGATGTGATCTATTATCTGGTCTTATTCAATTTGGATGGGATTATTGGGCTAATATCAGTGCTTATACTTTAGCTGATTGTAAATCATATTATGAAGCCTAATCTATCACTAGCGTATTATTTAATTTTCATAATTAGATATTTGTTATATTTTTAATGAAAGTTTTAACATTAATGATATCTCCAATAGCTATTTATTATATTTTGTATTATAAACAAAGGTTATAATTCAATTATAGGCCTGCTAACGTTTTGGATATTAATGTTCTAATAGATAGAAGAAGTGAATTAGTTGTTGAATTAACAAATGCTTGATATTATTTAGTTATATATATATATTCAGTTATTTATTATGCTTTCGCATATTTGACATCTTATTAAACCTTTTATTCCATGATGTCGAATACAAAAGTAATTGCATCCAGGTTTCTTACAACTGAAAATCTAATTTTACAGGAAACTGTTTTTAATTGATTTTAATTATTCCTTAAACATTTTATCTAATATTTAAAATGGAACAAATTTTCTTAGAATTTAAGTTTTAATTTTTTATTAACAATTAAGACATCTTAATGTTTTACAATTATTGTTAATTTAGATCTTAATATAATCACAAACACATTTTTAATGATAGCAATGAAAACAATCTAATGATACTAAATCTTTTTCAACCATTACTTAGCATTTATCACACATTTATTACATATCAAAAGAAGATGATTAATGTGTGATTTCTGAACTTTCTTGAGTTATTAAATTTATTGTAAGTTTGTGATGATTTTTAATCTCATTTAAATAATTTTTGGTATTGTTTTCTATAAAATTGATATAGTCATCAAAATTCATTGGTTTATCTTATATTGTAAAAATATTATTTTCCGAACAATCTTTGATTACCTTTATAATCTTTTATTTTGCCAACTCAACTTCTTTAATAAATCCATTAAATTTGCTTTGTAGAATATCAATTAATATTTCCTACCTGCTAGGTGCTAAGATATTCTTTATAGGAGATATATGATGTGTAAGTATTTATGGATATCTATTGTTCGATTTGAAATCATTATAATCATAATCATTTGAGCAAGTTGGAATCATCTTTAAGAGATTTATTTATATTTAAGTTTATTTATGATGATCATTTTTATAATTTTTGTGATTTAATATATATATAAATATCATGATACTTAAACTTAAAAATAGAATATTTATATAAACTGTCTATTTATTCAATTTTAGAATATATATATGTATAGGTTTATTAGTAATCATAATATGTTATATTTATAAATATTAATATTATATTCTAAATAAATGGTGTTCGTTGTAATTAAAAACTTTGTTAAAATAAATACATTTTGTATATATCAAGGAATATGTTATTTATTATAGAAATGATAACTTACGAATTTAAATAATATAAAGTATTTTATAAATTTTATATTTATTTAATTATTTGGAATGCCTCCTAAGCCTAAACCTAAGAAAGCACCATAAGAACCAGAAGATGAATTTACTAAGATGACTGCTTAAGAGCTTACATAAAATTTATAAATATTTCGAGATAAATTAACTGAATTGAAACAGAAAAGAAATTATATTTAAATGGATCGAGACATGGTCCAAAATTTCTTCTCAAATTGCTTATCAGAAATTTAAGAATTAAATATTAAAATTGTTAACAAAGAAACAGAAGCAGAATAATTAGAGGAAACTCATAGAATCCAATTAAAAAGTTATTTATAAAAAGTATAACTATTAATTAACTTAGGTTAAACATCTTGAGTATGAATAAGAAAAAGCTAATGATGAAATTGAGAAAGATGGAAAAGAAGCACACAATTTAGAAAACGATCACTTTTCTAAGAGAAGTGATGAATAAAAAAGATAAAAAACACATTTAAAAAAATTATAAGAGGAATATGAAAACTCATATATTCATGCAATTGAAAAAGAAGAAAAAAATAATAAAAAAACACTTGATAAATCAAAATAAGTTTTTGATGAAACTTTATAAAATATGGAAGAAAAATATAAAATGAGACTTTAAAAGCTTAAAGAAGAATTAGAACTAAGACTTAAAGTTGAAATCCATGAACTTGAAGAAAGAAAAAATCTTCATATTAATGAACTAATTAACAATCATGAAACAGCATTTGCTGAACTTAAATAATATTACAATACTATTACAAGAGAAAATTTGGAACTTATTAAAAATTAAAAAGAAGAGATAGCGAGCATTAATGCTAAATTACAAAAAAATAGCAAAATCATTGCTGATATGAAGGCTGCTAATAATAATATTAGAATACCATTGAAATAAGCTACAGAAGAAAGAGATATATTAAAAAATGCTCTTAAATAATTTTCAAAGGTATAAATTTATTAATTCTAAAATTAGCATAAAATGTCACTATAAAATTTATAATCAAAAAATACTACATTAACAGAAAAATATGCAGAATTGAAACATAACAGTAATGATTTGAATTTTAAATATGATAAATTATTAAGAGAAAAATAAGAATTAGAAGAAAAATTTGAAAGAATTGCAATGGAAGTCAAAAAACATACTGATTTGTAAAATAATGTATTGAGTTAACAATTATAAAATATGTAAGATGGATTAGAAGAGAAAGTAATCATCTAAAATTTATTATTAGGAAGTTTAATTAAAAACAATTGTTGACAGAACTAATATGGATCCATAAATGTATCAACAATTAACTACAAAAATAAAGGAATCTATTGAGTAATATCAATTCTTATTTATAGAGCTAAAAATTAATTAATCAAGAACCTAAGATATTCTATTCATCATGCTACTAAAGCATACAATGATTCAATAAGAGTTTATGAAGCAAAATTAGTAGAGTTTGGTATTCCACCAGAAGAACTTGGTTTTTAACCTTTAGCAACAATCACAAGTTCTATGCCAGCTGGATTAGTAAGTTAATGATCTTATAATTATACAATAATTTCATTATTATCTAAATTATAATAATCTATTTTTTATTTCATTTATTCTATTAATTAATAAAGTAATAATTAAATATAAATCATTTAATATAAAAAATAGAAAAATTCTTTATTTTTTTAAGAGGATCTTAATTTATCATCATTAATGAAAAGATTTTAAAATAAAATTTTATTTTCTTCTATTATAAATCATTCTTAACAATTTATTTGAATGCTTTTTATTAAGAAATGACCTTTTCATTGTTTTTAAAACAAACATAAATTAATACTACTATAAATTCTTTAAATTTGTTGCCCATGCATCTTTAATACACTCTTGAAATTAAGATCTTTTATTTCTTTCTTTATCATCTTGTTGTCTATTTTTTTTCTTAACCTCATCTGTCTTTTTAGTTTCTTTTGCAATTAATAATTAAATTTGATAAGATATTTCTTCATTTAATTTCAATTATTTCTGTTGATTACATGAAAAATTTGTATACTTGAATATGATTTATTTAAGCTTAGCTAAGAATATCAAAAATTTTAGATGTTGCTAATGAAAATGAAAAAGATTATGATAATAGATGTTCTCATCAAAATTATTTGAATTTTCCTAAAGAAATATCAAAAAAGGATTAGTTTAATAATATATTTAATGGTATTAAAGTATTGTCATAAATAGAATAGATGTTATTATTTTTAATAAAAAAAGAGAAGAATAATAAAACTTATAAATATATGTTATTAGATTTAATTTGTAAGTATTTGATTAAAAATAAAAATATATAATTAGAGTAAATGTCACTTAATAACTTCTTTAAGTAAAAGTAGTAAATTCAAAAAGAAAAAGAGGAAAATGATAAGTATAATAAATAAGTAAATGAAGATAACAAAAGAAAGATTAATTAGATTAAAAACTCAATATATAATCTGTATAATTGAAAGCTCGTGCAACTTAAAGAATTGAGGCATTTTAAGAAACTATGATGTCCAAACAATATGTGGATAGTTTAAAAAATGGATCATATCCATTATTACCAACAAGCAATCATTCATTTCGTGATAGAGATAAAAACAAAGAGATGGAAAAAATGGGAGGAATTTACATAAAAACGTATTTTTGAGAATAAATTAACTAGATAACAAATACCTAAAGCAAGAGCATAAACAGCATAATAAGAATTTAGATCTGGTCATTTAGCAACTGGAGAATTTGATCCAAATATTCCAACTAAGAATCATGAAAAATGGTTAAAACCAAAAGATTTATCGAAATAGGGAGAACCTATGAGATTTGGTTTAAACTATAGAACTGAGGTTGAGAGAGCAAATTAAGAAATAAAAAAAGTTAGTGAGCAATTAGATGTCTAAGTATTTGTTTTATTAACAATTTTAAAGAATAAAGATTTAAAAATGTTAATAAGACCTAGTTGGAAAGAAGAACATAAAGAAAAATGGTTAGATAATAATACATTTAATATATATCCATGTTTATATGATGGTCATAGGAGTGATTAACCTTGGGAATAACATCCTATTAATTTAGATAATCAAAATAATTAATATATTGATGGTTATGAAGTTATTGGAGATCTTTCAAGATAAAGATTCAAAGAAAAAGAAGTATTTTTATATTCTATATAAATCAGCATAAAAGAACTGATTTTATATCTACTGTTAAAGAAGATCAAATTGGAACTACTATTCATATATCAAGATCTTTAAGAACAATGAAATAAGATAAAATACTTAATATGCAATCAAATTATGATGAATATTCAAATAATAAATAAATCGAACACTATAAATCTACATTATTATAAACTAAAAGTATAGATCATGTTACACCACATTAACATAGTAATAAGTAAAAAAAATATTTATATTCTAGTTACAAAGGTCATTCTTTACATAATCTAAGACCATAACAACCTACTAAATTGTATAGATAATCTGTTAATTATCTAAATCAAAAAATAATAACTAAATAACCACCATAATAAACTGCAATTATTTAAAATAATTTCACTTCTCAAGAAGATTAACCAACTTAATAAATGTTGACTGCAGATTTATTCATTCCTAAATAGAAATTAACTTAAATTTAAGAAGTTTCTTAAGTTTAAATTTAAAGTCATCATTCAAATAATCCTTTCAGTAGAGAATCCTTAGCTTCATAAGGAGGACCTAGATCAAGATTCATGGATTAATATAAATTAAAAAAAACAGACTCTGGATAAATGAAATTAGGATATCCTTATCATTTAGAAGATGATGAAACTACTGCTAAGATTATAGTCAAATATTTTCAAGAAGAAAAAAAATGATTTATTTATAATTTATAGTAATATGTCACTCAAATATTGTGATTATCAATATATAAAATTATTTCATTAGTTATCTTTTGAATTTCTTTATTTTTAGATTTTGTTAATTAGATGAGATTTTCAAATTCTAAAAATTGAATAATATTTCCTTGTATCTTTATAAGATTTTTTATTGAAATTAATGCAAACAATATAGAACTTGAGTTTAGTGAAAAATCATTTAGCACATCTTTTAATCTGAATTATACACCACCAAAAATTAATAATTAAATTTGATTTTCATTTGAGTTTTCTATTAATATTTTAATAGATCTTATGGATGTCTCTCTTATCTTTCTTGGAAAGCAATCTTCTTAAAACCTGATGATCTCTGTTATGATAACATTATCATTATAAAAAGGTTATAAAAGATTATAATTCTTTTCACATTATTAATGAAAAATTATGCTGCATAAATTTAATATATAGGGTATTTACTCATTTAAAGATGATCTCATGATATTTTTACTGAATTAAATTACAGAAAAAATTAATTTCTCATAGAAGTTATCTGGTTCATTAATGCTCAAATATGAAATTATTCTTGTAACTATTTCTATTAATTCAGGCTTTCTCTAACACTAATCTAATAGATTTAATATCATATCTAAATCTGGAATTATGAAATCATAATTAAATAATTGAACAATTGAACTATATGTTTCTAATAGCTCCTCTAAAAAATCAACATTCTCTTAAATTCCATATTATAATAGCTTTCTAATTATATTTATCAAATATTTGTAATCAAAATTATTTTCTTCGCTAATACTTTATAGATAATTTTTATAGCATTTACAAATTAATAGAATTTTGTTATTATCTTTAATAGATATACAGAAATCTAGAAATAAATTAATTATTTCAATGAGATTTTAATCTTATTTTTAATGACAGTTAGAATTTGCCCATATATTCATCAACAATTCAAGAGTTGCAATCACTTCGATCCTGTTTTATATCAAACTTGATAATATTTGAATTAAATTACAGTAAGATTGGTAATTTCGTAAAAATATAGTGGTTATTTTCTCAGACATCTGTGTTAGATTGACTAAAAGAATTAATATTTCTTTTGTTAGATTATTATTATTCTAAACCAAATAGTTTGTTAAACTTACCATTAAATTTTACGCTTAATTTTCAATCTATTAGTTTTGTTCTATTGTTAGTTTTTTTTTAGAAAAATTTAATAACAAGGCATTTAATTTAGTTAAATTTCTTAGACTTATAATTTAAGTATTATTTATTGCATCTATCAACTATTCAAATGAATGCTCATATTCTATTTATAAGAATATTCTTTTTTATAGAAAAATTTGCTAATGCTTTTAATGTCTAATATTAATTCTGAAAATTTCTCGTTTATAATTAAGCATAATATTATAAATAATAAATAAATATATTTCCACATTAATGTTTGGCATTAATTCAATTATAGAATCAAGGATCACTTAAAGTAAATTTACTATGTTTTAGAGAATTTTACACTTTCTGGTTTTCTTATCATTTTAACTAAAATTGATTATCTTAATTGTTTTCACCTAAAAACCATTTTCTTATTCTAAAGAAAAATATATTTTAAATTAATTTGATATTCCAAAAGGAATAACTCTTGTTTATTTACTAATATTTAAAGTAAATAATCAAGATTGATTTGCTTGGAATAACTATTACATATTGTTATATTTAGATTTTTTCCTCTTAATTTAGATTTCTATAACATATAAAAATAGTTAATTATTTGCATAAATTTTAACTTTTCATAAATTTGGATTAGAGTTTAAATCTAACTTGAATTTGATAGTATATTTTTGAAATATTCTATCTTAGTTTTTCTAATATATATATCTTAATTTTTATATGAAAAGTTTCATTTTATTGATCAAATACATATTAATTGTTTTCTAATAAAAATGGATATATATACAATTATTAAAGAATTTTTGAAACAGTTGGATAATATAAATAGTAGTTAAAACTAAAAAGAAAAAGTGATATTTTATTGAAAGTAAATGTAAATTGATAATTATTATGTTAATATTATTTTTATGATTGTAGTGCAAAGTATAATAGTGATCTATAGATTAAAATATTTAATAAAAAATGAAAACTAGGAATTCTGATAGACAAAAGCAAAGAGAAGACTTGTCTGTCACTTGTTAAGAGGTATTCACAACAAATTTCTCATAAATATGTCTTCCTTTATATAATTTATTTATACACTATAAAATAGAATGTATCTATGAGTGATTACCCTCTTCCTAGTTCATTTTAAACCCCAATTAAGAGAAGAGGACCAATAAATAAGAAACCTAAATAGGTATTTATGATGATAATTATAAGACAACGATTAATTTGAAAAAACACAAATCTTAAAGGTAATTTATCTGCTATGACGATAAAGATTTAAATATTCCATAGGAATACTAATCAATCCTATAAAAGCATGTAAATATTATTTCAAAAATAAAATAGAAATCTGATTATGATAGAGAATCAGATGAAGAATAAATTAAATATGCTATTAACTACTTGTATAAAGACTTATTATTATGTTTAGAAAAAGAAAAAAATTGAATTATTAAATTTATAATGCTCATAAAAACTTCTTTATATTGCCTTTCAAAAGTCTCTTCTCTCTTATGAGATTATTTATTTACACTACAATACTTCAAATTAATAAAAACATATCATTGTTCAAGATTAACAATAATACTTAGAAAGGAATCAAAAACAAAAGATTTTTACAAAAGACTTCTTTATTCAAATCTTATTTGACTGATAATTAAGGTGAACCTTAAAAATATAATGATAAAATTTAATTAATAAAAAAGGTATAGAAAGGATAAAGTATTATTATTAATTCTAATCATATCTATCAATTTTGTTAAATTAACTTGAGGTTTTCTACATTGTTAAAAATAATTAATCTTAATTATCATGACAATAAATTTAGATTTGTTTCAATAAATTTTATTAATCAAATCCTCAAAAATAATAAGGAATATTTTTAATAATATATTATTTTATTTGAAATCTCTTACAAACTTTTACTAAAGAATTTATTTTTACTTAATTTTTATTAGATTTATTATACTTCGATTTTAACTGATTATAAAATTTCTAAGTAAAATTTATTAAAATTCATATATTTATTAATGATTATAATAAGAAATAGTAATATTATCTCAATGAGTGTTTATAATTTTTTCGAAAAATAAAAATTCCTATCTTAAAATTTTTGCTCTTTTTTCTATATTACTTGAATTAAAAAAAAATTATAACAATTAATATATATTTTAGGTAAGAAATTCTTATGAAATGATTTAATTACTATAATTTGAGAAAATGTAAAAAATTTATTTAATAACAATGAAAATAATATTGTATTTTTACATTTTACTTTATCAATTATCACCTTCTTCAATTTCCATTATTTTAGAGCTACTTTATTATGTATTAATTTAAACTATTCCTTGAATCTCATATTTAGGGGCATGCTAATTGATTGTTTCAACTATATTTTCTACCTAAAATATTTAGATTTTGTACTTATTATTTAATAGCTCCCAAAATTTGGTTATCAAAATAAATTTAGAATGAGTTATTAAAAGGAGGTTCTTTGTATTCAACATTCAATTTTTCTTTAATTGAATTCCATTAATTTTACAATCTTTCCAAATTATTGAGTGTTGTATTTTAAGTAAAATCATTCAAATTATTATAGCTTTCAGAATCATCTCCATCTTTCTATTATAAATATTTATAATAAATATCAATAAGTGATTCCATATTCAAAGAAACTGTTTCAATGTACATCTACATAGTAGAAATATCTAGTTAAATATTTTATTCTAATGTTTTTTCACTCATCATTAATATAATAAAAATAATATAATTAATTAAACTTTCTCATAATTATAGTCCATGCAACTATTTTCTTAGTTCATATTATAAAGCTTGCATTGAGATAGCTGTTATTTGGTTTTGCTATTTTAATATATTTGTATTTTATGGTGGCTATTATTTTTATTGTCTCGGAATCCTAGCTGATAAATGAGGAGTGATTTTGGGCTTAAAAGAACACTCTTTAGTAATAATCTTTTCTTTTTCTTCAAAATAAGCTTTGCTTGATTCTTATTATTTTTACAATTTATTTTTTTGCCATTATTCATTTCTTTCTAAAAATGATGTTTGTTTCAAATAATTAGGATATTTCTTATTAATATAAAAGAATACATTAATTTAAGGTTTAAAAGTAAGTTCTTTATTCTCCTTTTCTTCTGGTGTAGGAGTCATTGATTATCTTATTGGCTTAGCAATTACAGAAGTTTGACTTTTATTGATTAAATCACCAACACTTACTTTCTACATATGAAAAGAATTGTTCTTCATTCTATCAAGCATCTTAGTGAGGTTGATTTCAATGCTTTTTGATCTATTAGGTGATTCATCATTCATTTTTTAACCGAATAGTTTAATTATTAATATGATCAATTATAGATAAACAGAAAATTATTAAAAACTTACATATGTATTTTTAATTGATTCCAAATTCATAGACTCTGCAACTCATTAATCTACTTAGATTTTAAAGGAAATAAAAATTTAGATTATAATCCTTCTTCTCTTAAGAATAATATGAATCTTTTATCTAACTTTAAATCTTTTTTTTTTATCATGAAATATGATCAAAAAAATTTTATTGTTTTAATCGTTAGAGTTAATTCATATGCATATCATTTCGATAAATCTATAAAAAATTAGAAAAAATATGGTTTTTTTATCTTGATCAATAAAGTTATTGAGAATAAATAAAGAAAGCTATTGTTAAATTATATACTAATACAATTTCTTTAAGTTAATATTACTCAGATAAACAATAAAAAATTATTTTAAGTTGATTAAATATTTAATTAAGATTGATAATTTAAAAAAAGGTTCATAATAATCAATGGTTGTCATAAATTTAAATACCCCAAGAAATTGCATATGATTTATCTAAGTTGTTTAAATTTATAAAGAACTTCTACATTGATAAAATAAAAATAAATATGTATATTTTTAAATAATAAATAATTACTTATTAATTGTTGAGGAAGTTCTAATAGCTTCCATTTGAAGTTGATTAAATAATATTTTTATTATTATGCAAGCTAAGATTGATACTTCAATTGAGATGGAAATGATGATAGAAAGCACAGAACATTTAAATAATTTAAAGAGTTATTAACATAAGGATTAAATAACTGATTAGTGTGGAGAGAACTCAGACTTGAATCAAAAAGTCAGTTAGATTGACTTAGAGTTCTAGAGGGTTTTATGTTAGTTGATCGAGTCGAAATTAAGTGAGAATACAATTTCATAAGTAAATGCTTCTATCTATTTAAAGGTTCTTGACTTATTAAAAAGATTATCTAGTACTCTAATAGTTGACATTCCGAAAGGTCCTTAGATTCTATACAGCCTTTACTAAATCATATTAGTAAGAAAATCAACAATCAAAAGAAATTTTCCATTCAGTCCATTATCTAGCATATTATTCAGGATCAAAAAGTTAATTAAGAGAGTGAAGAAGTTGCTACTAAAGAGGTTGAACTTCTTTTAAAAACCGAAAGATATCCAAATAAACAAGCAATCTGCATTTCATTTGTACAAATCCTAATCTTAGAGGACAGATGATCTAACTGAATCATTGACAAGGCATCTATCATTTGAATAAAATAAGGAACCTATCTATAAACAAATCACAATTATATAGGGATAAGGATTAATCAAAATATGATTATAAATAAATCTCAAAGGTTCTAAGCAGATAATTTTTCTATTTCCTTCTAAAATCTTTCTTATACAAATTTATTTTTAAAATGTATTTATCTATTTCTCATAGAAATTTGAATATTAGCACGTTCATTTCTTTTTTAGATCTGAGAATAGATGATTTTTCTTGAAGAGGTCTCTTCAGTTTAAAAAAGCTTCGTTTTTCTATTTAGAAATCTTTAAAAAATTACTTCATTGTTTCTAAATTTTACATATGTAAATTTGTAGCTTCATCTAAAAGATTTACAATTTTATCATTAACTAATCTATGAAATGAGGTTTATAAAGATTTAACTCTATAGATATCATCCTCTTAAGTTTCTTATTTAGATTTTAATTGCCTTTCTGTTGCTAATAAAAGTCTTTAGGAAGGAATTCTTGAACTACACTTAGTGGTACAAGTTGAAAGAGGAAGAACCTTTTAGATTTCAGTAAATTCATCATTGGTAGGATGAACATGCTTATTAAAATATATTTCAAAATCTTTGATTAATTGATCTTTAGCTTTTGTTTTTTATTTACTAAGAACCTCAGACAATTAAGACAATCTAGTCATTTGATAGATTTGATTATAATATTTATCTGACCATAGTTAATTATTGTACATAAACCCTTGATTCTTTTTCTATTGATTTAAATATTCATTTTAAAGCCTGTTGCTTTTGATTTATTATAAGACTTATCCATAATCAGCTTTTTCAGCAATTGATTTTCTCAAACCTCCCATTTTCTTCAGTTACAAATAATATAGATCTGAATGAGCTTTTTTTACATAAGTTTGAAAAGTTTTATGTCTTTATAAGAATGTTTGATCAGAGACAATGTTAGGTACAAGAAGTATATGTTTGAATTTATTTTGCTCTTTTGACATTAATTTATTATTAATATGGTTAGTTAAGAAATCTTACTGATTGCATAGGATTTAAATTTTAGAAGTAAGTTTGGATTTAATAAAGAATATGAATAAGAAGGAAGAATAGGAAGTATTTTAGAGATCAATTGCGCCAAATAAATTAATAAACCTATATATAAATTTTTAACGAATACATGCAATAACGGAGACCTAAGCTGAAATCTTTAGATAATAAAGAGAATCAACATACTTCAGAGACTCCAATACAGAATCGCAAACTGTTGAGAAAGACAACACCAAAACTATTGTAACCATTACAAGTGGATTAACATATAAGTTCAAGAGAACCATTAACTACAAAAGTGGATGGTCCACATAAGATTAGGTTAAGAACATATGTAAATACTATTGAAAATTTGGTGAATGATAATTTACTAAAATTTATACCTCCTACATGTGATGGCACTATTTACTCAGTAGGATAATCAATAGGTAAGGGAAGCTATGCTACTGTAAGACTTGGAACTAATAAGTAAGGATTAAAAGTAGCAATAAAAGTATATGAAAAGTTATTCTTAAAAGGCGAGCGTCTAAATAATCTAATCAAAGAAATTAGTACATTAAAAGCATTGTCTCATGATTAAATTGTTAAATTATTGGATGTCTATCATACTGGAAGCACAATCAATTTAGTATTAGAATATTGTGGAAATGAAAGTCTCTTTACTTTAGTCAAATAACATAGAGCTTTAACAAAAGATTATGCATTCAATATCATACATCAATTATTAAAGATATTAGTATATATACATGAAAAGAATATATGTCATAGAGACATAAAACTTGAAAATATTCTTATAAGCAATAAAAAAATTAAGCTAATTGATTTTGGATTCAGTACTATATACAATTGTATTACATGTCATTGTGGTACACCTAGCTATATGTCACCTGAAGTTGTGACAAAATAAAAATATGATGGAAGGACGACTGATATTTGGGCTTTAGGAGTCCTTTTTGTAGGTTTATTGTAAGGAAGCTTTCCATATAAGGGTACTACTGAAAAAGAACTCTTTTCAAAAATAAGAAATAATGAATATACTATTCATAGTTAAGATAAAGATGTAAGGGTATTTTTGGGTCAGATTTTTGTCTTGGATCCTCATCATAGAGCCACTGCCAAAGAGGTAATTATTTATAACTTTTATTCTTAGTTGCTTTAAAGTGATGTTTTTAGATCTATGTGACTTCATTTTTATAATTATTATTAATAAATTCTTATTTTGAAATGGTAACTTTTCCTTACAATATTCAAATAGTAACCAATTAATGATATTAACGTTGACGAAGTACTAAAAGGATTGTAAGCAGTTGAAGGAGCTAATGGTTATGTTATTTTCAATTAGGATTGTATTACAAATATAATTATATTAGGTATCCCATTAAAAAGATCAGAAAAAAACATCAACTATGAAAAAGCTGTACATATGTCTGCTTTAGTTGCTGATTTATGGAATGTTACTAAAAAATGTATCCAAAGAGATTTAAGAAATTAAGATGTATTCTAATAATTATAATTTTTAGAATGAACTTGAAATAATTAGAATCAGAACTAAAGCATAATCAGAGTATATAATTTCTTAATGTAATATGATATTCAATAATTAGAGGGTGATTTCACTATGATTGGAATTTAATTATGTGGCAAAGCAATAGAAGAAGCTAAATTAGCAGCTGCTGCTGAAGCATAAGCTGCAGTTGAAGCAGAAAAAGCTAAAAAAGGAGATAAAGAATAAGGTTGATTTAAATTTGTTCCTTCCTTTATTATATTCATATTTCACTAATTATTTATTATCGTTGAAACCCAACTCAATATTTTACTTATTAAATAATAATTAAAACCATATACTATAAATTAATGTTATTTATTTTATGAATTATAAACAAGTCATTTATTGGGAAAAATAAGGTTATGATTAATTATGTGGTGTACATTGCATCAATTCTCTTTTATAAGGACCTTATTTTAACGAGGTTGAATTAGCTACAATAGCATAAGAATTAGATAGATAAGAAATTGAATTATTAGGTTAAACAGGTCATCGTTATAAATCTTAAAATGTTGCTGAAGATGGCAACTTTTCAATTCAAGTTTTGGCAGAAGCTTTAAAAAAATTAGGTGATATCTTTATTGAATCTGTAGATTCAAAAATCAATCAAAATTAAGACTTGAGGTAAATTATTTCTTTTTAAATAATTAAGTCAAGAAACAGGATTTATTTGTAATTCCTCAGCTCATTGGTTTTCTATTAGAAAAATTGAAAATGTTTGGTACAATTTAAATTCAACTAACAAACGAGGACCAGAAATAATCAGTGACTTTTATCTATCAGCTTTTCTTTTATCAGTCAAAGAAAATGGATATTAAATCTTTGTTGTTAAAGGAGTTTATCCACCTCCATAATTAGATGTTATTATTATCATATATTTTCTTTATAGAATGTCTATTAAAATGATCGTTAAAAAGTTCTTACTGCATAACTAATTAAATAAATTCATGATAGAAGAGTTAAAAAGAAAAATTATAAATTGAACATTGGTGGTTCTGATGAAGTTGAAATGGAAAAAGCATTAAAAGCAAGTAAAGGAGAAAAATATGTATTTTTATACAATTTATTATTTTAGGAATCAACAGATGAAGAATTTGAAGAAGAAAATTAAGAAGAATAACCTATAAAAAAGGATTCTGCTCCAATATTTTAAGGAAAAGGTATACAATTTGAAATTTAATAATCAATTGTTAATTATTAGAATTTTAATATTGATCCTCTAGATGCAGAATATAGATCAATTATTCTCATGACACTTGAATAAGTAAACTAATAATTTATCAATTGTTTAGAAATTTAGTATGCAATTAGAAGAAGGTTTAACTATTCTATTTTAATTGCCAGATGGAAAGAATAAATAATACACATTTAGTTATGATGCAAGTGTTGAAGTAATTAGAATTTCCATATATCAAGGATCTTTATGATTTTATTTTCTATGAAAGTAGTTAATCACCTATGAGATTCACTTTGGTTTGTCCAATCCAAAAGTTACAACTGTTAGATGTTTCATAATAGCTTTTAGATTTAGGCATAGATACAATGACCTAAATTATTGTAAAGAAGGAATGAAAATAAAAATTATTAAACTTCATCATAATTTAAGAGTGATTTATAATTCTAGAAAATTTAGACCTTTTTTATTCCTAATTAAAGCTTAAAGTAATATTAATTAAAAATAATTATTATCAATAATTTATAATGCTTACTGATTCATCATTATTTTACAGTTTCAGCAAGCAAACTGCTGTTAAAGTTCAATTAGTATTTTTGGATATAAAAATTGGAACTGATAAACCAAAGCGAGTAATTATAAAACTATTTTATGATGAAATGCCAAAAACTTGTGAAAATTTTAGAGCATTATGCACAGGGGAAAAATCGAATCCATGTATTAAATCAAATAAATAGACAAGATGTGAAATTAAATTTTAGAGACGTTCCATTTCACAAAATTTATAGCAATTTTATGGCTGTGGGTGGAGATATTTTAAATAAAGATGGTACAGGATAATGTAGTATATATGGACCAACTTTCAAAGCTGAACCAAAAAGATTTAAACATGATGAAAGAGGGTTGGTTTCAATGTTTAATGATGGAAATGGTAATATAGGGTCATAATTCTTTTTTACTTTTACAGATTGTTCATGGGTTGATGGATTACATTCTGTTTTTGGAAAGATTGTTGAAGATTTCAGTATATTAGATGAATTAGAGAAAAGTTATAATAAATTAATATATTTTAGTTTCATCAACAAATGGTGCACCTAAAAAATTAGTAAGAATAGTAGATTCAGGTGTAATAATGTGAAAAATAGTGAATTTAATTTTCATTTAATTCTTTTGCCTTCATGCCATTCTCCTTCAACTATTTAACCATCTGCAAAAATCAATTAACCTTTCCCATGTTATTTTCCTTCCATCCAATTTCCAACATACTTTTTGCCATCATTCCAAAGATAAGTTCCATAACCATGTTTTTTATCATAAACATAATCTCCTTCATATACTCTTCCATCAGGCCATTTATATTTTCCTTATCCATGCATTTAATTAGCTAACCATTAACCCTCAAAACTTCTTCCATCTGCCCAAACATATTTTCCAAATCCATTTATTTTATTATATACCCATTATCCTTCATAACTACTTCCATCTGGCCATTAATATTTCCCAAAACCTTCCTTTTATCCATTTATATATTCTCCTTCATATTTACTTCCATCAGTCCAAGTTTCTACTCCTTTTCCATGTTATTAATCCTCAAACCAATCTCCTTCATATTAAGCTCCATTTAAATGAATATATTTCCCTTTTCCATGGGCTTTATCATCTTTCCATTCTCCTTCATCTGACAATAAATTCAATATGTACATATATCTCCATCAACATGATAAAATGTACCTTAACCATCAGCTTTATTATTTTTCCATTATCCTACATATTTTGCTCCATCTTTCCAAATCTATTCTCCAAACCCTTCTCTTATATCACCAATCTTATCTTAATAATTATTTTTTACCCATTCGCCATCGTATATGGCCCCATTTTCAAATTCATATTTATGTTAACTTTTATCAAATACTTGGTTATTCTAGTTTTCACATCCCTATAACACTATTTATTTCTTTTCATGCTCAAAATATCTTGATGATCCTGATTACGCTTTACTAGGTGTTACAAGTGGAGCATGAAAAGGCTCATCATATAATTGAAGTTCTTTTTAATTTGGATTAAAATCTTCTTTTTATTTATCATCTATTTTTTCATCTGGATTATTAATTTATGTTTTTATTTCTTATTTTTCCACCTCTAGACAATAACATGTATTTCCCATTACTTTTTTTATATAAATTATAAAATAATCAATTAAATCATTTTATTCCTTATATTTTTTATATTGGATAAAGTTGGTCTTTTGTATTTAAATAACACAAAAAATTAAACCTTATTTATTATATCATCGAAAATTCAATACATTATTGCGATTTATACTTTTTAAATTTATTTTTTTCTATTTGTTATAAGAGTTTATAGTTAATAAGCTTTAATTTAAAATTATTGAATGTTTTTATCACCTGAATTTTTGAACCTGTACCCTTAGGGAGAGATTATTGACAAAATTTAATATTAGAAATAAGTTGATGATCCATTATTGATCATTGAAAGAATTCAAAATCCAGATGCAGTTCAATTATTTATAGAAGAAGTGAAATGCCCAATTTGTTATGATATTCTGTTTGATCCTAAATGTTGCTCAGAGTGTGAATAGGCTTTTTGTGAAAAATGTTTGAAAAAATGGTAAAAAATTTACTAAATATAGGATTGATTAAAATTAAGTATCACCTCTTTGTCCTTGCTGTAGAGTAAATATAACTAAAAAAAGATAAAAAATACCGCCAAAACTTCTTATAGCTTTATTAAACAAACTTTAATTAACTTGCAAGAATAAAGTATGAATATACTCAAATCTAATAGAATTTAGGTTGCACAACTATAATTTTTTATGAGTAATTAAAAAAACACGAATAATAAGAATGTTTGTATGTACTTATTAAATGTGACAATATATGTTGTACAGAAAGAGTATTAAGAAAAGATTTATAAAAACATAAATTAGTATGTCAATATGAAATTATTGAATGTATAAAATGTTAACAAAACGAGCCGAGATACAAGATGGAAATTCATGTAAAATATACAATTTATTTTAGCTATAAGAGAAATGTCCATGCAGGGAAAGCACATGTAAATGGTGTCATTCTACTATGGAATATCGAGATTTATTAAGTCATGAATCTGATTGTCCCTGTGGATATGAAAAATGCAAAAATTGTAATACCAAATATTCTATTGATAAATTCTAAAAACATACAAAACTTAAATGTATGAAAAAATAAAAAAAATATTTTAAAAAGAAATTTGAATCAGAAGAGAGGCTATGTTATTAGCTGAATGAAAAAATTGAATAATAAGATGAATTAATTCATAAACTTTAGAGTTTATTACAAGGTGAGAATTTTACAAATTTGTACTAAAGTGAAGAAAACTCGGAGAAATTCATATAATGGAATAATTATCAAGATGACTCAATTTCAATAGCAGACTAAAAAATTGATGAAGAATGTGATGTTGTGAGTGATCACGATTGGTGATATTAATCAATTGCTTAGTTTTTAAAATTAATATCTATATATCAAAATATATATGTAATAACAAATAAAGTATGGCAATTATACATTATTTATGACAATAACTACTTATTAATAATCTATTTACGTAAAATTATATTCATAGCTACTCAATAATGTTGATAATTATATAAGATTTTATAGCCATTCTAATCATCTCACTATAAAAAGATGATGCTTCTATATAAACATTTAAATAATTTCAATTACGAACTCTTTGAGTCTTTTTCTAACTATATTTTGTTAATGAATATGAAAAAAAGAAATATATTTAAAATATAAGTTTATAATTGATTCTAAATTAAAAATGTAAATATATATCAACCAATGACTTCTAAAAAAGTCAAAATTATAAATACCTAATGTATTTTGAACAACATATGTGGTAACAACTGCAATAATAAATAACTTTTGATTTATCGTAACATGCATATTTTTTAAGAAAAGTGGAAGCTTTGGTTTAATTGGATTAAATTTTTTAGCAATAACATCCTTGAATTTGAAGTAAAGTGGCTTTTTAAATGGGATAGAATATTTAGGGTTAATGTTCACATTTGATTGCTGATTGTTAATGTCTGAATTATTCATAATTAAGCTTAATAAAAATAATTGTTCTGAATAAATTATTAGTTTGCATATAATTAATAATTAATTTTTAACGTATATGAGTATTTTAGTGAGAGTTGAAGGAGCTTCTAAGGATTTAAAGATTATGTATCCAGAACCAGAAGAGATTCAATTAAACTTCTGTACTTTAATAGATTTAGAATTTACAAGTTTTTCAAATAAAGCAGAAATGATAGTTCAATTTAAGTTAAATGAAGTATTTGCCCTTAAAATTCAAACCTAAGAAGTGTTACTTTAATTAGATTCAATAAAGAAGCGATTTATGCTTCAATGTTTAATATATCCTGGAGAACATATAGTTTGGGTGTCATGCATGAATAATTTTGTAGTGACAGAAAAATCATTAGATCATATATTGATGGGTAAAAAACCTTAATTAGAAACAATAACAGAAGAGGATGATACAGTCAGTCCTTTAAAAAGAAAGTCTGGAAAAGAAAATAAATAAAAATAAAGTCATTCTAAAAAAATATCTCCTTCTAAAACAAAAAGTCCTAAAAAAAAGGATCTATCTACAAGTACAAGTAAATTATGATATATAGAAAGGACAAAGAGGAGTACTCTACATTGGTCGTAATCCTTGGTTTAAACTCCAAANTGTAATAACAAATAAAGTATGGCAATTATACATTATTTATGACAATAACTACTTATTAATAATCTATTTACGTAAAATTATATTCATAGCTACTCAATAATGTTGATAATTATATAAGATTTTATAGCCATTCTAATCATCTCACTATAAAAAGATGATGCTTCTATATAAACATTTAAATAATTTCAATTACGAACTCTTTGAGTCTTTTTCTAACTATATTTTGTTAATGAATATGAAAAAAAGAAATATATTTAAAATATAAGTTTATAATTGATTCTAAATTAAAAATGTAAATATATATCAACCAATGACTTCTAAAAAAGTCAAAATTATAAATACCTAATGTATTTTGAACAACATATGTGGTAACAACTGCAATAATAAATAACTTTTGATTTATCGTAACATGCATATTTTTTAAGAAAAGTGGAAGCTTTGGTTTAATTGGATTAAATTTTTTAGCAATAACATCCTTGAATTTGAAGTAAAGTGGCTTTTTAAATGGGATAGAATATTTAGGGTTAATGTTCACATTTGATTGCTGATTGTTAATGTCTGAATTATTCATAATTAAGCTTAATAAAAATAATTGTTCTGAATAAATTATTAGTTTGCATATAATTAATAATTAATTTTTAACGTATATGAGTATTTTAGTGAGAGTTGAAGGAGCTTCTAAGGATTTAAAGATTATGTATCCAGAACCAGAAGAGATTCAATTAAACTTCTGTACTTTAATAGATTTAGAATTTACAAGTTTTTCAAATAAAGCAGAAATGATAGTTCAATTTAAGTTAAATGAAGTATTTGCCCTTAAAATTCAAACCTAAGAAGTGTTACTTTAATTAGATTCAATAAAGAAGCGATTTATGCTTCAATGTTTAATATATCCTGGAGAACATATAGTTTGGGTGTCATGCATGAATAATTTTGTAGTGACAGAAAAATCATTAGATCATATATTGATGGGTAAAAAACCTTAATTAGAAACAATAACAGAAGAGGATGATACAGTCAGTCCTTTAAAAAGAAAGTCTGGAAAAGAAAATAAATAAAAATAAAGTCATTCTAAAAAAATATCTCCTTCTAAAACAAAAAGTCCTAAAAAAAAGGATCTATCTACAAGTACAAGTAAATTATGATATATAGAAAGGACAAAGAGGAGTACTCTACATTGGTCGTAATCCTTGGTTTAAACTCCAAAATCTCCTTTAAAAGGAGACTATGTTGATGCCTTACTTGCTTAATTGATTTAATAAAATAGTCGAAAAAATAAATCAAGAAAGAGAAGACCATCTACATCTTATCCTTTAAGACCTAAAATTGATAGTGAAGGAATGATTGATAGATAATGGTTGGAAGAAGAAATGATAAATGAAGATTTGTGATATAGTTAAATATTTAAATACTTTATGTCAATATTTATAATCCCTATTCAAATTCGAAATCAATATTTTTTGTCAGTGATTATAATTATTAAAATATCAATCAATTAATGAAAACTAATTCATTATTTTCTTACAAAATTCCTAATTCCTTATCACCATCGAATTTCTCTAAATAATTGATTTTCTAACAAAAATAACTATGTCTATCAAAAGTACAAAAATAGATGCAAAATCTTAATGATCCCTTTAACTCTACTTAAATATCAAAAGCACTTCGAAATTTATAAACTCAGCAATAAAGAAAGAAACTATTAGATTCTATAATTAAGATGAGAGAGACTAAAAAATAAGAAGAAGAGAAATTAAAACAATAGTAGTTATAAAAGTTATGGGAAAAGGCAAATCATACAAATAGTAAAAAACTTAATACAGATTATTTCTATCATAGGGATTTAGATGATTTCGAATCAATAAAATAATAAAGATTTAGATTTGAATCAGAAAGAATTGAGAACTTTTATTTAAGAAATGAAGAAAATCATCATAATATACATAGAATAAGTAGTCTAAATTGTTTAACTACAGAATTTGTTAATTAAAGAAAAGTAATTTAGGCAACAAGTAGAAGGACTAGAAAACATTTAACATATGTTTAAAATAAAATAGGAGAGTTTAATAGATATACTCCTTTGATTAATGAAACATGAATTGATTAAATTTGATTTATAAATTAAGAATACTTATATGAAAATTAAGAAATTACTCTATAGACTTTAAATTAAGTTTTCAATGTAAATAATTTTATTAATAATTATGAGAAAGCTTATTAAAAAGTATGTAATAGTTGGAAATTTATAGGAAGGTAAATGTCTTCTTCCTAGTCCTCCTTCAAGAGTACCATCTCCGTTCATATTATATTTGAGTGAAGAATAAAAAAAATTAAAATAAGATCTTTAATAAAAAATAGAATAAAGAGATATCATAAAATTACTTAATCAACAATATAAAAATATTTCTTAAGAATAAAAAAAATAATATTCTGAACTATATTAAGTGTCTTTATTAAAGTATATGCAAGAAAAAAGAATATATGAATAATCATTTAGATATAGTAAAAATAATGGAATTAAGAAGGTAGACTAAGCTTATATGAATATGAAAAGAAGTGAGAAAAGATAAACAAAAATTGAAGAAATGCATATTGAATAAATTAGAGAGAATTTCGGGAAATTTTAATTTGAGTTGAGTAAAATAAAAATTTCAGATGCCACTCCATAAGAATTAGATGTGGCAAATTAAGTACTTAATTTAGTAACTCTGCACCAACTTTAAATAAAAATAAATTGTCTTGAGTACAAAATACCTGATTTATTCAATTCATATAAATTTAGATAAAAATGCAAAAAATTCGCACTTAGTTTTTTAAGATCTGTAAATTAAGATTATACATTTTAAAAATATTTGATTGAAATTGAAGACATGAAATAAGAAGAATTAATAAATTATAACTAATAGTTGAAAGAATTAAGTGAAAAATTAAATGATGATCCTAGAAATGTAGAATTAGCAATAATTTTACTTGTAGAGAAACCAAAGAAAAAAGAAGAAGAATCAAGAACTAGAAAAAAAGGTGTAACATGTTTAAATAATTTCGTTGAAGTATTAGCTAAATTCATAATAAAAGAGCCATGATTAATATTATATATAATATATAATAATATATTAGATTAAATTTTAAAAATTTATGGGCATTTGTGCAGGAAAGTCTTAAGCAAAAGAGAATATAGTGACTGATATTGAATCAATACCTATCTAAACTTAAGGTACATTAGAGTTTAATGTCAAAATTTCAGGTATTAAAGTGAAAATGGATAATCTGGTATTTTTATTTAAGTGATTATAGTATTATAGCCAGCCGGCAAAATATTAATGAAAATTGGCGAATATGGTTAATTTGAAACAGAATGTTCTAAAGAACTTTATGGAAAATTATATGTAAAATAAAATATTGATGTTATTATGTAGTTTAAGTAAACTCATGCATTTTAGATGTCTATAACAGAAGAGCAATTAAAGAAATAATATCTAATTGTAACTTTACTCACAACAAATAATGAAAATATTGCTTAGATATAAATTAATTTGTTTTTAATAGCAACAGGACCATAACATATAGATTATGAATATACTGGATTAATTAATAAGAAATAATAATAAGGTAAAATAAGCTTCGATTTTAAAATTGCATAAATCATTAAAGTAAGCATTATACCATAGTTTATGGAGTTTAATATGAATGAACCATTAATCCATTCTGAATATTACTATTCTTTAAAAATGGTTACATAGGCTTTATTTTTTTAAAGTGAATATTCAGATCCATTTTTTAATCCAGCTTATAAGAAGATTTAAGTTACTACAAATAATAGTTCATAAAATAAATAATAAGTTATTAAATAAATAATTTACAAATAATCTGGAGTTGAATTGACGGTTGAAGTGCCTCTAATAGAAATATCATCCTCTAGTATATAAGTTTGTTTATGGTACAACGAATAAGCCAATTAGACTATAAATATGACTTCTGGAGTGTATAAACAGCATTATTCTCTGATAGCTGAAACTTATTTTAATCTAAATCAAATATTTACATAAGCATTAAATAGTGAGCAAGTATTTATTAAATTTATTTATTAAGATTTGTGAAAATAATTTAAAAGTTTATAAAATTGTATATTAACAAACTAATAGAAGATTGTGGAACCATGGAGTCCTTGAAGGCAATTTGAATTGTAATCTTTAAGTTATTATTCCTGCATATCTAAATTAACAAATAGTTGGAGTTAGAACAGATAAAGGAATCTAATAAGGAAGTAGTGTTGTAAATTCAGGAAGAATGCCAGTTAAAGAAATATAATCATTAAGTTAAGCAGGCTAATAATTATTAGATGTTCAATATAAATTATAAAATTGCCCTTCTAAAGACGTAATATTATTAATTATTTTAGTTATATAGTAAATCAGAATTAAAGAATTCTCAATCTCTATATCTTCGAACTATCTAAGATATATTAAAAAAGACTGATAAATAATCTATTATATGTTTTGAATATAAATCTTAATAAGATTTATTCAATGCTTAAAAGTTATTGATTGAAATTGCCTCAAAATTATTAGAATCTGCAGATTAGTAAGAGGAATCTATAAGAGAAGAATATTATATATTACTTAAATAAATTATTAATAGAGGAGAATTAGGCCTAAATTAAATGGGATTCTCAGAAGAAACAGAAAAAACAAGTGGAAAACTTTTAAAATTTAAAACTGAAATAGGTCTTAATTATTAATCATTTTTATATAAATGTCTTGGTATTGTATTATAAAAGTTGAAATAAAAGTCATTGGCTGATAATGAAAGGGCATTTGTAGAACACTTTTTTGCAAGTGCCTATTTTAAAATTCCTGAATTTAGAACTAAAATAATTAATAGTGTATAAAGATCAGATGATCCATAACTTCCAGAATGGAGATCTCTTACAATTACTAAATAGACTGATGAAATCACAAATAAAGAATTTAATGACTTATTTGATTGGAATAGACACTTCTATGAATATCTTGTTAATTAACCAAAATATGATGCCAATATCAATAAACTAATGGAGATTATTAATTAAGAAGAATGGCAAAAAAGAATAGGTAAAAGAGGCATTGCATTCTTCTTTTTTTTAAAAGAATGGTGTGATTTAATTGATATCTCTGTCGTTGTTAAATAGAATGTACCATATCAATAATTACCAGGATATAATGTTTTAATAAAAGCTATTCTATTAGAAATGAAAGCTAAAGAACTTAAAAATTATCCAGATATAATGAAAGCTGCAATGTGTTCTCTATTAAATAACACAAGTCTTTTGAACATTGTTATAGTAATCCTCTTTAACAAAACAAATCTCTTTGATTCTGAAGCCTTACTTAATTGCTTAGAAATTCTAAATTCTTGTTTATAGTATCTCTATAATCACAAATTATCAATGCCAACCTCTTTGGATTAATAATTCTTTTTAAAAGGACTTAGAATGATTTTATTATAATGTGAACATGCTTTCAGTGTTGCTAAATGTCTTTGGCTAATATATAATAACTATGTTTTATTCCCATGTATCTTATATTTTAATTTCTATAGTGGACATAAGGAAAGATATAACAGATTTATTGTTTGAAAATGTGGCTACTAAATTTTTTATGCATTGGTCTTTTAACATTAGAATGATATTTCATCACATTTTACTTTACAGAATATAACATCTTCATAAATCCAATAAAAATTTGAATGAAGAGTATAAATTATTATTATTTATCATTTAGAGATTTAATACAAAAATATTAACAATAAGTTAAGCCAAGAAAATAACATAGTTTTTTCGATTAAAAAAATTCATCTAAAGCTATAATTGTAATAATTAATTTTAAAATTAATAGAGTGATGTTATTTACATGAAATTCTTTCGATTTATGTAATAGATAGATGAAGGAAAATAATTATCTACAAATTAATTATTAAATTAAATGATAGAAGAGACTCATTTTCATAAATAAATGAAAACTAAACTTATTAGAAAAAGAATTTAAGATAGAAAAAAAGGTTAATCAGACTAAAATAGTAGCACTGATGCTTAATCATATCGAATCATTGAAGAGGATGAATAAGATATTGCAATTCCTTTGTTTACAGGTGTTATTAATGAATTGAAACCTCAATAACAATTACCTGAAAAAAAAGTAGTAGTGACTCAGAATTAATTAAAATATTTAATTAAAGCTTGTACAGAGTTTGAAGAATTAAAGTATAAATATTAAAAATGGAGATAAACAGTTATGCCAGTAAATTTTAATTCATTGTCAGAAGATGGTAAAATCTTTCATTTATATTTTAGAAAAAATGAATATAAATGAAACTTTTAAAGTTCCTGAAGTCAAATTAGCTGTTCCATTAGATGAAAAAGAAGGAAACATCAAAAATACTGATGAGTGGTGAAAAATTGATTTTTCCTTTAAATTTATAGAGACTATATAAATTTAATTATAGTTTGCTTAAACATAAAATTATTATATATATCTTAATTTAAATGTCACATAAAATTAAAGTAGACGTAAATATAGATGAAATATAAGTAGGTGGGGAAATGATACTTTGTTTGGCAGATTAGTAATTATTGGATGGTGATTAATTAAATGAAGTAGATGATGTTTTAGAAAATGATGAAATTAAAGTTTAAGATTAAATTAAAAGAATAAATGCACATTATAGTTAGAAATATGATGGCGAAGAAAAAAGGGCAATTTTAGAAAAATATGTCAAAATAGAAAAAGAAGGTTTTTAAATTAGTGCTGATGGAAAGTTAATGGAAGAACCAAAATAGAATGATTTATAAGCAATAAAAAGTAAACTCAATAAAAATTAACAGATTTCTTTAAATTTTATAGATACTGTAGCAGGTGACTATGAACCAAGTATTCCAACTACATTGATAAAAAAGAGATTTCGATAACCTTAATAAGCCAATCCTTTTGCTGAAGAAAGAATATCAAAGATAGATAAAGCTTTATTAGAGGAAGATGACTATGAACTATGACAAAGATCTATATTAAATCAATAAAGATAGAAAATGAACTTATAAATTCTGAAATAAGAAGAGAATATAAAAGAGCTTATGGATTAAAATAAATAAAAAGAGGAAGAATTGTAGAAACAAAAACAAAATGAATTTATGATACCTTAAGTAAAAACTTAAGGAAATGAAGTACAAGAAATAAAAGTCATAGAGCAATCAACTGATTTTTTGAGCAATGTAAAGACAGATAAGAAAATGGAAGAGATTAATATAGCACTGGCTATTCAATAAAAGATACTAAAAATGGAACAATTCTGTTGTAAGTGTTAGATTACCTACAGAAAGAATAGTTGTATAGTATAGATAATAATCAGAAATGGAATTAGAAAATATAAGGGGAGATACTTAAAAAAATGATATTATTTAGAGAAAGAAGAAAAGTTAGAGGATTAGTTAGAAAGAGGAAATGAAAAGGATGAATATGGGATTGAATTTTTAGAAGAGGAATAACATGGTAATGGATTAACAGCAATATTGAAATTATTGAGAAAGAGAGGAGAATTGAATCCATCAAATTATGATTATCGTGGTAGAAATAAGGATAAAAATTGTTTTAAGATTAAGAATATAAAGATGGTGAAATAAATTTAGTGTATAGAGATCAATCTGGGAAATTGATGACACTTAAAGAAGCATTTAGATAAAGAAGAAATGCTTTGTTTTATACTTTGCATCAACAAAGCTATTTTATCCATTTTCTAGAAATATCTGTCACTATTGGCTTAATTTAAAATGCGCTCTGTCATTTAGAGTTTTTACCCTTATTGATAATTTCTTAATTAAACCCATAGTTTTTTATAATCATATTATACTCATATTCATATAAATTACTGATCTTTTGTTTTATAAGTGTTGGATATTTCATGGAGATGGACCAAGTAAGAATAAAATAGAGAAAAAGAAAAGAAGAAATTTAATAAGACAGAAATAAAAAATGAAAGCATAATCAGATGGGCCATTGATGTAGGCTTTAAAGGAAGAGTAAAAAAAAAAGGGAGTAGCACATCTGGTTATAGGGAAAAAAATATTGAAATTGATTAAGAATTATTATATAATTATTAACTATTAAAGGTGTTAGTTTAATTATGTAGAAATAATTTTGAAAACAGTATGATCTAAAACCATAAATAATGGTGATCAGAAATTTAAATCTTATTTTTAGATAAAAATTAAATGAAGGTATAAACATAAAGTATATTCAGATCTACGTTGATGCTTTCAGTGGAGAAGAAATCGTTTCAGATAGTTTCAATATTGAAGAGAAATTTGAAGGAGCTATAGGTGAAGTTCAATCACAAGATATTGTTAAAGGAGCTGTTAATGTTGATGTTGGTATATTAGACCAATTATAATTAAAGGTGCTGGTGGTCATTTTGGAGGAAAGAATGAAGATGAAGAAGATGGAGGTGTTGATGATTAAGCTTAAAAGGTCAATAATATTATTGATGCTTTTAAATATGCTGAAACATAATTTACTAAAGCTGATTATGTCACTTATTTCAAAAGTTATGCTAAAAAGGTTAAGGCTTACTTAGAAGCTAATAAACCAAATAGAGTTGCATCATTCTAAAAAGGAGCTGGAGAATTCATCAAATGGATTTCTGCTAACTTCAATGATCTTTAATTGTAATTATTTGTTAAGTAAGTTTTAGTTACTGTCCTGAGTCTTATGATATGGAAAACCACATCGTTATTGGTTATTACAAAGAAGGTTAAGCTGCTCCTACCTTTGTTTACATTTTAGATGGATTAAAGGAAGTTAAGATGTGATGTATATATACATTAATACATATTATAATTTATAATATATATACATATTATATTAAATTAGTAAAAGTATTCAATCATACTTTTTAGCTAAAATCATTCTATCACAATTAAAACATTTAAATTTGTTGTTTCCTATTGCACACAAATGACATCTAAATAATTAATGTTTTCCTATCTGTTTTTAACATAAATGACATGTTTTCTCTTGAAATCCTTTACCACATCCATAACATGCTTTTGCTGGAAACTCTATTGTAGTAATTTATCTAGATCTGCAAATAAAACAATTATGTGGATTTATTGGTGGCTTTTTATCACGATAATTATCACGTTCTGTATCTTACTGCATTAAACATCTATCACATATATAGCATTTTATGCCAGCTCTTGTCTGTTCTTTTACTAAAATATGTAGAAATTTATTTCATACTCTTCTTCATTGAAGACAAATTGTCAATTGAGTGAACTAATTTGAATAAATCTTATAATTAGACTACTCCTCTCTCAGATATACAAGTCTTCATTAAATTTAAATATTTCAAAGATTTATATTGTTCTGCTTAAAAAAATTCGTAAATTGCTCCACAAAAACTATCAGTTATATCTTCATTCTTTGCTATTGATAATTTCTCTATATTTTTCATTATCTCACTTTTTATAAACTTCAGAAGGATTACTTTTTGATACAAAAATAAAGTTACCTTCTGGAAATGGTTGTCCATCTAAATTAAGGTTTTTTAAGGAACTCATGTATTTAGCTTCACTTAAAATTCTGATAGCTTCTCCAGTCATATAAGATTTAGTGAATGTACCAATATTTAATTCTATCAAATTAATGGTATTTGGAGAATTGCATAGATGAGTCATACTCTCATTTGTTAGTGGACAACTATTCATTATTAATACAATCAAAGATTTGCAAAATTCAGAATAAGCAAAAGCCTTTATACTTTCATCTGTAATAGGTTAATGAGAAATGTCTAAGTATTCTAAAAATGCACTATTTGTTGAATTGAAGTATTCACACAATCCTTTGTCAGTAATTTTTGTAAATGACAAATTCAAATAACGAAGACGTACATTCTAACTAAAAGAAATACATTAAAGACCTCTATCTGTGACATTTAATCCCTAAAGAGATAGTTTATTGAGATGATTCACAAAATTTCTGTACTTATTGGAATCTGAGAACTAAGTTTAAGAATCACTTGTATGAGTCATTGCAGCGGTACTATTAAAATTTTAACCTGTCATTCCTCTTGTTGATTCTAAATGCTTTTTAGTTTTCCTCATACTTTAAGTTGCATACAAAGTATATTAATCAACTGGTTTTATGAAAGGTTATGTAAGAAACATTATTCCATTATCAGAAACAGCACTATCATCAAGAAACAAAGTTTCCAGTTTGACTAAGTATTATGATTCTCCAATCAATCTGAGGAAGGTATCTGTAACATTATAAGAATTCTTAGATAAATCCAATTCAGTTAAATTACAACAATTCTTTGATGAACAAATTATCGACATACCTTATTCAGTAATGTTACTTTATTATAAATCCAACTTTTCCAAATCTTACATTGTGATTTTTTTGCATTCAAATTCCAATGTATTATCATCAAATATTTTAATTCCTGATTTTTCTTTTTTTGTGAACTCTACATGTTCTTATTTATCCTCCTCTTTAAATTGATAGGTGTTCTCAACATAAGGCATTCTAATATTGTTAGTAGCCTTGTAATAATATTTGTAACCTGACAATATATTACCAGTCATTGGTATTCCATACCCTCCTTTTTAATAATTATAATCCATTTTAAATATTATAATAATTTAATTATTGTGATCAAATACTTATTATTTTAGTTTCAGATGATTAAAAATTATTCAGTTTATAATAAGATATTAAATGATTATAAATATTGGCTCTATAAATAAAGAATAACAAGTATCAATTTATTGTCTTTTATGATACATTGAGCAATCCGTTTGAATAAATAGAAGAAGCTTTAAAACTACCTAAATACTCCTTATTTGTTCTATTAAGCATAACAGAATCAACTTCTGTTAATATTTTTGGTAGTTTTAAAGACTTAATTATAGTTTATGATGAAATAGAGCATTCTGGTATAGAATATTTAGGTCTTGCAGCTGCAGGGAAAACCTATTGATAAACTATTCTTACTTTATTAATGATACTAATTTAAGTGCCTTTACTAGCTTCAATATGGAATAGTGCTTTATCTAATGACAATGGTTCACTATTCTAAACATTTTGTTTAATGATGTCTATATTTCTTCTAAAATTATAATGAGCCTTATTAATATGTCCATGTCCTTATAACATTTCATATCCTGTATGTTCAACTGGGTTTCCTATTCTTTCAACTGAATGTTTAGTTCTTGTCTTATTCTCTGCTGCATCAATGAATGGAACATCTCTATGTTCAATAAATAAAGGTATTTTTTTGAGCTCCTTTATTATATCCAAAGATTAAGCTCTTTAATTTACTTTCTTGGCATCAAACTTTTAGAGTTTCTGAATTGCCTATCCCTTCTAAAAGTATTATAAAAATCTTTATTTATCCAAAACAAAATAAACAACCTTCTAGCTTATACTCATAGCTCTATATTATCTTTTAGTTCCACTTAAAACCTAAAAAATTTAATTATTAATACTTCTTCATGTCCAAAAATCTAGCCTGCAGTTATTACTGATGTTCTAACTCTTTCTTATTTTCTTTCAGATTTTGTAAAGAATTTTTAAATTGTTAGATTTGGTGTTATTGACTGTTATGTAATGTCAACAGCTCTTGATAATTCTATTTCTCCTTATTTCAGTAAATAAATATTACTAAATTACATAGATTATATTATACTTTGCATCTTCATCTTCTTTGTATATCACTTAGAATAGTTTTCTTTCTTCCAATTTAAAATGATAATACAATTGATTTAGCATCTATTCATTCCAATCAGAAAATACGGCAACTTTACTTAAAAATCCAACATTTTGTTTTTATTGTGCCTCATAATATACAGATAATAATTTATTAAATTAATCTCTTGTAACAGTAGCAAAATATGTATCTTCTGCTGCCACTATTGTAGCTGTCCTTGGAACTTACTTTGTTAATGCTATTTCACCAAAACTTTCGCCAGCATTAATTATTCCTACTTTTGTTAATGTTGGAAATTGACTTTCTAAGTACTCTTAATCGGTCATTGTTGCAAAAATATCATCTAATGTTACTTAGGTTACAAATGCTTAAGATTTTACTTTTATTTTTTTCTTTTTTGTGTTTTTTTTGATATTTTCCATCATCTCTTTATTTTTTTCACTTTTTAATTTTTCTTCTTATTTTTAATCTTCTTCTGAAGGACCTGAACCTTCTTGCAAACCCTTTTTTTAAACAAGAACCCAAACACTGCCCTTTAGAATAATATAAAACTTTTTTCCTAGATCACCTATATTAAATATTATCTATCTTTTTTTCTACAACTCATAACCCAATTGTTTATATAATCCTTAAACCAATTCAGCTCCCATTGATTATTCCAATTCTTAAAAAAATTTAAATCTAAAGAATGACAATCTTATTTTATCTACATCTAGTTAAGTTCTTTAATTTGGATCTTTTTAAAGTAAAGTCACTATATTCTAAAAATATTAAATATCTTTATAACTTACTTTAAGATCTTCATCATCATCAAAATCTGTATCAGACTTTTTAAGAACCTCTTAAACGATCTCTTTTATTGTCATTCTATGAGTTGACAAATTCCCTCTAACTTTCTCAATTGCAGCTTTCATAATTTAGTAATTATAAATATATGTTAATAATATTACAAACCTAATTGTTATCAATTTGAAGAAAATCAAAAAATCAATTATTATTTTTATTTATATTTTTCAGATCTTTATATGAAAATTATAAAATATTGAAATAATCTTTTATCAATAATCAAAATAGATAAGAAACTCTCACAATCTTACCCATTTAGCTATAATAAATAGTAAAGCATCTATCATAATTGGTTTTGATAAACAGTCATGGAAAGGCAATTTTTTAATGGTTGCTTTGAAGTCTTCTCCTTAGAATCCTATCAATCCAATTAAAATAGTATCCTTTTAAAATTCTTATAGAACATTCTTAATTTTCTAACAATCAGCAACCAATTACTCATTTACATATTCAATTCCAATAAATACTATATGATAGCCTTTACAACAAGTTTTAAACTAACAAAATTACTTTCTTAATTAATCAACTATGAGAATTCTTTGCATTGTGTAGATGTACGGTATTTTCAAATTACTCAATTAATGAGAGATTGCATATAAATCAAAATCATTTTGTTCACAAATCAAAATTTTCGGACACTTTAAAAATTAAATTATATTTACTTAGCATTTATAAATAAATTATTTATTTTTAATTCTTTCCATTTTTTCAAAACAATCTAACAATTCATTAGGACCCAAATTAATAGAAGAAACTCTCATTGATGAATATACAGAAGATCTTCCACCAAAAGTTAGTAAAGAATCTCTCTAATTAGATGATAATTATTATTAAATTTATTAATTTAATCTAGATTAGATAAGACTGACTGATATTCTTCGTGCTTAAGGTTCTCTATCCTATAATATAGTATCAAAAAATTGTGAAGGCTATTGTTACTTTTCTATTTTTTCAATTTTATCATTTAGATAAAGACTTGATTTACTAGAAATAATCTCTGCTTCAAAAAATTAATCATGATCATTGAATTCATTTTTTGAATCATGAGATGAACTTTTAGAGTCATCCTATTCTGATATTTATGAAACAGAATAAGATTTCTTAGGCTATTATAATTCAGAATTATCTGATTGACCAAATTATGGTAAATTAGAGTCTCGCATCTCTAATGTTGTTTCAATTTAAGATTCTCTTTTTATTTTTTCTAACTTTTGTTAAATTTATAATCGACTAATTTCTGTAAGTCTCTGTGATTAATGTCTTCTGTATAAGGTATTTTATCCAAACACTTATTGAAATTATTATTTATTTGCAATTAAGGCAGATTATCTTTTTTTTGTTAACTATTAATTAAAATTTGGATTTTCATTTTTTATTAGTAAAACAAAATAAAACTATGTTCCATCATCTGTTTTTATAGTATTAAATTCAAAAGGCATAACTGCTATAGCTAAAGATATATAGAATGCAGTAATGATTGAAAAACAGAATTATTTTTATGTTGCTACTAAATCAATAACTTATGGATTTAGTAAGGTTTATTATTTAAGATGTTTTAATGTAAATTCAATTGATTCTAAGATTCCTTCATTAATATTTTAAGCCATAACTTTGATGAGAATTTCAATGTGATCAGCTAATAAGGGTGATTTTTAGCATCCAATTTCTATAAATCCATTAATTGTTAATTAGATTGACTTAACTGAAAATTATACAAAATAATTACCAAGTAAATTTAATATTATTTATCTAAAACGATTAGGATCTGTTCTAATGAATATTGGTACATTTTATTTAATGTTGACCTAAATACTTAATCCTCTAAATAAGGCTTAAGATTTTATAATATTCAAACAATCTGAAATAAATTCTTTAGTGTGAATATCCATTAGGCTTTTTTCTAATTTATTATTCTTATGTAAAGTAACATAATCTTAAATATCACTAGCTGTGCTAATTAATAATTTACAACCCGCTAAAGCAGGGTCTATATATTTTGTTTATAAATCTTGATTTACTTCTTTCTTTTAAGATTAATTATATTATATCATACTTGAACTAACTCTAACATCGATAATGTACAATTTAAAGGCTCTTTTATTTTTTGAGATATTGTTTGAATTAATTCATCCCCATTTTTAATATATTGTTATAATTATGCTATAAAAGGCTCTTCTGTAAGATCTTGTATATAGATTACAATTTATGGTTTGTTGGCAATGATAATTGGATTGAGAATTACCTATGTATATAATTTATCTAGATTAATAATCAAAATATACCTTTTTTTAAATAAATTTTTAAAGAGAAATCTAAACTCTATCTAATCATTGCAAATTTTATATGAGAAAAGGCTAGTAAGTGTTCAATTAATGTTTTCATTTACATTTTCTGACAAAATAACTGAATTTCTTTTTTTTCTATCAACTGTATATTTTCAAAACAAATGTTCTATGTCCAATAATATGAAAATAAGCATACTCCAATGTTTATGTGAATGTAATAAATTGATTAATGTCTTTGCTTCTGTGAAAACTAGGTAAAATTGTAAAAGTTTGGTTTTCTTACATTATACCAAAATCAAATAATTCTAATTAAACTAATTCACTGTTTAACTGATGATCATCAATTAAAACAATATGAGACATAAATGAATTAATAATACGAACAGGTTATTTTGCAGTCTCTAGTATATAAATACCACATTAAAATCCCATAACTAACACATCAAATAAATCTTCCTATTGAAGTAACATTTTCTAATTTTCTAACTCCTCTGCAACTATTTCTTAAATATTAATTTTTTTATTCTAAAGCTCTGTGTTATCTCTTTAATTTGTTGTATGACCTATTCTTTATGATAACAAAGGAGATTAATTTTTTGATTTTAATTCTATGTTCGCTTTTGGTTTCTAATATAAATAATATATCTAAAATAGCTAAATGAAAATATGAACTAAAATAATTTTAGTTGAACCAATAATTTCAATATGGTTATTGAATTTAGGTTATCTATCTTATTTTTGTCTAAATTACCTAATTATTGTGTACAATAAAGAAAATAAAATTGCAATTGTCTTAACAACCTATGATTCTATTGCAATAACAAAAAAGATCATCAGTCCATAAACTTCTAAACTATAACTTCTATAATCAATTTGGTTTCCTTAAATAAAATCATAATCTGTTTCAATCCACATTATCATCATTAAGACGAATTTCAGTAATGTAATTATATTAATATACAACGTTGTTTCTTTTTTTAATTTACTCATGACAATATGAAAAGCTATTATTAAAAACACTTAAATCTAATCAGATAAAAAATTTAAATTCCTTACAAGTATTCGATAAATAAAAACTAAATTCTCTCCATGAATTTCATAGTTTAAAGCATTTGAAATTGTCATAATAATATCAATGCATTAATACATTGAAATTAATGCCATTATTGATTACCATAATGTAAAATTTGAGTAACTTTCATTCTGTATGGTAAAATAATTTGATAGCATAAATATGTAATTTTTATTATTTTAATAAATTATTGTGGATAATAAATTATTAATATTTAGGAAAATAAAATAATAATCTAAAATATGTTTAGTAAATAACAAATAAATAAAAAGGAATAATTGAAAATTTATTTGAATTTAAATAATTAAAGTAGATCTGTTTTATTGATTTTGATCATATAAATAACTAAGTTTCAGTATGAACCAGAAATTTTAGATATTAAATAATAATTAAAATAATGAATTTATAGATATTCAAAATTTAGACTATTGAAATTAGAAATTAAACTAATTGGAGTATAAATAATTGATTCTTTTAGTTATTCTATGAATTAATTTTTTTGTAAGCATATAAGTTGAATTTTAGATTCAAATTTTCTATAATTCATTTTTAGAATTGAACTGAAAAAAATCCATTTTTAATTTCCTTTCTTAAAAAAATTATATAAAAATTGAATTGTAATATTTTATCAATAATTTTAATAAATGCAAGTATTTGACAATCTAGCTTTATAAGAAGTGTAATCTATTGGTATTGATAAATCTCCAGAAAGATTATAAGAGATCATTAGAATGATTCTTTAAGAATTGAGTTAAATGGGATATGATGATGCTTGTAAAATGCTTGAAGAGGAATCTTAAACTAAATTAGACTCAACATAAATGAGTAATTTTAAAGAATCCTTTTTAAATGGTGACTACGAGAAGCTTTTACAATAACTAGAATTTTCAGAAACAATCAATAGAGTATTCTATTATTTAAAATAGAAATTATAATATGAAATATAAAAATAGTTGTACATAGAGTTAGTTCAATAGAAAAATTATGAGCAAGCAGTGAATTTATTAAGATAATTATCAGAAAATAATGAACAAGAATCATAAGTTTTAGCTAAGTAAATTTGTTAAATAAAAATAGAATGATATTTCTATAAGAAGATGTTTCAATTTTATATACTTAATTGTCCATACCTACAGAATAAAGTGAACAAAGAATGTAACTTTATTATAAGACCTTAAATCTATTGAATTTTGGCGAGTTTTCATTAAAAACTCAATTTGATAAAGTGATTGATTAAGCCTTAGATTATTAATTTAAAAGATGCCCATATCATAATGATTCATAGGAGAATAGGAATAATTCTTTATTGCTTGATCATAATTGCTAATCTTATTAAATTCCTAAAAATAATTCAATTCTTTTTTAAGGTTTTGATGATGAAGTTTGGATTGGTAAGTTTTCAAATTCAGGAATTTGGATTGGTTGTGCAACAAAATAAAATTCCATATATATTATATCAAAGGAAAAACAATAGAAAATTAGTAAAGCCCATGATATGGATATAAATTCGCTTGTTTTTTCATCAGATGATAAATTGTAAAACTGAATAAATTTTAAATGATTAGGTTGTTTTCAGCATCAAATGATAAAAAAATAAATGGTTATGATGTTTTAAATGCTTAATTAAAAGTAACAATGAATTAACATACTAATGAAGTCTTATGTTTAGCTTTTTATAAAAAGTATAAGAATTTTTTAATATAATTATTAGTTATTTATTTAGTGGAGGAGTTGATGGATGGATTGGTATATGGTAAGAAAATGGGAAATTAGTTAATTAAGTGAAAAGTAAAGTAGTAAAGAATATTTTATTTACTGATTAATATATGTTGCTACATAATGCAGCTATATTTTCAATTACAGTAATTGAAAATGATTCTAAATTTAATAAAATAATTACTAATTTAGAAGAACAAGAATTGATTGTTTCCTCTGCTGTTAGTTAAAATTAATAATTTTTAGTTTTAAATGTTTCAAGAGAAAAACCAAAATTAAATTTATGGAGTTTGAAAACATTTTAAAAATTACATGTGTTTTATGGATTTTAAGTAAAAGGAATAGAAATGAAATGTTGTTTTGGTAGTTAAAAAGATAATTATGTTTGTGTTGGTAGTCAAGATGGAAAAGTACATTTTTTTAATAAAAATAATTAATTACAATAAAATGTGATTGATGGACATAATTAGGCTATTAATTTTGTTGATTGGAATAGTTTGACAGGTTAATTATTAACAGCAAGTGATGATAAAACTATTAAAATATGGGTTTAAGATCAAATAGGATAATCATCATAATTAATAAATGTTCCTAATGAATATGAATAACAATTAAATTCTCAATATGAAGAAATTGAGGATGAATAAGATGATCATGAAGAGGAAGAATACTAATAGTAATCAGATGGAGATTAATCATTTTGAATTATTAAATATATATTCAAATCTAATAAATAATAAAATGTTATTTTTGAAATTATGAAATATTAATATGGATATCAAAATTTTTAATATCTAAGTTCTGAAAAGATTTCTAAAATAGGACTAGCTATATCATTTTCAATATCAAAAAAATTATGTGTCATTCTCTCTCTAATAAATAAATGAGATTAGTTCTATATGTTTAATGGTAAACTAAACTAAAACATTTATATATTATACTTTAAGAATAATTCATGTGAATGATGTGGTTTGATTAATTTATCCAGCAGTCCATGAATTAATATTATAGGACATTTTATACATTAAGATCTTTCATTATTTTTAAAGAAATTTGGTAAGCAGAATAAAATAACAAGAACATGACCAAATCCACAACAAAAATCTTATATGATAGTTTTAAAAGATTTATAGCTTGACATAACAATTAAACCTTTTGGCCTTCTTAAACTAGCTAAATAAAATGCTGGTCCAGTTCCTATTGATCTACAAGTTTCAATTTATTCATACCTTCCCAAAATATAAATTTAATTATCTTGTAACTTTTAAGATTTTTTTACATGATCATAGAATGCTAAAGCATCCTCTTCAATCATAGTGTTATTCAAATTCTTTTACATTTAATAAATTCCATATCCTGGGTATTCTATAATAAAAATATTTGCATTTATTGTTTTCATTAACTATTCCATAAAATGTGATGCAGCCTGCCTTTTCATACAAAAATGGTTAATTACAAATCTTCAGCGTTTCCGTGAAAATAAAGTAAATAATTATTAGTTTCTGAATATTTGTTCTTAAGGTAGACATAAGGTATAGATCTGACTCTATCCAAATACTATGAATTCAATAATTAGTCACTCTTTAACCTAGCTATAATTAAGTATATTTTATAAAATACCATCTTTAGAATAAACATTCACATATTTAAGTTTTTCACCAAAATATTTTTCTGTATACTAAGGAGGAGGATTTGGAAAAGTTAATCTATAAATCTTTCCAAAACAATGAAGAAGAACTAAACTAGCTATGTATATAACTCCTAAAAAAGTGGCTATACAAATTGCTACTATTTAACTAGGTTCCATTAAAATTTCTTAATTTATTAAATATTACAAAATTAATTGAAAAGAATATAGATAATATTCATTATAAAAAGGATTTTTCTCAAAGTTTAACTTTGTTTTACATTTACAAAATTAGTTATTCTTCTTATTTAGAACACAATTACAATAATTATGTTCTTTCTAAATTGAGAATGTCAACTTTGTTTTTTTATTAAGATAATGAAGCTATCATCAAAAATATTTATACTTTCTTGTTATTCCAATCTTATTTACATAATTTCAAAAAGTTATTACTTTGGTATTTGAATAATATGATGATATAATTATTTTAATGGATTTAATTGAATGTTAAAATCAAGCTTCAAAGATTATACATTTTATCTTAAAGCTATATTATCTATTTTTAATTGCTGAACTTATTATATAATAGTACTAAATTTTGTTAATTATTGATATTGCTCTTTTATTTTCTAAAACTAATAACTTTTATTACTTTTAATGATTTATCTTATCGTAATTATAATCTTTAGTTTTCTTGTTGTAAAACATTAACTTATGCTTTTAAGTCTGTTATTTATTATAATAATTATTGGACATAAAATTTGTCATACGAAATTATTGAAGTTGAAGTTTTTGTAATTTTATTGGAATTACTTTTACTTTAGCTAAAATGAGTAAGAATAGCTTCATAATTAGATTACTATAAATTATTAGTATTCTATTTTTTAGAATTTGACTTGGATGAAGATGCTAAGTAGTTAATATGCCATACTAGAAGGAATCAAATAAGGTCTTGACTCTGTCATGATTTTATTTTATTTATCTAATTTTATAAATTTTATTTCTTAATCACATAATTATCTTAAATGAATTTCTGTAATTCATAAAAATTTGCTTATTTCAAGAAAGATTTAGCTTTTTGTAATTCCTCTCTATAATTAATGTGTTTCTAACTTAGTATCTAAATTTGCAAAATAAGGATTATTAAAATTTCTTTTATTTGTCCTTGGTATGAGTTAACAATGAATTTATAAATATTTTCCTTTCTTTAAATTATAATAAATTAAGATTGTCTCTCAACAATGATAATTTTTTTAGAATTAATGAATTAATTATAATTTTCTTAAGCATAATCTCCAAGAGAGAGTAATTTTGATTTTGAGGAGCAACCTTAACTTTAGGATTAAAGGATTAAAGAGAATATATTATCACCCTCAATATTTAACAACGTAATTTACATTATATAGGCTATAGATGAAAATTTTCGCAGCTATTTATTAAATATTGTTAATACTATTTAATTCTTATGTAGTGTTTGATTAAAGTTCTAAATTATCACTTTTGTATGTTACAATTTTACATTTTCTCCAAGTAGTACGATTAGCAATTCATAATTACAAGTATTATAGTTTATTTATATAAGTAATATCTTGAATGATCATAATTGTTGTCTTGAAATATTTTGGGGAATTTTATCAATGTCTTATTATGTAATTGAGAATTTATATTCTCTTAGTGCTGTTTTTTATTCTTCTTGGATAACTCAAATTTTCCAATTTAATACCCTATGATAATGTACTTTGTTATAACTTTGGCTTGGTTTATATTCATTGTACGTGCTTATCGTTAAAATAAAAATGAAAAAAATGTCACTTAACTTGTAAATTTACAGTTGTATTTGTAGTTTACAGTTTTTTTTAAATTACTTTTTATAAGCCAATTAATGCTAATAAATTTTAGATAAATTAATTGGCTTAAATGGGATTGGATATACATATTTATTATTATTTGGGCTTTTTTAACATTTGCAATAATTCTCTAAATAATCTTTATTTTTGATTTAATTGTGAAATTAATATCTATTTTAAAAGAAAACGATATACTGAACAAATAAACCTTAAATTATTAAAGTAATTAAGTTCTATATTTGAATAGTTATTGTTTCACTTTGGATGAATCTATTTATTCTTTCTATATCAGGTCTTTTAACATTTACTATATTGAGTTATTCTATTTTTTTAAGTACAGGAAGGAATCCCTTTAATTCAATGCCTATTACATTATGTATTTTTTATAGTTTCGTCTTTACAATATACACTTGTTATTTTAGAAGAACTTTGAAGTATTGTTTAATTATATTATGAGTAAATTCTTAATGTCTTTTTAAACTAAGATAGAAGAAGACAATTAAAATGAAATTATAGTTAGCGAACAAAGATTTTAATTTAGTTCTCCTAGCTCTAAAAGAAGGAATCGTTTTATAAAAGATAAAAATGAGATTTTCCTAAAATTACCGTAGTTCTTAGTATATAACAATCTATAATTTAAGATAAAATTGTCTCAAACTTATTTTTAACCCTTTGAACTTGGAGAACATTCAAAATCTTAAAAATAAATACAACAAATAAATGAAATAAAATAAGTGAAGAGAAATAAGACCGACATAGATTAACCTAAATTGAGCAATTAAAATTCCTTAACTGAATATAAAGCAGAAAAAGATTAAAATTGTTTTAATTGTTATCAAAATGATAGTTGTGCAGTTTATATGCCTTGTGGTCATGGAGGCCTATGTATAAAATGTGCAACTGAATGGTTTACTGAAAAATAAGAATGTTTAATTTGTCGAAAAGTATTAAAACATAAAAATTTTAGCCAGTTGAGTCAGTTGTTAAAGTTATTGAATCAAATTCTAATACAGTTTAAATTGTTGATGTAGTTGCTTTTTGAAAATCTTATTTTTGTGAAATATAATTTTTATTCCACAAAATATCAATCTAAAACTTATTATTGATGAAAATAATTTTAATTATTATTATCCAAATAGAAAGCACTAATATTTAGATAAAGCGTAATTTAAACTCAATATAATTTAAGTAATCTTACACTTGATTTCCATTTAAACTTTTTTTTGTACTGAATTTAGTAATTACCTTTATTTTTACTCTATGATTATTTACAATATAAATAAAATATACATAAATAAATTTTAATTATTTTTAAAATATATTAACTATTGTTAACAATATAAAGTTTATATCCTAAAATATGAATTAAAGCATATAATCATAGGTAATTAAATGCTTCATTCCATAGATGAATTTTTAATTTAATTAACTTGTTTTTGACACAGGATAAAAATCGAAGATTTATAAATGTTTAAATATTATATTTAATATCAAAATTAATGCAAAATTAGAAAAGAGTATATAAGAAGGTTGAAAAATATAAGAGAGAAGCTTTGATATTCTTAGTTTATAAATAGGGTTAGAAAATAAAAGAAGTAAATTATTTCTTATTTTAGGCATCTTAAAATCTAGATATAAAGTATGCAGTAGCAAAAACAATTGTAATTGCTTTTAGGAAAAAATACATTTTAAAGAAAAGAGAAATAATATCAACCAAAAAATGCAGATTTCAACCTAGAGTAAATCAAAAATCTGTACATCAAATAATTAGTAAAATTGGAGGAGAATGTGTAAATGTCATTCAAGAGTGAAATTGATGATAAACTATTTTTATTTTTTTCATCATTAGTAGACTATAATAATGTCAGAATTTTACAAAAATATTTCACTTATTCTAAGGCAATACTTTTTATATGAACACAAAATATTGGTGGTTATTTTTATTGATATAAATCATTGTAACTTTACTTTCATATAAGGATATTCCTAATTTTAGTATAGTTTCTATAAGAAGAAGAGTATCAATAGAATATTTTTAATAAAATTAGAATAAAATAACATCATTTATTTTAAAAAAAATAAATTTTGATTTAATTTTTAAAAGTATTTAGACAAAAAAAGAAGAATTTGAAAGGAGAGTGCAGAAAGTTATATTAAAAATAAAATTTTTTTGTAAATTTTAGAATTTATGAAAAATAAGAGAAAAGAGAAAAATCAATTTTTTAATTCACCAAAGATATATGATAGTACTTATTTTTAACCATTTGGAAATTTGAGTAATCCTTTACCATGTTTAACACCATGAAACCAAGCTCCAATATAAACTTTACCATCACTATATTCATAAGTACCATCTCCATGAAAATTATCCTTGTAAAATCTAGAAATATTAATATAATAATTAATTTTACAAACCAATATGTTAATCTCCATCACAATTAATAAATGTACCTTATCCATGTTTTTAACCATTCTTCATAAATCCTTTATATTAAGAGCCATCGTTATATGTGAAAGTACCTTTACCAATAATTTCATTTGATTCAAATTATCCTTCATAATAAGAACCATTTTTAAATAGTAATTTGCCTTCTCCATGTCTTAAGCAATTTTTAAAATATCCTTCATAATATTAGCCATTTGGCCATATTTGTTTACCATAACCATCTAAAATAGTACCACACCAAAATCCTTCTAAAATACTACCATCAGAATAAGTCATTTTACCAATTCCATTTTATTTATCACAAATCCAATGACCTTCATAAATATCACCATTTGAATATACTTATTTACCATATCCATGTCTTTTATCATTTAACCAAAAACCATCATAAATAGAACCATCTAATGAAAATAATTTTCCTTTTCCAGATCTTTCTTCTCTGATTGTTTCTCCAACATAAAATTAACCATCTTTTTAGACTAATGTTAAACTAAATCTACTAATTAATTATTTATCACTAATCCTAGACATAGACCAATTACTATCAGATGCTTTTAATGGAGATTCATCTGTTTTATCAGTTGCACATTATTTAATGTTTTCACTATAATAATTATAATAATGAAAAATTACAATTAATGATCACATTTAAATGCTTCTATTATATCAAAATCTTAAACTTAATCTAACCATCTTTTTCTTTTTCCTTCAAACCATTCTCCAAATTTATAATCTCCATTTTATGCATACATAATTCCTATTCCATGTTATTTTCCTTACATCCAATTTCCTATATATTTCTTACCATCTTGCCAACAAAACAAACCAAAACCTTATTTTAAATCTTAGTCATATGATCCTTCATAAATTCTACCATCAGGCCAAGTAGTTTTTCCATTACCTTACATCTTATTTTTCTGCCATCCTCCTATATAAGTTCTACCATCAATCCAATGATATTCACCATAACCTTAAATTTCATCATTTACAAATTCTCCTTAATATGATGAATTATCATTAAATCTCAATATTCCTTTACCTTATTTAAATCCTTTTTAAAATTCCCCAATATATTTTGCTGTTTCATTCCATTATTCTATTCCAAAATAATGTTTAAAGCTATTTAACCAATAACCTCTATAAAATGCCCCCTCAACATATTTATACTCTCCATAACCAGTTGCCTCATCATTTTTCCAATGTCCAATATATACATCACCATTTACAAAATATTTTATACCATAACCTTCATACTTCCCTTTCTTCCATTATCCTTCATACATTTAACCTAATAATTTCATACAAATTCTTACCACTTTAATAAATTTAAACTCCCCAACCCTCCTATAAATTATCTTCTAAATTACCTCTATATGAAGAACCTAATTTCTATTTAAATCTTACCATCATCCAAAATTGTTATTTCTGTTTCTTTATATTTACTATATATTTCTTTCTCAATTTATTTTTTCATTGCTGTAGAATCAAATGTTGGTACAACTATCTTCATTCCTGTTAACATAAACTAATTTTATTGCCAATAACCTTCATAAATTTATTCATCATTTTTAGTGTATTTTCCATAACCATCCATTTAGTTATTGTTCCAATTTCCCTCATATATATCACCTTAATTTAATTATAATAATTATACCATTAGAAAATATTGCTTTTCCAAATCCATTAAAAGCTTGATTATCTAACTATTATCCTTAATATAGTATATCTAACCATTTAAATTATTTAATTACTATTTTCAAGGAATCTGTAAGGTTACTCATTTATATTCATCTCTGAAAAATGAGTGAAACTTTTAGTATCATTTACAATCAGAGCCATTATTTTATATTAATATTATATCACTAGAAAAATCTAATTTTAAAATTTATATAATCAATCTTATTAACTTGCAAGTTTTAGGTCAAATAATAGTTATTTTATTCTAATTCTTCAAGATAAAAAATAATCAATTTAAAAAAAATAAACTTTATTTTAGTAACTCATCAAAAATATTCTTATTTATAAAATTAATAATATAATAAAATAATTTAAAATGATGTCTAAATGTAAATCCTGTTAGGATGTAGGATATTTAACTTGCCCTTTATGTTAATAATTTACTTATTGCTCCAAGAAATGCAGAGATTATGATTGGTAATTCTTTAATTCCTAATCAAGAGGGCTGTTTCTCATAAATTTGAATGTAAATCATAATTTCCTAAACGAACAGCCTCTGACTTTGAAATTATAAATTAAGGATCTTTAGGGAGAGGAAGTTTCGGCTGTGTAAAATTGGCACGTGATAGATAAACAGGTTTGCTATATGCAATGAAAATTGTAATTTTTAAAGTAAAGTAGATTGAAAAATAAGGAGTTTCAATTGAAAATTTGAAGAGAGAAATAAGAATATAGAAAAAGCTTTAACATCCTCATGTTATTTAATTATTTGAATTTTTTGAAGATGATCAAAATTTTTATTTGATTTTAGAATATGCAGGTATTACAACAATTTTAAGAATAGAGAATGGATCATTATTTGGTTATTTAAGAAAGAGAAAGATTTTAAATGAGAATGAAGCTTTTGTTTATTTCTTTTAAACATGTTTGGGAATAGACTACCTTCATAAGAAATAAATAATTCATAGAGATCTAAAGCCTGAAAATTTATTGTTAGATAAGGATGGAAATATAAAAATTTGTGACTTTGGATGGTCAGCTGAAATGATGATCACATAAACTAGAAATACGTTTTGTGGTACCATTGATTATATGACACCTGAGATGTTAGAGGATAAACCTCATGATTAAACACTTGATATGTGGTGTCTAGGAGTATTACTCTATGAACTAATTCATGGAACAGCTCCTTTTAAAGGTCGTAATGATTTTGAGAAATGTTAAAATATTTTAAAATAATAGGATTTCGAAATAGTTGCTAGCGATCAAGTATATTTGCCTTTTATTAATACTAGGCCAAAGATCTCATTTTAGGATTGATGAAAAGAGACTCAAAATAAAGACTTACGATGGAATCAGTTTTTTAACATCCTTGGCTGGAGAAAATGGCTAAAGAATACAATGTAGAAATTAAAGAATATATTTTTGAAGAGAAAAAGAACTTAGATTAGCTAAGTAGCAGTTTAAAACTCGATACTAAATTTTCTAATACTAATTCTACTACTACAAGATTTTCAGGATCGAATATTAAGAAAGAATGCATCTCTATTGCTTTTTCTATGTATTCAGAACAAATGTAAACTCCTATTCAAAATAGAATTTCTAGAAGAACAGATCATTCAGTATAAAAAGAAGGAGGTTTCTTTGAAACTTTATTTAAAAATTTAGGTTGCACTAGACGTAATTGATATATAGATTATTTGTTTGTAAACTTATATGTTTCACTTTATTTACTTTAACTATTGGAATTTTATATATTTAATATTGAATTTATTGGAAATTTCTTCATGATAGATTCAGACACAATAACTCTTGATTAAATTTATGGATGCAATTTCAAAAGAGTACCATTACTTTATGGTGAAATGGAAGGAACTAATCCCTTTCCAATAAATGAGACTGATGAAGATTTAGATTCTGATAAATAACGTGACTAACAGAAGCAAATTTCACCAACTTAATAAAAAGCATAATTAAAACCATTAATAAAAACAAGGAAGAGGTAACAGACTGTTCATAAATCACCTGTTAATATGAGCTAATTTGATAAGCATATTGGATTTCGAAATTCTTTTTATAAGAATAATAACAAAATCAATTTAGCTTCTAGGTAAAGGGTTGAAGAAGTAAAAAATTAAGAAATTGGAATGTTTACTAAATATGTTTAGAGGTTTTAGCTTCAAAAATTATAAATTTGGAATTGAATTAAACGTAGATTAATAATTTGAATAGACATCTAATTTTTTTTGTTATTTAATATTAATTTTCTAAATTTTATACCAATTAAAAATTTTAATAATATGTAGTATGAATTCTTCTCAAATTCATACTACATATTTAATGAGAAATTATTTGAATTATATAATGATCATTATTGAAGAATCTTATAAAATATAAAAATAAAAATAATGGATGATGAAATACACATAAAATAGCCATTGAACGATGAATAGAATGATTAATCAGAAAAGTTAGAGAAAATATTATTATTTATTAGATAATCCTAATTTGTATAAAATGATGAATCATTAGAACATCTGGTCAACACCTTAATCAAAAATTAATAACCAAGAGAGGAGAATTAATTATAATAATAAATTTCCAAAAAGAGGATTAATGATTAGAGGTAATTAATGAACCTTATAAATTATTGCATTATAGATTTACTTACCAAGAAGATAAACGGATCTTAGAGTTAGTTTAATAGGTGGGACCAAACTTTAATAAGATAGTCAAATCATTTCCTGGCAAAACAATGAATATGATAAAAAATAGATATTATAAAAGATTGCGCTACATTAAGGAAGACTTTTAAAACAATTAAGAATAAATTAAAAAACAATCTAAGCAAAAAAAATAAAATTGAATTTTATCTTTTATAGGCTGTCCTAGCCACTTTAATGTTGCTATTTTATTACTTTAATAATAAATTTATATTGTTATATTTCTAAATTTCTTTAAATAAAAATAAAATTTATAAATGAAATAAGTTTTCTATAAAAACTACTTAAATTTAAGTTAATTTGAAGTTAATTTTAAGTAAGAATTAGAATTTAGTTTTCTTAACTTTAATTTAAAAAGAGGGAATTTTTTATAAAAAATAAATTAATAGAAATATCTGAAGTGCTTGAAAAAGAATTAAGAAACAAATATAATAATATTAGGGCAAAAAAAAGCATGAGATGAAATATATGAAAAATAAATATATATCATATTATTTTGATTAAAAAGGCTGAACAAAAATAATTAAATTAATATGACAGATTAAAATTAATTAAGTCATAATAATATCGAAGATTAATAAGAGGGGTCTGAATAATGTAGTGATGAAGAGTTGGATGTTTTTCATTATTAGGAAGAGAAGTAGTGATTTATGAATGTATATTAGAGAGAAATATCCGATGTTGGTAAGGTTATTAGAGAATATGTTAAGCTAAGTATTAGTTAATTTATTAACAATTTATGCATTATATGGGGATGATATAAGAATAATATGTTTTGATAAAAGAGCAGATAGTACTTTTGATGGGATAACAATATTTTGCATAGTAAATAAAAGAATAATAAATACATAGATAATATTTTCTACTGAAATAGTTATAACATCGATAGTAAGAAAGGAGTACTTAAATTCATTTTTTTTTTGGCTTGATATAATATCTACAGTTTCATAGATTTTGGATATAACGTTATTTAATGTAGCTGTAGGTTTAGAGTAATAAATTTATTAAGCAGTAGAGGTTCAGTATCAGCAAAATCTGGATCAGATTTATAATAGGCAAATAAGGCTTCAAAAACAAGTTCAAAAGCAATAAGAGTGGTAAGATTAGTAAGATTGATAAGGATAGTAAAATTATATAAGGCTGTTAATTATTAAAGAGAATATAGTTTAAGAAAAAGTAAGACAAAGTCAAATACAATTTAAATGATAAAGAATTCAAATAAAAGTTAGATTTATCCATAAAAAGAGGATAGAATGGAATAATAATAATATGTATTGAGAGAGACTCCTAATTTGACAACACTGAATTTAAATTCAGTTTAATAGAAAGATTAAGTGAATAATTTGACAAGTGTAATCGATTGTAACGAATAAGGGAATAATAGTAATGAACATCGTCGTAGTTATAATAAACAGATTTTACCTNAAAAATAAAATTTATAAATGAAATAAGTTTTCTATAAAAACTACTTAAATTTAAGTTAATTTGAAGTTAATTTTAAGTAAGAATTAGAATTTAGTTTTCTTAACTTTAATTTAAAAAGAGGGAATTTTTTATAAAAAATAAATTAATAGAAATATCTGAAGTGCTTGAAAAAGAATTAAGAAACAAATATAATAATATTAGGGCAAAAAAAAGCATGAGATGAAATATATGAAAAATAAATATATATCATATTATTTTGATTAAAAAGGCTGAACAAAAATAATTAAATTAATATGACAGATTAAAATTAATTAAGTCATAATAATATCGAAGATTAATAAGAGGGGTCTGAATAATGTAGTGATGAAGAGTTGGATGTTTTTCATTATTAGGAAGAGAAGTAGTGATTTATGAATGTATATTAGAGAGAAATATCCGATGTTGGTAAGGTTATTAGAGAATATGTTAAGCTAAGTATTAGTTAATTTATTAACAATTTATGCATTATATGGGGATGATATAAGAATAATATGTTTTGATAAAAGAGCAGATAGTACTTTTGATGGGATAACAATATTTTGCATAGTAAATAAAAGAATAATAAATACATAGATAATATTTTCTACTGAAATAGTTATAACATCGATAGTAAGAAAGGAGTACTTAAATTCATTTTTTTTTTGGCTTGATATAATATCTACAGTTTCATAGATTTTGGATATAACGTTATTTAATGTAGCTGTAGGTTTAGAGTAATAAATTTATTAAGCAGTAGAGGTTCAGTATCAGCAAAATCTGGATCAGATTTATAATAGGCAAATAAGGCTTCAAAAACAAGTTCAAAAGCAATAAGAGTGGTAAGATTAGTAAGATTGATAAGGATAGTAAAATTATATAAGGCTGTTAATTATTAAAGAGAATATAGTTTAAGAAAAAGTAAGACAAAGTCAAATACAATTTAAATGATAAAGAATTCAAATAAAAGTTAGATTTATCCATAAAAAGAGGATAGAATGGAATAATAATAATATGTATTGAGAGAGACTCCTAATTTGACAACACTGAATTTAAATTCAGTTTAATAGAAAGATTAAGTGAATAATTTGACAAGTGTAATCGATTGTAACGAATAAGGGAATAATAGTAATGAACATCGTCGTAGTTATAATAAACAGATTTTACCTGAGAGTCATTATATTTAATAGATATAACAGAATGAGGAAGTGGGAAGAAAGATTTAAGAAAAAGGAGAGACCGAATAAAAATAGAAGAAGGAATCACGAGTAAGCTAAAGATTATCAGATGCAACAACAAAGAAAGTAACTTTGTTAGTAATATTGTTGTTGCTTATAATGCCTTTATTTAGTTCAGATTATTATTACGAATAATCATAAAGTTTAGAGTATGCAGCATAATATTTTAAAGTTGTTGCAGAAATACCAAATACAAGGTTGTCAGAAATAAATGAAACTTTGAATTTTGTGATAGACTAACATAATTAATTTGATACACCAGTAGGATTTATAAGAAATCCATTTATTGGAATAAAGGATTATGAAAGATAGGATTATGAATATATAAGAGAAAGTGCAAAAGGTTATTATTTTACACATGTGGATCCAATATTAGTAGGATTGGAATACATAGGAGATCCGATTATTTTATTTGTATCTGATAATTCATAGATAGAGAGATTAAATTCTATAATAAATATAATTAATACATTATTTGTGAGTTGTGTATTATTATTTGGTGCCTTAGCATTTGCAAAAGATGCAAAAAATTTAGCTTTGGCACCGATAGAAAGAATGATTGTTAAAGTAAATATAATAGCAAAGAATCCTTAAGAAGCAAAAGAGATGAAATTGGATGTAGAATCATTATAAAGAGAAACGACATAGATAGAAAATGCAATAATAAAAATAGGAACTTTATTAGCATTAGGATTCGGAGATGCAGGATCAGCTATTATAGGAACTAATATGGCATCATCAGGAGATGTAAATCCTATGTTACCAGGTAAAAAGAAATGGGCTATTTATGGATTTTGTGATATTAGAAATTTTACAGATGCAACTGAAGTTTTATAAAAAGATGTTATGGTATTTGTAAATAGTATAGCTGAAATTGTTCATACAATGGTTAATAGATATTAAGGATCTGCTAATAAAAATATAGGCGATGCCTTTTTATTAGTATGGAAAATATCTGATCATTCATGGTATGAAGAAAATGGTAAAATTAAATGGTAAATATATTCATTTTATCTTTAGGAAGAATTATGAATACATTAATATCATAGCTGATTGTTCTTTATTTTCATTTATGAAAATATTTGCTAAAATTAACAGAGAACCTAAAATATTAGAGTATCGTAATGATAAAAGACTTATTTAAAGACTTCCTGGATATAAAGTCAAAATGGGTTTTGGATTACATATTGGTTGGGGTATAGAAGGTGCTATTGGTTCAGAATTTAAAATTGATGCCTCCTATCTTAGTCCTAATGTTAATATGGCATCTAGATTAGAAGCTGCTACTAAATAATATGGTGTTTCTATTCTTATATCTAGTGATCTCTATAATCTCTTCTCACCAGATCTCAAAAAGTATTTAAGATAAATTGATATGGTAACTGTTAAAGGAAGTGTTAAACCTATTGGATTTTATACTATAGATATTGATGCTGATCATATACCTCCTAGTAAAGAAGATTATTCTCAACATGAAAAATTAGAAGTTATGGATTAAAAGAGATAAATTTTTATCAATTAAATTGAAGCAGGCGAATTCAAATCAGAAATTCATTTCAATAGAAATAAAGATCTTATATTAATCATGAACAATTTTAATCCTGAATTTTATGTATTCATATTTATCTTTATATCAAGGCATTATTTACTCAAGGATTTTAAGGATACTTATTAGGTGATTGGAAAGAAGCTCAAATATGGTTTGAAAAAGCAAAAGTATTAAAACCTAATGATGGACCTATTTCAACTTTAACTGCTTTTATGAATGAACATAATTTTAAAGCTCCAACTAATTGGAAAGGATTTCGAGAATTGACAGAAAAATGAATCACATATCCATTATAGAAATACTTTCTAGTTCTATTATTTAAATTATTAATATTTCAAACTAATTTCATATTTTACATTCAATTACTTATTTTTTATTTCCAATCTTTTTAATTTTCGATCTTATTGTAGGCTGATTATTTAATGTTTTTAAAATAATAAAAGCGATATAAAATATTTAAAGTAATAGAGGTATGTTTTAGAATAATGTTGTTAAATTTTATAATAAGAGTAAGAAGTAATATAACTAGGGATCAATAAAAATAGAGTGAATTTGAATTAACTCATTTCATAAGCAAATATAAAGTTCATTTAATATACACGGATCTAAAATTAAGTTAAAAAAAATTAAATACTCAGAGAGTAGGTAAATAGTTTTTGATGATATGATATCTCTAGAACAAAATATAAAGATCTATATAATTCAAAGATGATTGATTATTGTGAAATCACTTTTTTCCAGATTTATTATCAAACTTAAGATGATTCACATTATAATAATTTATGCTTTCTCTACTACTTTTATCATCTACTTTTTATTAAAAGATTATTAACTGTTTCTATAGAAAATCTAGTTAGAATACTGAAACTAAATATACTTTAAATAATTGATCCAATAACTAAATAATGAAATAATTTTATTTTGATGATTTTCTATATAATTCAACTTTTTTTACTATTTTTAATAATATTTTATACTAAAAATTATAATAATATATATTAAATAACATTTATATGCAATAGCCTTAAACAAATAATAGAAGTCAAGAGGAATTGATTAGGGTAGCTTCAATAATTTTCCCAGCTCCTCCAAATAAATATGATTATTCACTTCTTTAAGCAATATAATATGCTTAAATAGAATAATCTAATAAAGTTCCATTTTATCTTTTATAAAATGAAGATAAAACAATAAATAATTACATTCTTTATTTTCATGGAAATGGTGAAGATCTGTATTAAATAAATTATTTTTTTAAGATAAAGTTCATTCTATATGATGAAATCTTGTGTTTAACAATTAAAAGCCCATTTTATTTTAGTTGAGTATCCAGGTTATGGTGTATATAATAATACAATTACAACGACTGAATAAATTTAAATGGATGCTTTGATAGTTTATGATTATGTAAAATAAAAGTATTCTGTAAATGATAATTAAATATATGTATTTGGAAGGTAATCAATTATATTTTATAAAGATCAATTGGGACTGGCCCTGCTATTTATATTGGTGCTCACAGAAATTGTGCTGGTTTAATTATGTTTTGTGCTTATACAACCCTTTTAAAATTGGTTTAACAAATAATACCTAAAAAGGCAATATATTTATAAAATGAAAACAATTTGAATAATGAGGAGAATTCTTAAAAATTATAATGCAAATGTTTATTTATTCAAGGAAGACTTGATACTCTAACTCCCTTATAGCCTATTGAATTATTATATAACAAGTATATATTTATCATATAAAGTTTACCTGCTCATATCAAAGATAAATCATATTTGTAAATTTAAGAACAAATGACTCATAATTTTTTTAGCATTTAAACAGATATAATTGATTAAATAATTAAATTTTATCCAGAGTTAAAAATGAATAACCCAATAAGTGTAAATGAGGGATTTAATTGATACAAATTAGACATTTAAATATTATTATATGAATAGGATTATCACAATTTCTATAATTATCGCCATTTAACTGTAATGCGATCTAATATTTTTCTCCAATCATCTCTTTGTTATTTTTCTACCAAAAGCATTTGAAAATCCAAATCTGTAGTTTTAACAATATTTTTATGAGTTATTTATTAATCCAACAATAATTCTAAAGCAATCAAACTATCTTAACTAAAGAATAAATAAAATTTAAATACAATATTCCTTCAGATGACTTTTTCTTAAGATCATCTAATATATCACCAATTAATTTAATGATTTTAGAAGTAAAATTATCTTCTAATTTATTTCTATCAGAATCAGATAATTCAACTTCATATTAAATTTCTTTAAAAAACTATTCTTTGCAATTTGAGAAGAATATTTTATAATATTCTTATTCATTTTTAATAAAGTTTAATATATTCCATTTAGTACCCTTCATTAATATATCTTCTCCTGAATCACAAGTTTCTTCTACTAATTAAACTAATAAATTGCTATATGCTAAAACTAATCTTGATAAAATAACAATGCATTCTTCTAAAGATTAATCTCTTCTAAATAACAATTTTAATTAATCTAATTTTTAATATAATTCTAAATTAACAAAATGTCGAAATGCTATATTTTATTTCATTTATTGTAAAAATTACAATTACTTAACCAATTAATCGCCTGTCATTTTTTATTATTATTTTTGCATCCAACTTAAATTTTAATCATTATAAAGTTTTTACAAAGTTGGATTGTTTGAAACTAACCCTTTTTCCATACTTTCAAACATCTGAAAAACTTAATCCCAAGAAATTCTTTCAGATTCATCCACAATTAAAGCTTTAGTTAAAAAATCTCTTGTAAAATCATTAATAGCTTAATTTCCTTTAAATACTAAAGGTTTAATTAAAATGTTTTTAAGCAAGTCTTATTCATCTCTTCCTTTCCATGGAACATCATGAAATACCATTTCATAAAATATTACACCAATCGACCAAATATCACATTTTGTTGAATAACTTTTTCTTTATAATATTTATGGTGCCATATACAATGGTGAACCAACACACGATCTTAACAATTATGATGTATAATTATCAACATACTTTGCAAATCCAAAATCTAAATTCTAATTTTTCAATTACCTGCTATTTTAACAATTCCTTCATGATTCAAAATATTTGCTGGTTTAAGATCTCTATGAATTACTCCTTATTTTACTAATTCTTTAAATCCATTTATTATTTACAACATGATACCTTAAGCCTATCAAAATATATATGGGTTATTTTACTTCTTTTTCACTCAATCTTCTTTTTTAAAGAAACTCCTTTAAATCTCCATCTTTGCAAAATTCAGTAATTATATAAAGTGATCTTTGAGTTGTAATCAAATCGATAAATCTAACGATATTTGGATGATTAAATTTTTTTAAAATTTCTATCTCACTAACAATCTAATTTCTTAGATAAGTATCTCTCTCAAATAAAACTAAATCCATTTTCTTAATTCCAACTATTTCATTAGTTTTTATGTCCATTCCCTAATAAACTTTACCATAAGCTCCTTCACCCAAACAATGTCTTTCATTGTATTGATATTAACCAATCTATTTCACTGTTCTATTCTATGAGCTCATTAATACCAAAATTATAATACTTTCAATTATATTTATATAATTCAATATATTATAAACTCATTTTTATACTTTTATTAGATTTTGTGTTTTATTCCAAAATAGATAACTATAATAATAATATATTATAAAGATTAACATATTTATTCAAGTTGATATATTAATTTCTTACTTTAAAGAAGAGAAATCAAAATCTCTTTAAAAAAAATAGAATTATCTTTCCAAACTAATTTTTCATTTTATTTTTATGTGTATTTCAAATAAATAAGAAAAGATTTCAATTATTTTATATTAGATCAATTTACATGGTTTATTATTATTAATTTACATTGCATACTTGATTTTACAATAAAATGTTGCAAATTGAATAAGCACTTGAAAAATGTGGAAATAATGGTTGGTATTAAATACGATTATTCTTAATTTCATCACTTCTAACTTTTATCTTATCTGCTTCAATTATGAGTACAACTTATAACTATATTGTTCCATAATTATATTGTGATGGTTAAGTAAATTTTATCCAAATAATAAGGTTTGTAATGAGAATCTAAAAACCTGTTCTGATAACAATTACTCAATTGATCCTAATTTTAAATACAAGAATATTGTAACAGAGTTCAATTTATTTTGTGAAAATAGAAAATACATTATGATTGCAAGTACAATCAATTTTCTAGGCTCAGTGATCGGTGGCTCAGTACTTAGCTAAATATCAGTATTTTAATTATATTAATAATTAGGATTAATGGGGAAGATATAAAACTCTGTTATTATCTTTAGTATTTACAAATTTTGGATTTATAGGAGCCTATTTAAGTACAACTATAATAGAACTTATTATATTTACTTTTATATTTGGTTTCTTTTAGATTGGTGTCTATATAATGATACCAGTGTTAATTAATGAAATCAGTGGATATGAGATCAAATAAAAATATTCGACTGGAACCTTAATTTTTTGGTGTTTAGGAGAGATTCTAATGGCTATTTTATTTTATTTTATTGAAAATTGGAGAACCATTTAATTATTTATAATTGTAATCCCAGGCATCATTTCTCTAATATTAACATATGTTTTAGTTTAAGAAAGTCCAAGATTTTTGTATTAGAAAAAAGATTATGAATAAGTAAAAATAAAACTAAAATATTAATAGGTTCTTAAGATATTTCATTATATAGCAAAAGTAAATGGAAATTAATTTGATGATCAAACATNTAATAATATATTATAAAGATTAACATATTTATTCAAGTTGATATATTAATTTCTTACTTTAAAGAAGAGAAATCAAAATCTCTTTAAAAAAAATAGAATTATCTTTCCAAACTAATTTTTCATTTTATTTTTATGTGTATTTCAAATAAATAAGAAAAGATTTCAATTATTTTATATTAGATCAATTTACATGGTTTATTATTATTAATTTACATTGCATACTTGATTTTACAATAAAATGTTGCAAATTGAATAAGCACTTGAAAAATGTGGAAATAATGGTTGGTATTAAATACGATTATTCTTAATTTCATCACTTCTAACTTTTATCTTATCTGCTTCAATTATGAGTACAACTTATAACTATATTGTTCCATAATTATATTGTGATGGTTAAGTAAATTTTATCCAAATAATAAGGTTTGTAATGAGAATCTAAAAACCTGTTCTGATAACAATTACTCAATTGATCCTAATTTTAAATACAAGAATATTGTAACAGAGTTCAATTTATTTTGTGAAAATAGAAAATACATTATGATTGCAAGTACAATCAATTTTCTAGGCTCAGTGATCGGTGGCTCAGTACTTAGCTAAATATCAGTATTTTAATTATATTAATAATTAGGATTAATGGGGAAGATATAAAACTCTGTTATTATCTTTAGTATTTACAAATTTTGGATTTATAGGAGCCTATTTAAGTACAACTATAATAGAACTTATTATATTTACTTTTATATTTGGTTTCTTTTAGATTGGTGTCTATATAATGATACCAGTGTTAATTAATGAAATCAGTGGATATGAGATCAAATAAAAATATTCGACTGGAACCTTAATTTTTTGGTGTTTAGGAGAGATTCTAATGGCTATTTTATTTTATTTTATTGAAAATTGGAGAACCATTTAATTATTTATAATTGTAATCCCAGGCATCATTTCTCTAATATTAACATATGTTTTAGTTTAAGAAAGTCCAAGATTTTTGTATTAGAAAAAAGATTATGAATAAGTAAAAATAAAACTAAAATATTAATAGGTTCTTAAGATATTTCATTATATAGCAAAAGTAAATGGAAATTAATTTGATGATCAAACATTAGAACATTCTTAAATTAGTAGTGTTAGAAACAATTATTCAGTTTTCGATTTGTTTACTTTAAGACAATTTGCATCTTCTTCATTTGGATTTATATTAATTTCATATGCTTTACATTTAATATATTATGGGGGATAGTTTGTGTTATAAGAAATTTCAATTGGAAATATGATTTACAAATTAGGTATATTTTTAGGAATTAGTGAATTAATTGGTTATTCTTCAATCACTTATTTAATTCCTAAATTATAAAGAACATATTATTAAAAACTTTTCTTTTGTATTTAAATTTTAGGATGTCTATCATTTTTATATTATGGAATTACTTCATACTAACTTCAATGTCAGAGATGTGTTGAAGAAATAATAGTAATATCACTTGTAAATAAATATATTATTTAGTGTTGTTTGATAAGATTCTTTAATGCTTTTGGATTTGGGCTATTAAGATAACACAGTCTTGAAATTTATCCGACTTAAATAAGAGGGACAGGTTCTGGATTTCTATTCACAATAGGAATTTTAGGATCATTTTCATCATCCTATATAATTGCATTAGCTAACTATCTCTAATTTAATTAAGTAGCTTTTTTGGGAATATGTTCATTTTGTGGAATAATTGGAGCTTTTTTAACTTAAGAGACATTTAAAAAAGGAATGATTGAAGAAATAGATGAGTCTAATAAGATATAAAATTAATATGATGAAATATTCAAAGCTAAATGAAGTTTTGATTGATATATTAGAATAAATAAAGTATTTAAGTATATTCAATTTTAATCTTCAATCAGAAAATCATTTTCTTTCATATATCTAGTAATATTTTAAAATTAATTAATATTGCCTGTATATTTGTATAATTAAAGATGTTTTCTAAAATAAAAGATAAAATATACCTATTATATTCTCTAACATCCTGCCAATCTCTCATTCCTAACAAATATCTATATAAATGATTTAGCTCATCGTCTTATTCATTATCATAAAAAGGGATGACGGGTATCCCGTTATCAATTTACCAAGAGAAATTACAAGAAGAATTATCAATTAAAGCAATTCTCCCTAAATTTCTATTAAGTATTCTTAGATCTTTAATATGTACTCCTCCTGATGTTAAAATACAAGATTCTCTATAAACTCTATGTGCAAATATATCATTATTTGGATCTAAATAATCAATTACACTTTTTGCATATATTTTATTCGAAGCTGTAAATACTATTAATTCAAAATCTTTGGACAATTTTTTAAGTATTTCTATAGCATTTGGTCGAACATTAATTTTAGCTAATACTTACTGTTTTTTATTGAAGTTAACAGTTATTATAGCATCATATAATTTATGATCTCTTTCATTACAATGTATTAAGGTTTCATCTAAATCAAATACTAAAGTTATAGAATCTACAATTAATTTATAAAAGGATCATACTTTTATATTTTTTTAATTTTTCTAATTTAACTTCCTTTGCTTTTATGTCATTATAATTAATAGGCTTTAACTTTGTGCCAATACTCAATTCTTAACATAATTATTTAAAATGTTTTCGATATAATCTTGTAAAATAATCATTTTTATTTTATTATGTAATGGCTTGCTTAACTTTAAAAATATAATATATTTCTTCTTATTATTTATCTTTTTTTTATTCTAATTAATCGTCTAAAGTTTAAGGAAATTCAAAAGTTCCCATTCTAGGTGTGTTTGGTTTTGAATTAGCTAATTTTTTATTCATTAAGGAATCATAAAGTTTTTCTACAATTCCATCATTTCTTAAGGTATCTGAAGATTGTCTAATATGTTAAGTTTTTGGTTTATCATTTATAGATGTTGGTAATAAATCATGTGAGAATTTGTGCTGATGTTTAGATTTAACTTAAGTGTCAAAATTTTAAATTTTAAACTTAGAGTTACTTTATTAATTTTCATTTTCTTGGTGAGATTTTAAATTAACTTAGCTTGAATTTAATTCTTCTTTTTTAGATATATATTCTTGAAACTTTTTAATTGCTTAACTTAATTCATTCTATGTAAGTTAAGTCCCTTTTTATTAACTGTTACCTTTATCAATTTATTATTTTAAGAATTATTAAGTGAATTATGTATTTGAAGGATTAATGGGCATTACATAGTCTAAATTTCGATTTTTAAATTTCTCTCCAGGTTTCTGAAATAGCTAAATCATCTCATTTTATTACATAAAATTAAAAATGAGTAAAATTAAAGTGATGAGCGTAACAGGTAATCCAGATTTATTACACTTCAAAAATTTGCAATTGACAGAACGCAAAAAGACTTACGAGATCTAAGAAATGCATGAAGTAGGATCATTTATAATAATTAAGTCTGAATATGATCATCAAGTGAAACTGCTAAAAAGGGATGCTTCTTTAAGAATTTAAATTAAGAAATTACAACCTCTTTGTAATTAAGAACCATTTACTATGGATGACTCATTTATGTCTAAAACAATTAAAAGGTTTATAAAATTAATAAAAATAAGACCCTTGTTATTAATTTAAAATGGTACTCCTACAGTACATTCAAATCGTAGAATTAAATTTACTTAGTCAATGATTAGTTAAGCTTATGAATCTTAATTAAGATTTTTTAATTAGAGAAAGAATAGTAATTATTTTATCAATTTTAGCTTATGTATAAATGATGTTATCCATTGATGATTAACTCTATCCAGTTATTATAGAAATGTTTAATGAATTTGCTCCAAAAGCTTGTGAAAATTTCACCAAATTCTGTGAAGGTGTCAATATTGAAGGTTAATTCTATTCTTATAAAAAAAGTAAATTTACAAAATACAAGCCCAATGGTATTATTTGTAATTAATTTGCTTTTTAGGTTTTATTTAAGGAGGTTAATTTGATAAAAAGATATCAATTTATGGAGGATATTTTGAAGATGAATCTTATGCATTAAAACATGATTGTGAAGGTATTATTGGATTTGCTAATGATGGATTTCAACATACAAATCATTCTTAGTTTTATATTACTTTAGCACCTATGCCTTTTTTTGATTATAAAAGAGTAGCTTTTGGTAAAATCATAAGAGGAATGAAATAAATATTAAAAGTATTGAAATAAGAATAACATTCTGATATTGTTATATATGATTGTGGTCGTTATGATCATTAAGCTTAAATTAAATTAAAATTAGAAAAATTTACTGATGATTTTTATTCTAATTTACCAGAAAATGCTCAATCTTTTAATAAATTTATAGAAGCAGAACAACTCAAACATAATGAAGCTTCAGGTGATTTCACTTAATTAGTTAAATATCTTGTTGAATAAATGAGAATAATTTCTAAATTTGTATATTCATTAACAGGTCTTAAAAAAGCAATATAATAATTAAATGAATCCTTTGTTAAAACATAATATTGTTAAATTCTATATATTTTAGATAATTAATAAACTTTGTTAGCAGATAATTAATAATCAAAATATATTGTTGCCTTTAGGGCTGTTGATGGTACAGATTCTTGTAGAGCATCAGCATTTATAATATTTAAAAAATAAACTACAATTTTTAAGTAAGTTACTTTGAATGATTTCAAATAATAAGCTGAATAAATTTCATCTATGGGTTATTGTGTTTATGGTTAAACTACATAACTTGTATTTGGAACTGGATATAATTTAAGTATGTTTACACTTCATAACAATGAATTTAAGTTATAATAATAAGAGTAAATCAAATTAATATATTAAATAGATTACAAATTCCAAAAAAAGAAACCTTCTTTAGTACTAATATCAAAGATGATTTCTTACAAAACAAAATTATTATCAATCTTCCAACTAAAAATATGAGATATACAGATAGTATTTTTACGACTCTACATCGAGTAGTACGTTTAGGAGGATTAGCAATGTATAAAGAAGTTACCATTTTTGAAGCGATCATTTGTGCATTCACTCTTGCTAGATCATGGGGATGGTCATTTTGTGATGGAACAAGTAATATTTAGATCTATTTTATAGCTACTTTTAATCAAATTAAAATTAGAGATATAAAATAGCTAACATATCTTTATTTAGGTTAATAAAAATGGATTTAAAAAATTGAAAATCATTTCCTATCCATAGTTTGATTAGATTATTTTATCTGTGTTAATAATACAATCAATATTATTATAGAGAGAGCTAATTAAATAGAGAGTATTTCTTATTTATTTTTAATAATATAAAAAATATAAATGTTTACATTTTTATTGATTTACTTTTAATATTTTTCTTTTTATTTCAAAAATAGACATTAAACAATCTCTAAAGATGTTTTATTCTTTTCATTTTTCATTAATATAATATATTAATAATTTTAAATCAAAATTACAAACATTTTAATTATTAGATAATAAATCTTTGAACTAGCGCTCATTTCTTATATTAAATTTAAAATTCAAATTTATGGATTATATTTCTGACGAAGCCATGTAATGTATGCCTAAAAAAGCATAAAATGCATATTTGATTTATAGAAGTGAGGTTTACGATGAAGTTAAGAAGAAAAATTAAGATAAAAGTATGACAGAATTAACTTAAGTTATTTCATAAATGTGGAATGATTTAGATAAAAAAAAAAAAGAAGTATTATTCAATTTTAATATAGAAATATGAAAACGAAAAAGAGAAAGCTTAAAACTAATATAAAAAAGATTATGAAGCTTGGTTGAAGAAATTTAAATTAGATGATGAGAAAGTCAAAGAGTGCTTAAAAGAATTAAAATAAGAAAAGAAAAAGCATAAAAAGGGTTCAAAAAAAGTGACTAAAGCAAATAAAGATGATGATGAAAGTGAAGATGAAGATGAATAAAGAATTCAATAAATTAAGAATAAAAATTCTAAAAAGGAATAAAAAGAAGTTAAAGAAACTAAGGAGACAAAAGAAACAAAGGAAAAGGAAAAATAAAAGTAAAATTAGAAAGAAAAGGAAAAAGAAAAAGAATAAAAAGAATAAAAAGAATAAAAAGAATAAAAAGAATAAAAAGAATAAAAAGAATAAAAAGGAAATAAGAAAAAATGATTTAATTTTCATATCCATAATAATTCATTATTTTTATATCTAGCAATTTTTTTTATTTAAAAAATAATTTTTTCTCATAATTTTTTTTAGAATCAATTATTATTTGATATGTTTTAAATATTATCATTTTTTGATATTGAATTTGCTCCTAAAAATGATTTTCAATTAAATTTGATATTTAATCTACTGATTGCATAATCTAGCTTAGAAAATTTATTAAATTAAAATACTTATTAATTAAACTAAACATTTATGTTAAATCCTAATAAAATATTTTAGAGATTGAGTATTAAAATATTGTATCTTTATGTCTATTGATTATTACTAATCTAGATTGTGATCTTAAATTTCCTAATACGCCTTAGTTTGAAATATTTATTCTTAAAATATTAGCAGAATTATCAATAAATTCATTAATTGATGAATCATAAAATTAAATGTATTCATAATTTAAATTTTCATAATATCTATTTATTTAAATAAATTATTATAAAAATGCTTTGTATCATGTAAAATTCAAGTATATAGTTCAATAATATATGGAGCAAAATGATCAATATTAATTAAAAATTAAGTTGAAAAAATGCATAATTTCAAAAAATATGATTTTATATTAAAAGAATTTCTATTTCAAAAAAGTTTTTCATTTCAAGATTTAAATATATAATGGTTAAATGTTATATATAAAATAAATTTTGAGAGTAGCAGACAAAAATCCTTAATTTAATTTAAGAGATTAAAAGTGGTTATCATTTTTTAATTATTTCGTTTTTTTTTGAATTAATTCATTGAAAAATCGATTGAAACGATTAGGATTTCTTTGAAAATGTTATTTCTACATGGTTTAATTGTATGGAATACATAAATAATATTTAACTTAAGTTTAACAAATAAAAATATTAAAAGAATGAGAATAAAATTTATATTTTATATAATATTTCAACATTTCTATTGATTTGAAAAAGATAGAATAGTTTGATTATAATTCAGTAAATAAAATAAATTGGGAAATGTATTAATATATTATAATATGTTTGTTATATCGATATAAATTTCAATAAATATTTTATTATTTCTTCTAAGTTAATTTATGCAATTGATAGGTAATATTTATTTAATTTTGTAAAGATAAAGCATAAGACTATGACTCAAATGGTCGATTAAATTAAAGGAAATTAATAAGCATAATATGTGAAACTAATAAAGAGGCAAGAGATTATTTATATTTTTTGAAATAAAGAGAAGAGGAAGAACAATAATCAATGCCTAAAAATGAAGGTTTTTCAATATTAATAAAAACAATAATGGAAGTATCTAATCCGACCTCTACCTTTAGAATAATTTGGGAATCAATAAGCATGTTATTTATTTTTGTATAAATGATATACATTCCAATGGCATTATCATTTTCTATAGAAAATAAAATAGGAATGGAAATTGTAAATGATATAATGGATATCTTTTTTGTAATAGATATGCTACTAAATTTTCGATTAGCATATTATCAAAAGTAACCAAAAATCTTATATTATAAGTGGAAAATTGGAGTATCGCTTAAAATATATAGCATTAAATTATCTAAAATTATGGTTTTGGATAGATGTGATTGCAGTTCTTCCTTTTGATTTAATGATAGGAAATGATGATAATTCATCAACACAAATATTAAAAATAGTAAGATTATTTAAATTTGTGAAAATTGTACGTCTTTTAAGAGTTTTAAAATTAGGAAGGATTTTAATAAAAATAGAAGGTATAAATAATATCAGATAATAGAGACATTTTCAATAGAATAAACACTTTAAGCAATAATATAATTCTTAAAAATAACTGCAATGATATTATGTATAGCACATTGGATAGCTTGTATTTGGAATATAGTAGAATTTGTTGATGAATAAGTAGAATAAACATGGATGATATAATATGGTATACATGATGCTCCTTGGGAAGTCAAATACATTACAACATTTTATTTTAGTATAACTACAATGATAACAGTTGGATATGGTGATATAAGTCCTAATACAAATTTAGAAATGATTTTTGGTATTATTGTGATGGTATTATCTTCTGGAATTTTTGGATATAGTATGTCAAGCTTGATGTTCATCATTTAAGGAGAAGATTAAAGTATTGCTGAAATTAAGCAATAGAATTAAAAAATCATTAAGTAAATATTACAATAAATTAGATAGATATATTAAATAGAAAAGTATACCAAAATAATTATAAATTAGAGTTAAGAACTATTTGGAATGGCTAGAAGGATCTGCTTAAGTTGCTAAAAATTCATAAATGGTAATATTAAATAATTTATCTTCAAATTTACATACTGAGGTTTTGACTTTATTACATGGTAGAATCTTAAAATAAGTTAATTTAATTAGTAGAGAATTCTCTTCATAATTGAGAAATAAATTAATTTATGTTTTGAAAGAACATCTATTAGGTCCTGAAGAGTATGTATTTAAAGAAAATTAAGTAGACAGTAATTTATTATACTTTATTTAAAATGGTTAAGTTGAAATATGTTTAACAAAAAGAGAGTTTTCATTAAAATTATTAAGTAAAGGTGATAATTTTGGAGAAATTAGTTTTTTTAGTAAAAGTCCTAGAACAGCAAGTGCTAAAACTCTTGATTTTGTTAATTTAATGAGTTTAAGTAGAAAAGATTTATGGGAATAGGCACATGATTTGGATTCAGATTTAGAGAAACTTTTTTATATAAAAAATTGTGTAGATGTTGAAAATTCATTAAAACCATTAAGATTAAGATGTTATATATGTGATAGACCACATCATATCGCAAGAAATTGCACTATAATGCATTATAGGGTTAGAAGATTAAAAGTTATTGAAGATTACTTAAAATAAAAAAATTATAGAGTTAAAGATTTTAAAAGAAGATATGGAAAATCCTTAATTTCTTCATCTTAAATTATTAATTCAAAATCTGATGCATTATTCAGATATCGATATCTATAATTAAAATAAATTGTAAAAAATACAAAACAGATAGAAAATTTCGATGAATCTGCACCTGATTAATCAAAATTATCAACCTAAATTGAAGAAAATAATTTTAACCTTGATAAACATCGTGATTATTCTGAATTTTATTCTGAGTTTAATCCATCTAAAATCATTTCTTAAATAAATAAATAATCTGAATTAAAATTATAAGAAATTAGAGAAGAAAAAGAATAAATAGCTATCAAATTTAGATAAAATTGGATGAATGGAAGAAAATAAAAACTTTTATAAATTGCTCCTCCAAGATAAACAAAATTATCATTTGAGACTTAAAAGCTTTTTACATCTGATATATAACCTATTAGTTTTTCTGAAGATTCCTCTAGTTCTCATTCATCTTTTAATTTATTAACCAAAAAAAGTGTTAGAGGAAAAAGACTTTTAGATATATAAACGCAGAAATAATTATTGTATGTATTTTGAAATCTATTAAATATAGAGTAAAAAGATCAACATCTCGTTCCTAGTTAGAAAAATTTCTTCTAAAAAAATAAAGTTCAATCGAATTCAAACCAAATAAAATTAAAAGATAGGTTTCATTGCAAGTTAAAAATAACCGTAATACTCCTTTGGAAATCCAATAATTTAAAAATACTAATCTTAAACTCTTAATCATTAACAAATATTTAGTCTTCAAATGAATATAATTTTATGTATAACTGTATTTATATTTAATTCAGACTGCTCAAATACAATAAAATAAAAATTTTTCATATTCATTTATATTATTAAATTAAAAACAATAAAGCAAGGATAATCTCGATTTTATTCCAGATAAAAAAGTTGTCAATTCTAAAGAGAAATGAAAGAAAATTAATTCTTCATATTAAATTATGAATTTTATGGTAAATATTCTGTTTTCAATTTTTAAATCACTAATTACTAGACTATTTATTCTTAATAAAATTATTTTATACAGTAGCTAAATTTACTATGTAATAGAAGCTAGAAAAATAAGAAATCACCAGAGGTTAATCCTTTACTTTTGAAAATGAAGGACAAAATATTTATTATTATTCAGTCGCAAGACCTTTACCAAATAACATTATTGATGACCTAATCATTTGTTCAAAAATTAAAAAGCTTTTACTATGTTAATTACCTAAAGTTTGGTTTATAATGGCTAGTACAACTGCTTATCTAGTTGTTGAAAAGCATTAAAAGTTTGTGACTTCTAATTTTATTTTAGACATCTTTATATATAGTTGGTTATCTAATGAATTATAAAACTTAGAATAAGAGTTATTAAATAGAATGAATAGACTAAAAGTTGAAATTTAAAAACTTCATCGATTAATTGATATATTTTCTTATGAGATAATTTTTATAGAAAAAGAAATGTCTCACTCTAACACTATACAATCATAATTGCTATATTATAAGAATTGCATATAGCCATTAATTGTATTTCGAGAAAAAGGAATAAGTGACAATAAATCACTTATTAAACGAATTGATGAATTAAATATTGATGACGATAGCAAGGATTCAACATTATCATCTTCATAAATATCTCAGAATTCTTCTAAAAAAGAAGTTGATAGAAGCAAAACTGATATAAAAGAAATAGCATCAATAGTTCAAAATACTAAAATGAGAAAGTTTTCTAAGTAAATGGAAAAAATGAGCGAAAATTTATTTTCAGATTTAATAAAATTTAATGTTGAAAATTAATAATGGCAAATTGCACGATAATTTGTTGTAATTATTATTGAAACAACAGTCAAGTCAGATTGCGATATGAAAACAATTGAAAAGGTAAGATTTATTGAACCTGCTTAGCTTTTTTACAAAAAGGCTTTATAAGTATGGATATTAACTAACTAAACTCAATTTGATAAAAATTAAAAGTCTCATTTAAGAAATTGTAAAGTATTAATCTTCTTTAATATAGATATCATTTGGTTCATATTTATGTAAAATAAAATGTTATCTTGGTCAATTTTGGAAAGAGGAATTGATTATTCCTCTACACAAAGTTTTTTAGTTAGCAGAGTAAATTTATCCTAAAGTCTAGAATGAGCCAAGTCTTATCGAGGTAATAGTTCTTTTGAAAATAGTAAATTACTACTTTTACAATTCTTTTCAAAGAAAAAATTTTAGAACTATGGGAATAAAATTTGTCTCTATTCAAATAATTGATGTTAAATTGATAACTTATTGCAATTAATTAAGAAGTTATTTATTACATAATATATAAATATTGTTTATTCTTCTCTAATATAAATTTTTAACTTAAAATAATTCAAAGTAATTATTTTATTTTGATTTTAAAGTTTTGTATTAAAAATTATTAAATTCATTCAAAATTATTAAAACTCCGTCAATTTTGATAATTGATGATACGATGTATTAAATGAAAATGATAAAAAAAGTTTTAGATGGAAAAGATATTAAACTTGTTAATTAATAATAAATAAAATTTTTTGGTTTCAAGATCAAGCTCAAAAGTATTATGAGAAAATTTGGTATGAAGGGCAGAAAATTTAATTATTGGTTTTATATTAATTTTATTAAATTATATTTTAATCTTTATTGATGTAGAAACAAAATAAATACATATTGAATAATAAATTGAATATATAAAATTAAATAAAGCAAATATGAAATATGATAGTTAAACATAAGTAGATATTATTTAAAAATAAGAATTATAATATCAACCATTTGGTGATTCATCAGCATTTAGCCATTTAATTCTTTTTCCATTTTCCCAAATGCCTTCTTTTTTTTCTCCATTGGGAAGTGTAATCATGCCTTTACCATGTTATTTTCCATTAATCCAATGTCCTTCATATTTTCTACCATTTTCCCATTAAAAAATGCCAAAGCCATGTTTTTTATCATCTTTGTAATCTCCTTCATATTTTTTACCATCAGCCCATTAAGTAACTCCTTTACCATTCATTTTACTATTATTCCATTATCCTTTATATGATTTACCATCTTTCCAATAATATTCTCCATATCCTGTAATATCATTTTCAACAAAATCTCCTTTATAATAACTGCCATCAGCAAATGTTAAAGTTCCTTATCCATGTTTTTTACCATTTTCATATCTACCCTAATATATATCTAGAATGAAATAATTACTTCATATTTAGCTCCATCTGGCCATACTTCAACTCCTTATCCATGTTATAAATCATTTTTCCATTCTCCTTCATATCTAGCTCCTCCTTGAATATATTTAATAATAATACCACTATGAATATAAACACCTCTTCCATTTGCCATATCATCTAACCATTATCCTTCATAAATATCACCATCAACATGAACTATAAAAGTATTACTCAAAATTTACCTAACTTCCCAAATCCATTTGCTTTATCTTCAACCCATTCTCCTTCATAAAAACTTCTATCTGGCCATACATATTTTCCTGAACCATCTCTCATTGCATTTTTCCATTCTCCTTCATAGACACCTCCATTTTTCATTTCTATTGCTCCTAATTTAGTTCTTGTTGTTTTATTTTTTGTTGATTAAACTTATGCAATATATTGATCTTCAGGTTTGTTATCATCTATACTTCTCATTAAATATTACCATTTTCTCTTTTCATCAATTTTGGAGAAGAACTATCTTCATTAGAATTGTTTCGAGCTCCTGCCATTTGAGCTACATCTTCATCCTTTAATTGATTGCTAATCTTTTCTTTACCCTAATAGTTTATTTCCTTTTTATACATCTTAGTCTTAATTTTAAGCATTATCAGGTTTAGCTGTTAATTTTGATTAGCTTTATTATTTTTAATTTGTATTCAGTTCATTTTCTTCAATCACTTTTGTTTAACATTAGCATGTACAGGAATTTCCCATTTTGAATTGAGTAAAATTTAATAATAAACTAAAAAATTAATAATTAACTTTCTATTTATTTTCTTATTGCTTTGTTTGACTTTTCATTTTAACTAGAACAACAATTTAAATACAAATTCATTTGGTTTTTTAAATATTAAAATTATTTTAGTGCTTTATAATTATTTTAATTAAATATATGAAACATGCTTGCTAAGAGTTTTTTATAATTCAAGACAATAATTTTGTCTTACAAACTAGTAATTATTATATATTTTTATTGATAGGTAATGAATTTTAAAATATTATCCAAAAATTTCAATGTTTTAAAGATTTTTGTGATAATGATGATAATAAAATAATTCGTTTAATGTCTGAAATATCAAATTAGAATTTAAATAAGAATACTTTCAAATAAATACTTGAGAGAAATATTAATTGTTCAAATGTAATTTTGGTTCTCAAATTAGCATAACTTAAAAATAATTAATAATGAAACCAATTTTAGACTTGTGAGTTCAACATAGTTCTTTCCTATTAATAATCAAACTTCTAAAGAACCAAAAAAAAAGAAAAACTAAAAATCAAAAAATGATGAAACTCAACCAAAATCTGAAGTTGAAAAATCTAAATAAATTTCAGATTCAAAAAATTCATTAAAATAATCTAAAGTTTGTTGTGTTGCGAATGAAGAAATAAAAATATTTGAAGAAAAAATTAAATAGTATACATCTGAAATGGATGATTCATAAAAAATAGTTTTAAATCTCCCTCCAGAATGGATAAAAAAATTTGGAATTCAAAAAAAAAAAAAATGATAAATATGATGATGTTCCAACTTAATAATTAAATGATTATATTCCTTATTTTCATTGTACAATAAAAGAGAAAAGAAATAATTACATATACAAAAAATTGTATGTTATTCTATTTGACGAATTAGTCAATTCCAAAAAAATAGTTTTGCCAATTCAAAAATTAAGTTTAATAACACTATTTATTATAATTAAGATTTATTAATTATTATATCTTAGAGGAAGAAAATAACCTTCAAATTCTTCAAATTAAATAAAATATATGTCTATTTAATCGAATTTTAAAAAATCCAAAATATTTTTTACTACAAATAAAATAGAAACATATATAAATTCAATTTTTAATTCTTTTTTTCAATTGTACTTTTGTAATATATTTAATTTATGTAAAATAAGCTGTTTTAAAATCCATAAGATGAAGCCATTCTCTCTGAAAGAAATGAGTAAGAATAATTTCAAAGTGATCTTTCCAATGATGAATAAGATTCAAATGATGAAATTGAAAATGAAGAAGAATAAGAAATCAACCCAAAAGAGTCTTAAACCCCTACTTATTAAGAATAATAAATTATAAAGGATGAGACTAAAAAAAAAGATGTAACCATTAAATTAAATTTAGATAAAAGAGACATGTCTTGAAAAAATCAAAGCTTATATTGGATTTGGTCATAGAGATTTAATTGTAAATGAAAAGATTGGATCAATATTTTTATTACCAATTTCATCCAAATGGAAATTAAAAGTATAGGTAACTGTAGCTTAAATAATAATTGCTATAACATCATTATCTTTATTTGTTGGAATTTAATTAATAGGTTCACATATATTATTTGATACAGTACAATAATGGACAAAGAACAGCGTCTCAATATTATTAGAAAAGTAAATTTGCGAAATCACAATAGATTTTATTTAACTCTTGATCAGTAATAGAGAGAATGAAATACAAATAATAAATGTAACATTAAATTTAATTAAATCTAAAACTTTAAAATACAATGGTGCACTTTATGAAATGGATGATTAAATTCCAAATTCAACCAAAATGTATCTTCCAAATACAGGAATTATAGATTAATACACTTTAAATCTTGCTACATATAGTCTTCTATATGATTAATAAATACCTGAAAATTAAATCAGAACATATTTATCAATAAATAGCATAATGTATTTTAATTATTAATCTATGGGTTCCTCTTTTTTTTGGATATTTGATGATGGCTTCATGATGTAATATCCAGGAATGAATGTTACAAATAAAAAACTATTCAATGAATATCGATTATAAATGTATAAAAGTAGAAGATATTAAACAGATATTCCACTTGAACATCTTTATGATCCAATTTTAAATTAAAATTTATAAAGAGAAGTATTTCCAATAACTGATAAAAATAATGAAAAAATTGGTTTAATCTTTTGTGAAAGAAGACCTTTTACCTTATATATGCTATTTTATTCTATTGCTATTAATTATCAGTATAATTATACTCTTTTTTTACTTTCATATTATAATGATATACTCTATTATTAAGAGCAAGAATATCAAATAAACATCAATGAATTTTAATAAGTATTGAAAACTATGAATAAAGATGATTCTTAATTAAAAAAAATTAATTTTTCATAATATTTAAAAGATTCATCAAGCGTTGCATAGTACATAAATTTTTATGAGGGAGATCTATCAGGTTAATAATTTATGTTAGCATATGTTAATTATTCTGGTCTACTTCTAGGAATGTAAGTTTTGATTTTAACTTAATAGTTATTAACCATCTTACTTGCCTCATGAAGAAATTAAACTTTAGAAAAAGAATTATCAACTTAAAACAGATAATTTCAATAATAAATTAATACCAATAGCATTATCTATACCATTCGTTTATATTATATTTTGTGTTTTTTATATGGTTAGATAAATTAAACCTCTTCAAAAAATAACTGAATATGCAGATTAATTATTAAAGAAATCTTAAAAATATGATGAAAAATATTTTAATCATACAACTGGAGTTGATCCCATCTAAAAATTAACATCATTAATTGCAAACCTAATTGGAAATCTAAACAAATCTAAATAACTGAAAAAATAAGAAATTATTGAATTCTATAATAAGTAAACATATCCAATTAGTCAAAAAGCCAGGGATGTTTTTGCAATTATATCTGAAGTCAAAAAAATTAAAATAGATTAAATTGTTAAAGATCCTGGAGTAATGTAATTTCCTAATTTAGATGATTGAAAATTTACTTTTTTAGTTGATATTAATAATAAGGAATACATTTAAAACTTATATAAATTACATATTATTATGATATATAATTAGGAAAATAGGTTTAACAATAATATTATAAATTATTACATAGTTTCTATGTGTTATTAATTTTAATCATTTACATAAATTGTTCTAATCATAAGCATAATTTATTTCTTTATTTAATATATTGATCAAATAGAATTTACTTAAAAAAACCTATTTTTTTTTATTTTTCATTTTATTTAATAGGCAGTCAGACTTATATTTCTTCAGGTTTAGGCTTTTATAAGTCAGTAACAATCTTAATTTTTGTAAAACAAATAAAGAAAATAATTTAATAAAAAATAGTGTTATTATTCATTATTTTCTTTAATTTTAAATCATTTGAAAGATTATAATACATTAATGCTGGATAAAGTACTTTAGAAATTAATAATGTTAGAAATTTTGAGTATTCATAAAATATAGAATGATTATTATTGATTAATTTTAAAGAAAATGATTTAAATGTAAAAGAAAGTATTTTATGAAAATTAGATGAATAAATCAAAGTAGTGAATATGGAAATGATGTAAATCTTGGAATTTCATGAAAAATGATTTCATACGAATCACATATTTATTTACTCAGTTGTTATTAATGTAATAATTTAATTATTAATAATAATAATTTATTACGGCTTATGCTTCATCTAGAAATAGAAGTATAATCTTTGCAGTTCTTTATTGAAAAATATACAGAATAATGTAAAATAGTCATAGTTGGTGGTAAATTGCAAATCTTATGAATAGCCGATGAATCTAAAATAATGACGTCTAAGATATTAAGTCAATGTTCTAGTGTTTAAGATATTAATGAAGTAGTTGAATTTGATTTTTATTATACTGAAAACCAATATGTAAATTTTATAAATCATATCTAGTTAAAAATAATGGTCTAAGATAGCAAAGTATGCTATGGAGAAGCAATTCTGAACTTAGGTTTTTATATTGAAAACAATTTACCTTTGGTTATTGATAAAATTCCTATTCATAATAGAAATGACTATGAAGCTCATATTTAAGTAGGATTGGCATGGAACTAATTAAATTAAGGTGAATATAAAAGAGTTGGAAACAATAGATTGTATAAAATATTTATGAAATTTAGTAAACATAATTAAGAAATAAAAAAAGGTGAAGAATGGTTAAAATAAAAGAGAGAATGTCAACATTCACCAATATAAGAAAGAGGAGAAAATATGATGCATAATAGAGAGGACACTTTAAAGAAATATTAGGAACAAACAATCAATTTTGAAAATAATGTAAAACATCAAGAAATAGATAAACTAAATGAAGTTGAAGTAAATTCAAAAAGATAATAAACTGTAAGAATCTAGAAAATTAGTTTATTATAATAAAAATCTAAAGAGGAAAAATGTGAATATGATTGTCCAACAGCATCAAGAGAAAATAAATTTGTTGTTCCAGGCAAAAATAGAACTAAATAAATACAAAATAATGAAGAAATATTAAGAGGATCAACTAAACCTAAAGCTAATCCTAAAAAAATAGATTAATTTGATAATTTGAATTCAAGACCAACTTAAAATGAATAAGCTTTATTATTATCTTGTAGATAATTAGAGAGTATAGAATAGGATGAAAGTTCATTATAAATTTAGAATCATATCTTAAAAAATTAGAATAAATAAATGAAATAATAAAATGAAAAATTGTAAGAATAAATTAAGAAGTCTGAAGCTGCATTTACTCTATTATCAGAAACATATGCTATTCTATAATCTGATTATAAAAGAATGTAAATTCAAAGCTTTAATAGTAATTTTACTAATTCATTTATTCATGAATTAAATAATGTATAAGATAAGAACAGTAAGGAATTTTAATAAATTAAAAAAGAGTGTGAAATTCTAAAAAAAGAGATTGAGATTCTAATTAAAGAGAATGATATTCTAAAGGATGAGAAAGATTAATTGAATAAAAAATAAACTTAAGAAATATCTAAATTGAATGAAGAATTAATGACAATAAAAAACATTGTGAAAGAGTAAGAAACAGAAAAGATCTAACTATAAAAATATATTGAATCTTATAAAAATTCATTGACTAATAAATAATATTGTATTTGCCTATAAAAAGATGAACATAGAATTAATAGAGATAAACTCTTGTTTAGTACAAATATTTGTGTAGAAACTATTTAATCAGTAAATGATGAGAACGTAGGTACTAATTGTCCAAAAGGTTAAGTAGATAATTTCTTAAAGAATGAAGGAAGACAGAAGTAATATAAAATTTACAACTTAGATTTAATTAATTATCACATGTAGAATTACAATAATTAGTATTTGAATATTTAAAGGAATTATAAATAACTTAAAAAGAAAATCAATAATTAGGTATGAATGAAATATTAATAATAGTACTTAAATCTAAGAAAGATTAGATAAGACTGGAGAGTTTTCAAAAAGAACTTGAAATAACTAAAGTAATAATAAATTTAATAATTTAATAGAGGATTGTAAAGTTAAGCGAACAAAGATGTAGCTCAATAGAACATTAAATAGTACAATTAGAGAAGGCTGTACTTAATGGCAAATAAAATATTGCTGATATGATAAATGCAGTGATGGAATGTGGAGGATAAAAACTATATGATCAAGTAGAAAGATGTTTGGCCTTTAGAAGAAGTTTAAAATTAGATTGAATTTTACACTAAATATGACTGAAAATTTTTGATTTAATAACATTTGTTATTTATTTAAAATACACTAAAGACATAATGTTAGATGTCAATCAATCTTCTTTTAGATGTGCATTTTCATTTGGGAAGTTTTTTTCCAAGCTGGTTGCACTGATAGCATATTATCCATTTCCATCAAGAATATTTTCTTAATTTTTATCTAATTAATAAATAAAAATAGATAGAATAAATGCTATAGCTCCTAAAATAGATAACATAATTTATGAATAAAAATATGTTCCATAATATCTAATATAATAAAAATTAAATACGCTCTTAAAGCACCAACAGCAAGAGGTACTAGAGTGAATGTAAAGTTATATACAGCAATAACTAATGCATATGCTTTACCTAAAGTATCTGGTCTAACCAAAAATACAATTCCTGTCCATGCTGATGCAAATGCTAGAGCTAAAGATGTTCCAAGTAAAATAAGAGATAAAAATGGAAAAACATACCAAATCATTAAATGAGAGAAAGTACATAACAAGCTTGCAAATACTAACTATGTAATATTTAATATAAACATACTAATAATGATCTTTAACCATATTTATCTGTGTAGCTACCAAATAATGGAGTAAAGAGTCCAGTTATAAACCACATAATTGAAACTACAAATCCAGCTTCAATTTCTGATTCTTCAGTAACACCAAACCATCTTTCAGATAATAATCCAACTGAAATATTTATGAATCCTAATACTGAACTATAAATTAATGCATAACACCAACTAACAAACCAAAATATTTTTGGAAACATTTCAACAGCTTAAATTACATCAGGCTAAGATATAATTTAACCATCAACTCCATTTTAATTTATTAATTAATTTTCATCTACTTCAATTATATTTCCTTATATATTCTAATCATTATTATTATCTTTATCATTATTTATCCCTAATTTTTTATTTGCTCCACTTTATCTTGGACTTCTATTTTCTGAAGATCTTAAAACAGAATATTTAACTTAATCATAATTCACTTAATCCAAAAGATGTTTCTCTGCATGTTTATCCAAAATCACAGTAATTATTCCGCATATTAAGCTAAAAGAGTTAAAGAATATTCCACTAGATACTGCTACTAATAAACCATATTCTAAAGCCAATTTTGGGCATAAATACATTGTTAATATAGATCCTAAAGTTGCAAAAAATTCATTTAAACCAACAGCAAATCCCTAAAATATAAATGGATGATACCAAATAATCATCTTTAAAATATGGAGAAATAAATGATGTTTAAGTAGGAACTACAGATTCTATACCCCAACCAGATATGATTCTGCCTAAATACATGATCATGAAGCTCTTTAGATGAACTCCATATACAAATATTAATTATCCTATCATTACCAAAACCACCATAAGAATTAATACAATTCTGTCACCCTTTTAATCCCTAATTTCTAAATTAAAACTATATCATACTTCCGCTAATAAATGGAAGAAAAATATTTGCAAATGAATATAAACTATACAAACCACCATAATAAAGTTCAAAAGCTTCAGCTGTCATTATATCACTAAAATGTGTTTATAGTGTGTTGTGTAAGGAAGTAGGAATATCAAAACAATAAAATGCTCCTAATACAAGCCAAATACAAAATCCAAGCACACCCCATCTATACTTGTAATGGCATTTATTTAGAAATGGAAAGCATTCTCTCATAAGATTTTATTAAATATATCGTTTTTATTTTTTCAAACATTCAAAATATTCACTATTATTTAAATTAATTTTATAAATTTCTATTCATTCTTTATTTGTTGTACAAAAGTATGCAATTAAATATAAAAATCAAACTTTATCAAGTAAATGTGAGATTTTATATCCCATTTAAATACTTTTAAAATACATTATTGTTTTAATATATCTATTATTTAGTTTCTATTTTCCTATTACACATATCTAATAAATTTTTTTCAACTTATTTGTATAATTAATTACTCTTTAATTGTTTTATTATTTTTATTAATTTTTGAAGTGAATTATAAAATTTTCTGATATATTTTGATTTTCAATTTATCGAAAATACCTAAAATACCTTGAAGAAAGGTCTAGTATTCTTTTATGATATGACTTTAATTTTTATAGCTTCTTTTTATAATTAATTTTAAAAATAATGTCTAAATAACATGATAATCTATTTTAAAATAATAGATCATAGAGAGCAGTTAGAACAGAATAAAACAATTAATTTGAAATTGGGTATTTGTAACCTACTCTTAAATAAGTTAATTCACCTCATCAATCATAATCTATTTCACCTATCCGAAGTCAACATGATTTGAGCATCGATAACAAATAAGGATTAAATGGCTATCCTAACATAAAAAATGCTGACTAAGTAGAAATATTAAAATAAACAAAAGTAAATAGAAGCACTTATCTAAGAAATAGAGAAACAAAATACATGTATTAAATAGAAAACATAATAAATATAAGAGTGTCAATCTAAAATTAGTCAGCTCGATTTGCATTATGGTTTAAAAATTGAAGAACTTGAAACTCAACATCTTTACTAAATTTCTTTAACTTAAAATTAATTAAAAGAAAAATAATAGGAAAATGCAAATTTAATTAATGAAATTAATCAATTAAAATCTCAAAAAAATAAATATAATTTACTAGCTGAATAAATTAATGCAGAAAACTATTAATTAAGGGAATAAATTAGAAAAAATTAGATACTTAATTCTACATAAACAGGAGATTTAGTTGATGAATAATCTTCAAAATAGTAGAAATTAGAAATAATCTAAATAAAGCAGTAAATAATAAAATTGAATGAAATCATAAAAAGTTTAGAAGAATAAAATAAATATTAAGAAGAAGAATATAATCAAATTTTCAAGGAAAATTAGTATTTAATCAATATCCATAATAATTTGACATAATAACTTGAAACATCAAAAAAAGAATTACTACAATTATAAGAAGAAAAAAAGGAATTTCAAGATAAGATGACTCAAATTAAAGAAGAATTTGATATCTCTTAAGAGTAATTAATTTAGTAATTATAGTAAGAATAGATAGAAAAATAATAACTTTAGATCTAATATTAATAAAAAATTCGAGAATTATAAAATATTTCCACACAACTAGAATCAAATATTTAAGAAACTTAGTAGATCTCTTCTTAGTACAATCAATATTCTTGGAAGATTAGTTTACTTGAACAATAAGAAAAAGATCTATAAAATCGAATTGAGCATTAAACTACTCAAATCTCTTAATAAAGAAAAACTATTAGTCTTCTTGAATAAAATTTATAAAACTCTTAGAATACTGAAATTCAATACTAGCAATTATTATAAAATTATAATAGTATTAAAGAATAATTTTAACAATATTCAACATCAGAGCATAACATTTCAAATATCTCATCAGGAATTCAATAGTAATTATTGATAACATAAAAATAATGCCATGAATAATAAACTAAAATAGAAAAATTAACTGTTATGTTGAAAAATAGATTAAATGAAATAGAATTATGGAAAAATAAATGCTATGAAAATAATTCATAATAATAAAATAGATAACTCTTGGATTAACTTATATAAGATAATGAAATATTAAGATAAAAGTAAATTTTATTTATTCTATTTAGATGTAATATATTAGAAATAAATATTAAAGAAAATAGCAATCCATTTCAATCTTAAGAAATTAATAAATTGAACTTAATAGTAAAATTTTCACTTAAAATAGATTAAACAATAATAAGATAAAATTATACAATAATAATTAATTTTAGAAAATCAAAAAAAATAAATGAGTAGTCCAAAAAATTAAAAAACATTTACAACAGAAATAAATGTAAAAGATTTCAATCAAAAAAATAAGCATAATTGATTAATACTTAATCTAAATTAATTATTATATTAAATTATGTTGTTCATTCAATATAATTTATTCCATAAGTATTGACAAACTTTGACAGGATCATTTTCCATCATTTTTTCACTTTCTACCCATGAATTTTTAGGAATTTGACCTAAAATTAGATTAAAATTATACCATTGCTTCTTCTTTTCCATAAAATATAATACATTTTATTTTTGTTTTTTTTAATTTAAACAGCTCTCCCAATTTTTTCAACTTTATCTCCTTATTCGAAAGAACCATCATAATTTATTAAAGCACTTTATTAGTATTACTACATAATATCAGATTATATAGATTATTGTTTATCTTGAGAAGCAGGGGATCTTTATAAATCATAGTGATGAAGAACATTTTTTGACATTTTAAGTTCTTTAACGAGTCTCAATTAGGATTAAAGAATGAATCTAACATCATCTCTAAGATTATTGATTTGATGTTAAAACTCACTCAATTTAGTATTAAAAGTGGAGAGTTCACTTTTTTAAGGAGGAACTTCTACAAAATCTTCAATTTAAGGAGGTTAATCTAATGGATCAAAATAGAAGGTTTTTCCAAGCATTTGAACACTCATTTTATACTCTGAAATCATATTTGAATCAGCAGGTACTTTGTCTGCTTTTTCCCATGTAGATTATGAGATTGGGTATCCTGCCCATTTTACTAAAAAATAGAGTTAGTCATTTATAGTTCTAGAATCAAGGATTGCTTCCATTGAGAAAAGCTTTCGTTTAATTTTGTTCATTATTTTGTAAAAATAATTTTTCCTAAACACACTTTTAATTTTTAAAAGCACACTAATTAAAGAAAAATTATTTCTTCAATTTTCTTAATATTTTATCTATTTAATATATTTCATTTTAACATATTCATCAATCTCAAAAGACATATCATTTTATTGAACTTAATACCCTTCAATTGTGTCAGTTAATTTAAGTTATAAACTTTTTGCTTCCTCTGTAAAATAATTTATCCTTTTAGGTAAAGAAGGCAATCTTTGATGAAGAAGTTTATTAGTATGTAAAGATAAAGATTTTTGACGTGGTTCGGTTTTCTATTTCTCAACTTTCTTTTTTTCTTAATTATTTTATTATTGAGTTATTTTTAATAATTTTTCATGCTTTGACCTATTTTTAATTTTTTAGTTTAAAGGAGATATTTAACTTTAATTCATTGGAGAAATTTAGTTGCAATTTATAGGTGTAAATACTACCCCTTAATCAATTTTTTTATAATTTGTAGGGGATATTCTTCTAAAATTTTGAATTCCCGAACAGGATTAGCCTATTCTGGTAGGCATTACAATTATATTTATATTCTTCCTACTTTCTTTTTCCATTTCTTTTATTATTAAATCCTTAATAATCTATTTTATACTTTTTGGTTACTTTTTAAAAGGAGTTTGCATATTTATTAATAAATATTTATTAACATAAAATAATTATTTATTAAATCAATTAAATATAAAAAAATAATAAATCAAAAGAATATTTTTATCAAATAAATTTAATTAAATTCACAATCATATAAACTTATCAATTCACTACTTAACACAGAATAAAAATAATTTTTTAAATTTTATGATACATAAATTATTTGTTAGAAAAATTGAATCGTAAATATTTTTCTTTACAATTTTTTTTCAAATCAACTACACAATTTGATTTTTGAATTTAAATTCATTCTCATCATATTATTTCCTTTTTATTTCTTGAAAATCCATTATTTTCTAAGTAAATTGAGTTTATTGAAATTTTGCAACTCAAATCAATTTTTCTAAAATTTGATTATTAATAGTTTTGATTTGAAAAATATACTTTATAGCAAAGTAATATAAATGAGAGCAATTATATCAAAATTGCTAAGAGTAAATAAAAATATGATTAAATTTATCATTTAATAAATATTTTATCAAAATATATTTTATAGTACATAAACTACTATTGAGTTATTAAATAATCGTTTCAGATTTCTTAAGAGTTTTCAAAAAACTTGAATTAAAAAAATAGAAATGAAATAGATATTCTATGTATCTTTTTGAATATCAAATAAGGAAAGAGCGAATAAGTAATTCAACTTATTAAAATAATTAGTTTAAGTCTTTCAAGCTTAATTAAAATAATAAATTTTGTTAGGTCATTTCCTCTTCAGTAAAGAAACACTAAATATTTTTTTATTTAATTTAATTGAATTTAGACTTATTTAACTTAAAATTTTATTTTTTAATCATATTCATAAATAATGATTAGACACAAGTATTAATTTTAATAAATCATTCATTTTTTCGTTTTTTTGCGATTTTTTTATTCTTTTAGTTTATGATATGTTTTTATCATAGACAATTAGAAAAAATTAAATTAATCACTCACAATTTAAATTTTTTAATATTTATCTTTTTTGAACATAAGTATAAGTTTGGAAAGGTGGAAAGATAGTTAGTTTTCTATCAAATCCAAAATTTTACTGTACAAAAAAGGATTGAAAGAAACTTTTAAATAATTAGTGATAATTAGAATATTTATAAAAAAGTATTAAGTAAAGCAAAAAAAATTATCTAATCAAGATTCAATAATCGAAATCTTTAGGAATTCTCATGCATGATTTATGTTATTATTTTATTGGCGATTCTTCAAGGGCTGGGTTAAGATTATATATTTCCTTTGTCATCTAAACTTATGTTTTGAGCCTGTTTCTAAATCTATAGATATCTTCATCTTGATATCTCAGAAAAACAGTTATTGTCGGAGTAAATTTGACATATTTAGAATTTTTTTAATTTCCCAAGCAGTACGTGCTTTCAAGATCGAATGATGAAAATGGTTTTTCATCCTTAAAATCTTATATTTTACTTGGCAAATTAAAGTTTAATTTAGGTCCTCTGATTTGATTCATTGTTTTTGTTAACTACGATTAGAAAAAAAATATATTTAATGAAAATAAATTACTAATCATATAGAAATCTAAATAATAAATATATATGCTCTCATTAGAATAAAAAATTTGAAATTACAAGGCAGATTTATCTAGTCAAAACTTTAGATCTTAATTAGACTGAATATTATGTTTGCAATTAAGTTAAATCCAACAGAGAAATAACATCATATTTAATAGAAAAAAGGATGAAATACATTATAACATTAGAATCATCTGTGTTTTTACTAAATTTTACTTTAAATACCACATATTTGGTTCTACATTATTTATCAATATATTTTTTTTAATTTTATTGAAAAAAAGATACTTTCCTTTTTATCAAAATTGTTACACTAATTCACCATGTTTAGAAAAGATTAATAGGTTAAATCTTTTTCTTTAAATTTTGATCTAATTGAAAATTTAATAGTATGAAATATATTTTATGAATTTATCTTTTTTTTTATTAAGTGTTGAAATATGTTTTAAAGGGGAAATTAGCATTTATCTATTTTAAATGCTGGTATTAATTTAGTCATTAGAATTTTAACTAAAAAAGACAACTGCATGTCAATAATTTTTATAATATCTGAAATAGGTATAATATTTGTAAGGAAAAATAAATAAAATATGATTATAATTTTCTATAAGGTTTTGAAAAATAAATTTGTAGGTATGTAAAAGTAAATTAAACTTTAAGAATTAAATTATTTAATTTATGGACTATTTAATGTTTGTAAGCATTAAGAAAAATTCTCGATTTAAATCAATATCAAAATAATGTATTTCGATCTAACGGTTCAAATAATGTAATATTTCCTAAATGAAATCATATGTAAGATTTTAATATTTTAACAACCTATATCACATCAAAAATATTCTAAATAGAGATGAAAGGTTAAATTGGGAAGACAGTAAGCCGAGAACTAATTTTGGAAATAAAAATATAAGAAATTTTAATAAAGAAGATTTTGAAGATTTAGTTAGAATTTTGAAAGTGAAGATGGAGATGAAGATAAAATATAATGAAGAAAAAGAGGATTGGAGAAATTCATTTAAAAACAGTATCATAGGAACTTATAAATATAATTATTAAATTGCATTTTAAAGTATATTTAATACAATAGCTAAAATTAAATAATAGAATAGAATCTGTAATAAATAAAAGAATTTTCAAGTCCCAAAAGAAGGAACAATTGATGATTTTTTTGTTGTATATCAAGAATAAAAAAATGATAATGAAAAATTAAGGCAGATCACACTTAAAATATTTAGAAAAAAATTAGAATTAAAATAAAGAAATTATAAAAAACATATCTTAGATTGTTAGTTGAAGATGATAAAAATCAAAAATAGGTTTAATCCTAATAATAAAAGTTAAAATGGAATTAAAGTAAATTAGATTTGAAGCCATGAAACAAATCGTTAACATGAAATTGATATAACTAAGAAACAATTAAAATATGTATATAATGAATTAAAAAATATATGTAATTTGTTTTTAATATATAAATATCTCAAAAGGAAAATCAATTGATATTTATTATGAAAGTAATAATAAATAATTAAACTTGAAATAATTTTAATGGGAAATTGTTAGGCAACATGTTGCAATAAAGAAGGTGAAATAGTAATTAAAGAAAATTACAAGAGTGATTTTGAGATGGATGAAAATAGTGATATTGTTAATTCAATAGTTTCGATAAAGACAACTAATTAATAAAAAGAAAGGGATAAGTTTAAAATAGATCTAGAGTAAAGCAAAAGGGAAGGAACGTAATTGTATTGCAATGTTCGTACAAAGTTTGCTGCAGTTTAGATTGATAAAGATACTTTATATGAAGGGGAATGGTTATTAGGTAAAAGAGATGGAATTGGAAGAGTTGTTTGGTCAGATGGTTCTTGTTATGAAGGAGAATGGAAAGATGATAAGAGTTCTGGAATAGGAAAATTAATTCATGCAGATGGAGATATTTATGAAGGTGAATTTAATAATGATAAGGCTAATGGAAAAGGAGTATATACACATGTAAATGGAGCCAGATATGAAGGAGATGTATTTTGTATTTAATCTTAATAGTGGGTAAATGCTTAATAGCATGGTTAAGGTATTGAAGTTTGGCCAGATGGATCTAAATATTAAGGATCTTATGCAAATGGAAAAAAAAATGGATAAGGAATCTTATATTTTGCAGATGGATCTAAATATGAAGGCAATTTTGTAGATAATGAAATTGATGGATTTGGAACTTATTAATGGCCAGATCATAGAATTTATATTGGAGAATGGAAAAATAATAAAATGAATGGACATGGTTAACTAATGTGGAACGATGGTAGAAAATTTGAAGGGGTATTAGCAGTCACACTTATGAGAGGAATATGTTAATGATCTAAAGCATGGACCAGGAGTATTTCAATGGGCTGATGGTAGAAAATATGAAGGTTAATGGATTGAAGGTTCTCAATAAGGAATTGGCATTTATCATTTAGGAAATGGAATCTAAAAATATGGAATCTGGAATAATGGAATTAGACAAAGATGGTTAACAGAAGAAGAAATCGAATCATTTTTAAAGAATTAATAATCATGACTATTCTTATCTTTTTTTTAATAATTTTTATTTACTCAAAATTAACTAAACTATTATATTAAAGTCTTTCTCATTGGATGGAATCCTTGTATTACTAATTCATATGATTCTTTCGCTATCATTTTCTCTTATCTCCATTTATTCCAAAATGGTAATTCTATTAACCAATCTCTATATAAACCAAATAAATAGTAACATGAAAAACTTAATGAAATACCAGCCAAAACTATATAATCAATTTATATTATTACAATTCTTTCCATAATTCTTTTTCATTAAAGCTTGCTTTCTCTTTATATAAATATCATTAGAAGGCTTGAAAAAATAATTAGGGTATTGCATTTGGTATTGTGTTAAAAAAAATGTTTAAAATAATAATATATACATATAATGTAATTGTAATGATAAAAATAATAATTTATATTAAATATCTGATAGTTATGATAAAAAAAGTTTATAAAATGAATATTAGTTAAATATCAAAAAGCTTCTGAATTGATTATAATTATGAGATAGAGTAATAAATGATTAATATGGTTATTGAGAGTAATATTAGTAATTATAATAAATGATCAAAAATAATTAATATTAGAGTATCTTGTTTAATAGTGATTAAATAATATATCATAAATGCAATCAATAACAATTCCAATGATAACATAAGCGCATCGTCTACAAAAAGATAGCACTTTAAATTTTAGAACAAAGCTTTAAAGATCTTTAAAATTGTCAGAGAAATATCATTGCAATATACATTTGAAACGAGAAGATCAATAATAGATTAGAGTATTTAAGATGAGAGGAGCATTCAATTCTTTTATGAGTTTAAGTCAAGAACAGAGAACAAAAGGATTAGTAACAGTGAGTGATGGTAATTTTGCAGAGGCATTTGCTTTTTTTTGCAATCATTTAAAAATAAAAGGTAAAGGAATGATATAAAAGAATAGGAACTGTTTTTTTGCCAGAAGTGTGTTTTTAATGGAAAATAGAAATAATATAGAAGTATGGAAAGGATTATGTAGAAATAAGAAGTGTAGGAGAATCATTTGATGAAGCTGAAGCTGCAGCATAAGAATATATAAAATAGCATGATAGAATAATGATACATCCATGTGATAATGTAAAAGCAATTATAGGGAATGCAACAATTGTATAATAGAATTTAGTTATTTTAAGGGTATAGAGATAATAGAAGATTTTCCAGGAGAAGTAGATTATGTTTTTGTACCAGTTGGAGCAGGAGCATTAGCAGCTGGTATAGCTACTTACTTTAAAGCAATGTCTCCGAATACGAAGATTATAGGGGTTTAACCAGATGGGGCTGCATCTATGAAAGCTTCATTTGATGCAAAGAAAATTGTTACAATTGAAAGTATGTCTAGATTTTGTGATGGATCTGCTGTAAAAACAGTTCCTTAAATAACATATGATATATGTTAACGCAATTTAGATGGTTTAGCAGTTGTACCTGAAGGAAAAGTTAGTTCAACAATTCTTGAATTATACAATTAAGGCATTGCAGTAGAACCAGCAGGGGTAAAATTATTATAACAATAAACATTTATAGGCTTTAGCTGTTTCTGTATTAGATTAATATGCATAAGAAATTAAAGATAAAAATGTAGTATGTTTAATTTCAGGAGGAACAGTTGATCTATCGAGATTTGATGAATTTAAAGAACACTCTTTATTATATGAAGGATTGAAATATTTCTTTTTAATTCAAATCCCATTCAGACCTGGTATTCTCAAAAGTTTTGTTAGTTTGTAATATTCAATTCTAAATTAGATGTTTGGGACCAGATGATGAAATTAGTCATATTCAGTTTTAAAAAANTTAGTAATTATAATAAATGATCAAAAATAATTAATATTAGAGTATCTTGTTTAATAGTGATTAAATAATATATCATAAATGCAATCAATAACAATTCCAATGATAACATAAGCGCATCGTCTACAAAAAGATAGCACTTTAAATTTTAGAACAAAGCTTTAAAGATCTTTAAAATTGTCAGAGAAATATCATTGCAATATACATTTGAAACGAGAAGATCAATAATAGATTAGAGTATTTAAGATGAGAGGAGCATTCAATTCTTTTATGAGTTTAAGTCAAGAACAGAGAACAAAAGGATTAGTAACAGTGAGTGATGGTAATTTTGCAGAGGCATTTGCTTTTTTTTGCAATCATTTAAAAATAAAAGGTAAAGGAATGATATAAAAGAATAGGAACTGTTTTTTTGCCAGAAGTGTGTTTTTAATGGAAAATAGAAATAATATAGAAGTATGGAAAGGATTATGTAGAAATAAGAAGTGTAGGAGAATCATTTGATGAAGCTGAAGCTGCAGCATAAGAATATATAAAATAGCATGATAGAATAATGATACATCCATGTGATAATGTAAAAGCAATTATAGGGAATGCAACAATTGTATAATAGAATTTAGTTATTTTAAGGGTATAGAGATAATAGAAGATTTTCCAGGAGAAGTAGATTATGTTTTTGTACCAGTTGGAGCAGGAGCATTAGCAGCTGGTATAGCTACTTACTTTAAAGCAATGTCTCCGAATACGAAGATTATAGGGGTTTAACCAGATGGGGCTGCATCTATGAAAGCTTCATTTGATGCAAAGAAAATTGTTACAATTGAAAGTATGTCTAGATTTTGTGATGGATCTGCTGTAAAAACAGTTCCTTAAATAACATATGATATATGTTAACGCAATTTAGATGGTTTAGCAGTTGTACCTGAAGGAAAAGTTAGTTCAACAATTCTTGAATTATACAATTAAGGCATTGCAGTAGAACCAGCAGGGGTAAAATTATTATAACAATAAACATTTATAGGCTTTAGCTGTTTCTGTATTAGATTAATATGCATAAGAAATTAAAGATAAAAATGTAGTATGTTTAATTTCAGGAGGAACAGTTGATCTATCGAGATTTGATGAATTTAAAGAACACTCTTTATTATATGAAGGATTGAAATATTTCTTTTTAATTCAAATCCCATTCAGACCTGGTATTCTCAAAAGTTTTGTTAGTTTGTAATATTCAATTCTAAATTAGATGTTTGGGACCAGATGATGAAATTAGTCATATTCAGTTTTAAAAAAAAACTAATAGGGAAAGAGGACCATGTTTAGTGGCTATAGAAGTAGCAAAAAAAGATAATATTAAAAAAGTAATGGAGAATATGACTAAAATGCATTTATAGTATGAAGTTGTAAATGATTCAAAAGAGTTGTTTGATTTATTGGTTTGATAAATTATAATATTAACGTATATAAAATATGTCTGTTATATTCGATTAGTTAGATGTATGCTTATTAATGAATACTTTAGAATATCTAATCACTTAGATTTAAATTTACTTAAGCAATCAAGTTAGGAGTCTCACTATATTACATTCAAAATTGTAACTTAAAAAGGCTTGTAATTACCGACAATTAAATTGCATAATATAATGAATCAGAAGCTATACATGTTTTATAAAATGCATCTCAGATATGTTCTGATGGTAAAACTTTGTTTTGTTTGGAGAGTATAAAATTATGACAATTTTTAAGATAATGGTGACCTTTATTAAATTGATTAATAACCCAAACTGCTGGTCTCTGCTAAGAACTATATTACTATCACGCCCACTACTGCTATTGATCATTCTGGCCGAGGTTTTTACTGGAAAAATAATAAACCTATTTATTCTCATTGTAAACATATTAGTACATATCAAGATAAAATGACTTTAATCACAAGTATCAATCTTATTTCATTTTATTAGTTGGAGGGAAGATTTTCAATATTGAAAATAATACACAAATTCCTATCTAATAATTAAATGGATTGGGAATTAATGGATATTTTAAAAAATCTCTACTGTTTTAATTTGGAGGAATTGCTATTACAGAAAATGGTGATGCATATTGTTATAATAGTAAAATGATTAAAATTAAAATATCCAATTTATAGGATATTTAAGCGAGCAATAGATTTATTTTTGGAATCTAAGGAAAATATATTTTATAATGGAATCTAGATGATTTTTAAAATCATTAATTTTTTGTCAATTAAACTTTATTTAAAAAAATGAATTATGGTCACGAAATACAAATTAATTATAAAAAAAAAGAATTTGAAGAGGTTAAATATATTTTCTCAGATTAATTTTCATTATTTTGTTGTGCCTCCATTAAATCAATTTTTAAATAAAATTAGAATGAATAATCTATTTCAGCTATTGAAAAAACTTTTTGTCGAAGCACTGTTTAAAATTTAAAATAATAATTATTTGATCAATGGGATCCTCCTTCAAAAAAAAAAAATTAGGAAATCAGATAACCTAGACAACTTAGAGGAGAAAGAACAGAAAGATCAGAAACAAGCAATCGATAAACTGATAGAATAGAAAAAAAAGATGATACTTCCTAATAACGTTAAGAATAAAGCCATCGATAATCCAATAATAATATACTTGATGTTTTATTTGATCGATCCAATAAAGAGGAAAATTTTGTAAAAAAAGATTAGGAACAAATTGTCTTATAAATTGATCCAAATTTTAGTTTTAAAAATAGTTTAAAAAAGTAAACTGAAATATTAGCTCCTCTCGAAATTTCAAAATTAAATTTGAATGATAATATTTCAAAATCCGAAAAGTCTTTATTATCTAACAAATAAAATGCTTAAATAACTTAAGTAGAATAAATTAAGTTATAATAATAGGAACAGAAATAATAAAAACTTGAGCCCTCAGTTGATTAAAAATAATAATAAAAAATCAAGGTTTAAAGTAAGGAAGAGGAATAAATTTTATGCAATTAAAAGGAATAATAATTAAAATAAAATATAGAATAATAATAATAGATTGAATAATAATAAAAACTTGAAGAATAATAAAAAATAGAATAATAATAAAAATTTGAAAAACAATAAAAAGCAGAATAATAATAATAATAATAGTAGCAATAATAATTAAATTCTATTAATTTGCCCAAAAAAGGCACTGACGAAATTAAGTAACCATCTAAACTATTAGAATAATACAAAAAATAATTCGATTTAATTTTATAATCAAATTATGAATAGACAATTAAAAATTAAGAATAAATGTAGAATAATTAAATGAACAAATTAAATTATTAAGAAAATCTTAGCACTTAATAAAATATAATTAGCTAAAAATTATCATAAATTAGAGAGATATATGATTAACCAAAATTTAAGACTTAAAATAATAGCTTATATACTTTAGATGAAGAAAGTTCAGTTGAATAAAGTATGTGTTTTGAAGAAGAAGAAAAAGGTAGATTATAATTAAAAAGATAAGCATTATAAATTTAAGATGTATTTGATAATAAACCTGAGTGTAAGCCAGCATCAAAAAAATAATAATAGTTTTCAATAAAAGATTTTTAGTCTTAAACATTATCTTAAGAAAATTAAATATAATCTCCACAAATTTACGCAGCTGAATTATAATTACCTCCTATTTAATCAACATTAAATAATTTCTTTAGTAAATTATAATCAAAACCAGAAAAATCAATAGATGAAGTTCTCAATTTATAAACATAAAAAGAAGAAATCTTAGATAATATTCAATAACCAAGTCTTAAAGAATAAACATCTAGTGTTGAGGTAAAGGAAAACAAAAAAATAAAATCTTTCTTAAAACCTGAATAAATGTAATAGCAAAAATAAAAAAATACAGTTGAGGTAATGGATTAATAATCAGTTATTGATTATTAAAATAATAGCGACTTTATAGATTAATAACAAGATAGTTTCATGTAGATTTTATAAACTGAAAAAAAATAATAAGAATGCAATAAGATATAAAATATAATGTCAATTTTTGATTAAATTCAAATATAACCAAAAAGAAAAAGTCCTCCTAAATTGAGTTTGTTTAAAAAACAAGATTAAGAAAATAAGTTTAAAAAAATTGATATTATATAAGATTCAGATGGATAATTAGATGAAAATTTAGCAGAAATAAAAAAAATTCTCATAGAAAAGAACCAAAAAATAATAGAAAAAAAGTAATCTCCTTCAAAAAGCATAATTAAATTACATAAAACTTTAGTTACATTTTCTGAAGATATTTCACAGGAAGAGGTTGAAGATAGAGTGATGTAAATTGTAAAAATAGATTAAAATCTATAAACTATTAATAACAAGCCTTCTCCAATAAAATCTAAATCTCCATTTAAAGACAATAATATTTCATCTAGTAAAAACAATTCTCTTTAATTAAGCGAATAGAAAGCCTTGATTAAGATTAATTAAAATGCTGATATAAAACAACATAGTTTTGATATTAAAATTCCAGTTAATCAACTTGAACAGAAATAGGGATTATCACATGTGAAGGCTTAACAATTAAATTGTAATACATAAAGGCCAGAAAAAATATATACACCTTTAAGAAGCAGAAGAAATAGTTCTGCAAGAGGATCAAGTATTGAAACTAATAGATTTAAATAGTTACAGATTGAAACTTAAATAGTGGTCCCAGGAATTTAGAGTTAAACTCCTTAAATAAATAATTTTGAAATTTTAGATTTAAGTAATGCAATGTATCATATTGATTTAACTCTCATGGAAGAAAGTACAAAACATACTCCAGTTGCTTAGATTATTAATGTACTTAATAAAAATTAACAATCTAATTAAAAAACTCTTAAAGAACCTCAATTAATTAGAGTTTCATCAACCTCTTAAATTCCACCTTCTCTAAGAACTAATAGCGTTGGACCAATAAGTAAAAAAACAGAGGCATCTCCTATCAAAGTTTAAAGAAATGCTAAAAATACATAATCTTCAAAAAGTGTTAATGATGAAACAATTAATTTGAAAAAAAAAAAATAAGATATTATTTTAAGGAAATTATTCTTTAGATTGGATATTCAGCTTAAACTTATAAAATTAGAGTTTATGTTTAACATGAAACAGAAAATCACAAAATGATAAATTTATTTTATTATTCTTAGTACTAATTTTAAATGTTTCATTTTCATATGGTTAAATCTGAGAAGCAAAAAAATATTTCCATTTTTTTACATTATATTTATTACTGACAACTTTCATCATCTACATCTATATAAAATCGTTAATAAATGTTTAAATTGGTTTTAAATTTATAATAATAACCCTTTACACACTATCAATATATCAAATGTGTAATCATTATTTTTTATTAAATATTTCCCTTTATTTGCTATCTTTTCACAATATAAATAAAATAAATTGATGATTTATCTTAAAGATATTTATGTAATCCAAAATTTAGAAGTTAATTTTCTTATGATTTTGTATTTCTGTTAATTTCTAGGGTAAAAGAAAATAATTTTTCTTGCATACTAAAACATACTAATGGGATTTTCTCATAATTATTTGGAAATTCAGCTAAAAAAGAATTCTTGAGTATCTTTATTAATTATTAAAGTTTTATGTGTATATTCTACAAAAATATATTTCGAAAAAATATTTAAAAAAAGATTTTCATATTTCATATTTAAATTAAAGGTCTATGTGTCATCACTTTAAAGTTATATAATTAATAAAATTAAATTATCTTAGAATAACTTATATTTTCATTAGAATCTCAAAAAACTAAACTTTATGATTCAATTTATTTTTTTTAATAATTTGATTAAAAAAAATTTAGAATGATTTCTTATTTTAATGGTTTATTAGATGTTAAGAATAATTTAAAAAACAATAATAATTTATATATAATTTACTTTATCTATATTCTTTGTAATAAAAACTTTCATTTTTGATTAAAGAATTAACAAAAAGGTTATATTCTTAGAATAAATAACTTCCAACTTTTTATTCGTTTCATTTTACAAAAATTGCACTATATTAACAAGAGATTTCATTCAAAAAAGATAAAGCATTCATCATCAAGAACTCAAGTAATATCCGCGAATCATATACATACTAAATTTAGTGCTTTTAAATTAAATTAACTGTATATTAAACAAACTTATCTTATAAACTAAATTTAACAATGATTTATGGAATAGGATTTAAAAGGATATCCTAAAAATTATAGTATGTATCAATAGGCCACTAAGAAATTATAAAAAATAAAAAAAAATTTAAGTAAATTTAGTTGATTTTATTTATATATTTACTAATTAAAGAAAAATATATTAATATAAATTATAATAAAATGTCAGACGTCGACATAGAAGACACGATTAACAGAATTAAAAATCATAAATCAGTATAAGGCATTGTGATTGTAAATAATGAAGGGACGATTACAAGAACAACCTATCTTAATGAGAAAAAGGATGAAGGTAACTGTTATATTTGATGATAAATAAGGTGACACAATAGCAAAATCTATTCCTATTTTAGCATAGAAAGCTCGATCTTTGGTACGTGATTTGGACCCAACAAATGATTTAGCATTTTTAAGGATAAAATCAAAGTTAAATGAAATCCTCATTGCACCTGACAAAGACCTTTTATTAATAGTAATTTAAGGACCTAAAAAATAAGGAGAAGATGATTAATGATGAAATATATATATTAATATCATTTAAATAGGTCTGGCTAAACTAATAAAATATTAAACATTAATACATAATTTCATAATAATTCGATCTGTGACATATTAATCTCCATTACTTTTAGTTTTAATAGCACTAAATCTACCTTTCCAAGAAATAGATAGTTTTTCTTTTTGTTATGGTATAATATAAGCATTTTCTTCTTTTTAAGCAATATCAATTTTTTCTTGAAAGTGATTTAATGTAAGATGAGAATTATGTAAATCATTTCTAGAGATTTTTGATTAGCTTTAAGATTTAATAAAAGTTCTAGATTGATACATAATGTCACTTTCTTTATGTTCTGATTAGTATTATTGATATTGATGTATACTTTTAATTTCTCTATCTTCTAAGGGGACGAGATTTCTAATTTCAGAAGGTTCTCTAGAGTTATTATTTCCAAAAGGGAGAGTTTTAGGTAATAATTAAGATTTGATTCTGCTCCTCCTAAGCAAAGTGAGATTAGGAGGAGGTATTTCTTCTTTATTTATAACTTTGACACTATTGATATGATTAGTAAAGTTTCTTTATTTAGTGCTTTTACGATGTTCAAGCACTTTAATCTTCTTCAAATTTTATACAAAATTAAAATCATTCATAGATCCTGTAATATGTTTAATAGGTTTATCTATTTAGTGTTTGTTATTAAAAGATTGTTATTTAACAAATTCGATTGCACTTTCAACTGTGGCATCAGATCGCTATCTCATAACATTATTATAAAAAGGTTTTTATAATGTACGAGGCAATTAAGCATAACCATCAAATTTATCAGGTTAAGGTATATAAAATGGAGGAAATTATGTTAATGATTCTATACTACAAGGATAATGACATGGATCAGGTTATAGAATTCTACTTTTAAATCCTTATTTGCCAGTGTAATCTAAACTAAATTTCTTGATGAAATCCCCAGTTTTTGTTATCTCTTATGTAGCTCCATTCTCATTATTTATAAGAAAAAACTTGCCAGTCTCGTATTCTTTACTATTAATAGGCTATCTATATACCGAATCAGATGGGAAGCCATTTACAAAAAATAAAAATATATAATCAATATTCACTATTACGTTCAGACACATAATCTCTTCTTAAAACAGAAAATGCTAGATCACTATTTACTTCCAAAAAGTCTTTTTTAGTCTATAAAATCTCTTATTCTTTTTTCTCTTTATCTTATTTAATCTTTCTTTAATTTTCTGATAAAAAGTCATTTTTATCAGTTACAATCTAAATTGCAGGAGATCTTATTTATTAAGATGTTTCTTCTAAAGATTCTAATTATTATTCTCTTTTTTTAAGAGTCTCAACAAAATCAATCAAACGGTCTTTTTCTTCCTTTCCTTTTCCATAATATGTACACATTATAACTTATATATCTTCTCTAACTCTTTTTATTTTCTCTTAATCCATTCTTTCTTTTATCATTTATATTTCTCTAATCTTATCTTATAGTTTATTTAATTCTAATGAACTTTTACTTATAGCTAATCCTTAATCACTAAATGGTAAATTCTTAGCATGACCTAAATAATGTTTCAAACCCAAAGATTCTGCCTATTCTTTTGGAATTAAATATTTTGTTTTCTTTATCATATTATCTTTATCATTCACTTAAACTTTTATTATTGTTGGTAATTAAAATCCTGCTTATTAATGTTATTAAAGAGATATTCTATTCAATTTACCTCTTTTCAAAAAATATTTATCATCTTATACTGTTGTTAATGTGAATTCTTAAAAAAATTTCAATTAATCAGTATCAAATTATTTGAGTTTATCAAAAAATTTACTATGAAATCTTAATTATACTTTAGCCTCTTTTTATGAAAAATCTTAAAATAAATTAACACAATTACTTTAACTCATAAATTTAGATACTTCTGCTTCAATTTATTAAGGTGTCAATATTATCCTTTTGTTTTTTAATTGTTAATTTCTTAATGAATCTATTTTATTATAAACATGAAAACAAAATTGACAAACTGTTTCTTATTTATAGAAATTTGATATTTTCAAATGTTTAAAAAAAGTATTATTTGTAATATCTCCTAATGAATAATCTATAATATAGAATATGACTTACATATTCTTAATTTGAATATTAATTATTCAGTAGGTGGTTTATTTAAATAAGGTTCTAACATTTTTATTGTTTTAAATCTTTCAATCATATCTAAAAATATAGACTTATATGTAATTTTTTTATGTGTTTCTTTTTCTCCTGCCATTATAAATAAAGAAAACTATTCATCAAATTCATCATAAAATATATTATTTGTAGCATAATGACAATACAAACCAGCACATTTATCAAAATTATGAACCTATTATTTAACTGGATATAAAGTAGCTATTTCAACAGGTTCCCCATCAGAATGAAATTAAATATTATCTAAACCTGTTAGATATATTTATAAATCTCCTTCAGTCATAAAAAACTCTACTTATAATAATGATATTGATCTCTATAGTCTACTTTCTAAAAATCTTAGTAAACTGAAAGCAAAATGTTCACATTTTACATTTTATTGAGCAGCCAAAGATTTATCAAATTCTTCTTTTAAATAAACAGGTTTCTTTACAATATTTTCTTATTTAGAGAACTCCTCTTTTTATAATGGTGTTTAAGCAAATCTCTTTCTATTAACTCTAAATTTAGGTTGATCATCAATTTATTCTTTTAAAACTGTTACTTAATATATATGTTTTGGTGATTTTGTTATTCCACAACCTATAATTTTAGTCCAATTAGTTATAATTTCTGATTTTTCATTAGCATTTTTAAAAAGTTCATTAGCTACATCCTATGAAACTGCTCTATAAATACGTCCTGTAATAATGACTAATAATATTACCTTAAGTTAATTTCTATTCAAAATGAAAGATATAGCATTTACATATAGTTTTCTATTCTTCGCATTTACAAGGTGGAACCATCTATACTTAATCCAAATTGTCAGATTATATATATTCACTTAATCTATTTATATTCTTGGCTCTACAATATGTACCAAAAACTCTCCATTTTAGCCATTCATCATCATGTGTTTTTATACAGTGCTTTAGAAGTTTATCATTAGGATTACTTTATCATCCATATAAAACCATAATTTAGGTTCGCCTTATTTCAAAATTATTGTGTCAAATATTTTAAATCCAACTGAATACATAGTTTCAAAGATCTTAGAATACTACTAATAGAATTTATTCATTTACAGGTTACAACATTTAAATTAACCATGGAGTAAGATCTTCTTATTACATTTTTTTAATATGTAAAATAATAAACAAAGTATAAGACATATTATTTACGGATCAACTTCCTATCCTCGTCCTAGAGCTACTCGCTTTTTAGAATCATAACTTACTGCTAGTTTGTTATTGTAGAAATTACTATATTTCAATGCATATTTTTCCTTATTATTCTTATACATCACTTTAGGTATTAATATTCAAAGAGTAAAATTTATGCATTCATCCTATTTAGCTTTGGATTGTTAAATCTAATTTAATGGATACATTGAATTTAGTATTATTACTAATCTGGGCTGTATTAGAAGGTTTTCGTTTATCAAACGGATATAGCGGCAATATTAAAGAATAAGTATTAATGATCTATTTACTTAAGTTCCCAGAGTTATTTTCATTTGTCCTTATCACTATTGTATCTCTTGCGCTTGAAGTGATGCAATATGTAATCCCTACTCTTAATTATCCAATGTAATTAGGATTAGTAATAATTCAAACTGTTTTATACTTTTGTGAAATAGTGATTGCTATATCGTCATTATGTACTTAAAATAAGTCATAATTGGCATTAATGAGCTTGAGAGTTCCAAAAACTGAAAATGATTATCAAATTAAGAAACGTATTGAAGTAATATGGATGTGTGAACATCTAGGATTTAAGAATAAAATAAGAAGAGAAGTAACGTTTAGTAGAATAAGAGTAAGAACGTTTAGCCTATCCAAATAATTATTGAAATATTAATTCAAAGCTTCTAATATAAACTCATTTTTTTAATTAACATTCTTTCTCTATCTGTTGACTAATCGATAATTTATTTTTGTTCAAGCTTATTTTTATTAATACCATATTTACCAATTTCTTTTAATAATCTCTATTATTTTAATCAATATTCTATTATAACTATTAGATTCTTTATTTAAATGAAATTTCCATCGATGAAAACTCTTCTCTCAAAGCAGCTTCATATGATTATTCAAACTCTTCAGTTGTCTTGTATTTAGTAACAAATCTTTTATATAAGTCATCCTATAGAATAATTATATTATTTCACTTTTTGACTCTTCATATATTCATTTTTCTTATTTAATTCAATTATTTCATTACTTGCATTTGTTAATTTTTATTATACTTCACTTAATTTTAATCCTAACTATAAATTTTCCTATTAATTAATATGAAATTATATATTTTACATCTCTTAACATAGTAACTAGATTCTAATAACTATCTTTAACTTCATCAATTATTTTATTATAATATTAAGCAGGATTTGGAGGTAATTCAACTGTTATCTAACTCAATTAACTTTAGCTTAAAGTGGTTGAATTTGAAAGTTAATCTTACAATTTCTTGCATTGACCTTATAATGATTTTATTTCATTCAATAGTTTAATATTTTAGTCTTTTAATTCATATAACCTTTTTTAAGTAATACCTTCTCCATTTGTTTAGTTCAGATCCTCCTTTTTTTAAACTAAATATTCAATTATCTCTAAATTCAATAGACTCATTAAGAACCTATTTGGCAATATACCTTGAGATGCTATTTTTTAAAAATAGTTTGATTAGAAGTTAACAAAACATTATTCGTATTATAAATAATGTATACATTGTAGCTCTGTAATTTTATTGACATAGAAGTCAAAATTTTATATCATATTGTACAATTTAACAACAGTCTCATTTGCATCTGAACAATTGCAAATTTGAATAACTCTTTAAGGATCTAAACATTTATCATTCATTTTAATATTTGATATCCATTATTTTATTTTTTAAGTGTGAGTTGAACTTAATCTAGATTATTGAATGCCTAATTTATTCAATTTAGAGATCTCATCTTCAATATTTAATAGATCCATCTTAAGTGAAGTTTAATAAGCTTATTCACTCATTTCATATGGAATTATGCTAACAATTTATTCCTAATATGCACTTTGTGGACGAAAAGAATGGGATGATCTTAATTTAAGTGTCTTAAAACCTGTTCCAGTTTTATTCATTTATAACATAAAATTAAAATGATAAAGAAGTATTTTAGCTTTGATTTTCAAGTTATAGGAAAAGTATAAGGTAATGTAATTCATGAGTCTAAATAGGAGTATTTTTTAGAAAATATACAAAAGAACAAGGAACTAATTTGGGATTGGTAGGATGGGTTGAAAATTAAAAAGATGGATCAGTCAAAGGGGTAGCTTAAGGTGATCAAAAAAAATGTGAAGAAATGTAAAACAATTTATGATTTCTAAAATTATTAGGATTCATTGGTTGTCTAACATTGGATCTCCAAAAAGCAGGTAAATAATTTTGAATTAAATAATAGAATTGAAAAGATGATCAAAACAAATGAGAGAGAGATTGATAAATTATAATATAAGGATTTTTCAGTAAGAGATGATAAAAAATAGAAGTGATTTTATAATATAATAATTATGCCAAAATAAAACTTAAGTAACTACATTAAGTTTTTTAACTAAATAAATGATTTAGAATAGAAAGGACTTATTACATCTAAATAAAAGCACTTATTAAAGGTAAATCTAACAACTAAAGAGTATTAATTGAATAATCTTGTATGCACAATCTATGATGAATAAGATTACTAAAAAGCCATACTTTAATATTTATAAAACATCGAACCGTAACCAAAGATAAGATGTTAATCTTCTGGAGAAAATGACAGTCCCATTAGATAAAGAAGAAGAGGAAACTCACTTTCAAAAGTATCATAAATAAATGAGGCAAAACTAATCGCACAGCTAGATGAATTGAATGATCAATTAATGACTCTCTGGTAATCAGATTCATAATTTGTAATAAAGATTACTTAATATTAAGCATCTTAATTAAGAATTAAATGAAAAACTAAGGAAAGTTGGAGAATTCATATCCAAAACAGCTACTTCAACTCCAAGTAGTTCTTAGAAATAAGTATCTAACATAATTGATACTAATTAAGTTATTGAAAATCTATAGTAGTTATATAAAGACATGAAAGTAAATTTATTCATTCTAATTCCAGTAACATTTTAATGACTATTTGAGATGCCACATACTTTTAATGGATGATAAATTATCAACTTAACATTTAAATAATGTTTTAAGAGCCTTTATGAAAAATTTAGTAGATGCAGATGAAATAACATTTATTTATAACAATGAAATTTACGATTCAGAAAATGGGCAATTTTAAGAAATTAAATTAACTGATCAATAATAATTAGAAATATCATCTATCTTAGAGGGCAATGTTATTGATATTAATGACAGTTATCCAGAAATAAGTTCATTATTTTAAACTACTAAATTTAAAGGAAACTATTTACTTAAAATATAAAATTCATCTTGTTTATTTTGTTTTCACTCTAAAGGATAACATAAAATGATTATTGATTCTTTCTTGTCTATTTGCAATGAATATTAATTTTTTGAAGAAGTTAACCAATTAGCATATTTCTTAGTTGAAACTCTAAAATAAGCAAGAGTTCAATGTTTTAATCCATTATAGCTTTCTCATATGATCTAAGATATAGGAATAGCATTTATTAGATGTTCTAAATACTTTTTCATTCATAAATCTATTTCTATTTTAAGTGAAAGATATAAAGTGTGTAAAGATAATACATCTTTTATAAGCATGCATCCATTCGTGGAATTTGATTTTAGAGATTAATTAAATTTGAGTATTCATATATGCATTGATTTAAATAGGAAAGAAGATATGAATGTGTATAAATAACTCAATTTAAGTTTTAATAAATATTTAAAATTTATCAAACAGTGCTATGATAGAACAACATTTTACAAGTTTTTTGTAAAATCATAAGACTCATTAATCTTTGAGTTTGATAAATAAGGATAGATCACATTTGTATCATAACCAATAACAAATAAATTGGCTGAAGATTTCAATATTAATTTTAATCCTTAATTTTATAATGCATCATACACAAGTATATTTAAGAATAAAAATTTGATTCAACATATTGAAAATTAATTGCAAGATTAAAATAAATGGAAATTATCAGATAGTAATGCAACTTATGAAGTTTTTATGAAAATGGAAGAGAAATATTTCAAAGGATTTTTTGTAATATTTCAATAAGGTTGGTTTAGATACAGTTAAAAATCATTTGATGCAAATTAATGGAATAAATTAAGAAAGAGTTTTCTTTAACAAGAGACAAATTAATATTTAGATAAACTAGAATAAAAACATCCTTAATTAAAAAATTCAGTAGTTTAAATGTTTAAGCCTAAAGCAACTTAAAAATAATCTTAATTTAAAAATTTTAGTCCAAGTTTTAGTCCTAGACATTTAGATTAAAGAAATTCACTTTAAGAAAGTGAAAGTATTCGTTTAATTCCAAAGACTAAGGGAACAAATCATTTTTATCCAGATATGATTACAGAGACATGTATTGAAAATATAGATAATTTTGATTTTAACATATTACCTTATAGTGCCGATTGGTTAGAGAAATAGAAAGTGGTGTTTTAAATATTAAGAAGAAATAATTTTATTTAAGATTATAAAATAAGTGAAGATTCATTGTGTAGTTTTTTATGTGCATTAGAATATAAGTATAATAAAAGAGGGAATTAATTTCATAATTATGATCATGGAGTAACAGTAATGTAATGCACACATGCAATTAGTTTGGAGATTATGAAAACTTAATATGCAAATTTATTAAATTAATTCACAAAGTTTGCATTGATAATGTCTGGTCTTTGCCATGATGTATCACATACAGGAAGAACAAATATTTTTGAGATTAACAGTTTATCTAATTTGGCGATTAGATATCATGATAAGAGTGTTTTAGAATAACATCATGCAGCAACTTCTATTAAACTGTTATGTGCACCTGCTACAAACATTATTCCTAATTTTACATCAGCTGAGTTTAGAGAGTTTCGTAAGCTTTTTATTTCCAATATTCTATACACAGATATAACAGAACATTTTAATTTAATGAAGAATTTTGAAGCTAGAATTAAAGAACTCAACTTTGGAACTGAAGAAGATATTCGATTAATGACTGGTATGATTATTCACACATCTGATTTCACTGGTGGAGCTAAACCATTCAAATTAAGTAAGGAATGGAGTACTAGAGTGAATATGGAATTCTAGGAATAATATAGTTTAGAAGGTAAATTTGGATATCCTTAATTACCATATATGAAAGATTTAGATTAAGTATTATAATCATTCTATATATTTAGTTACCTATCATGGCTAAATCTGAAGTGGGATTCTTTAAATTTATTGTTAGACCGTTATGGTCAGTCATGTCCAAATTTGCTGAGGATAGGTTACAACAAAGTGTAGACAATCTTGAATAAACTATTGTAGAGTGGGAAAAATTAATGATCAATTGATAATTGTATTATTTTATCACAATTATTCTTATATTATGATTTTAAATATTTATTTTATTGTAATTGATCATTATTTCATAACAAGACCGGCTTCTGGAATGAAGACTTCTAAGATACTCTTCAATTCAGCATCGTCTTATTTGCTCAATTCACCAGTACTATAAATTATCATTATTAATAATACCTTCTAATTCTTTCTAACATAGCTGGATAATTTGTTCTGAGATGATTCAAGAATTTCTCTTCAAATTTAGCAATTTCTGAAGTTTATACTTTATCTAAAAATCCTCTGACGCCTGCATAAATAACACACACTTATTCTTCAGCACACATTGGTACCTTTAATATTTTTACAATTTAATTTACGTATTATTTTTATTTGAGTAATTCTGTTAATTAAGCACCTCTATTTAACAATTATTATGTAGCAGCATCCAAATCAGAACCAAATTGGGCAAATGCAGCGACTTCTCTGTATTAAGCCAATTCTAATTTAAGTCTACCAGCAACTGTCTTCATAGCCTTAATTTAAGCAGCTGATCCGACTCTTGACACAGACAAACCGACATTGATAGCTGGTCTAATACCCTTTGAAATAATTTTTGGATTATATATTTACTTTAAAGAACAATTCAGTTTCTAAGAAAATTTATCCATCAGTAATAGAAATAACATTGGTTGGAATATATGCAGAGACATCACCAGCTTATGTTTCAATAACTGGCAAGGCAGTTAAGGATCCATTACCGTTTTCAGAATTAAGTTTAGCTGCTCTTTCCAACAATCTGGAATGCAAATAAAAGACATCACCTGGATAGGCTTCTCTGCCTGGTGGTCTTCTCAATAATAATGACATTTATCTATAAGCAACGGCTTATTTTGAAAGATCATCATAAATAATAAGAGCATGCATTCCATTATCTCTGAAATATTCTCCAATAGCACAACCAGAATATGGTGCTAAATATTAAAGTGGAGCAGCTTCGGAGGCAGTAGCTGCAACAACAATTGTATATTTCATAGCACCAGCTTAAGTAAGAATTTTGACTAAGTTAGCAACAGTTGATCTCTTTTAACCAATAGCAACGTAAATGCAATATAATTATTTATTCTTATCACCAGAATCAAAGTTTGGTTTTTAATTAATGATTGTATCAATAGCAATAGCTGTCTTTCCAGTTTATCTATCACCAATAATCAATTCTCTTT